GACAAATTTGCCCGTAAATTCAATATACCCTCGTTTTGCTGTATAACCTCATAACGCCCCTCCCAGCTTTTTAGTGAAAGGTATGATTTCTGTGATTTTGATATTGCTTGTAGCAAAAATTTTGTCTTTTATTATTACGTTTTAACTAGGGGTGGGTCATGCAGTTTTAGGGTGGGTCAATCATTTTGTGTTTTGAACCTTTTTTTACTTTCCAAATGCTCCGGCCCACCCCCCTTCCCTTAAGTAGCGGCAATCTTTACTAAAACTTTCAATGCACCAGCTTTTTTTCCAGGCTTTTCGAGTAAGTCCAGTAACAAAAATGATAAAGCAGTGGATCTGCGGATTCTTTGCAATATTGTCCGTCTAACCAAGGGCGTGGTGTGTCATTTTGAGCGTGTACGCACTGGAAGAAAAGTTACAGCGCCAAAGGCACTCTAAGCCAGTTGGGTGTGGGGGCATGCTACCCCAGAAAAACAAATAGGATCTTGGAAATGCCATTTCTTGCGTTTTCGGCATTTCAGTAAATGAATACGACAGGAAATGCAGAAGTCTACTCTTCAGATGGACAAACTGTTACTACATCATCAATATCAACGTCTTTGTGCTAGCCTGCGAGCAAGCTCTCCGGGGCGCTCTTGCGGCAGGGCAAAAAAGGAGGGTGTTACCCGCCTCAACAGCTGTATTTAGTAATAAAAAATATATTCCTCGCGAAGAAGCGAATTAATAATTTTATCAAAATTCGCATCGCGCGTGACTCTCACGAGATAAGTGAAGTGTGATAGGCTCTTTGCTGTATTTCTAACGCGTTCAGTTGGTTTCCGCCTTCACGTCATTCAGATGGATGCTAAGGTGCATTGTGGGTTTCCAGGCAACCTATTTTGAGACCTCGGACGTGAATCCTATGAGGCTTGCTAAACGAAGTGTTATCTCGCTTTCATGTGCTTTGGTCATACATTCGACTCCCGATAATTCGAACCTTCAAGGGAAGTAGAACAAAGTTCGAGTTCGAGTTATCGGGAGTTCGTTCAAGTTACCGGAAGTCGACTGTATTTCTATCGGTTTGGTTGATAGACAGTTGCCAAGCAAAAAAGCAGCGAGTAAACAATACCGCCATGACGGCCACTAAAATTCGCCGGGTTGTTTTCGCGGCCAATTTAGAAGTCAAGAAACTTTTTTAGTGATGAATTTCGAAACGAAAAGTTCCTTTAAGAGAAAATGGAAGAAAATGGACCATGAAAACATGTGTTTTGCGTCCCATTTTGCAGACTAGTTATCGTCACGGTATTAACATAGTGGGGCAAATGTTCTTTAAATACAATGAGTTTAACTTCAGATTTTTCACCGTCGTGTAGCCTGTTCCGAGCGTTCAGATGGTGGAGAGCAGAGAGCGGTGCGAAGTAAAGAAAAGCCCACTATCTGAACGCCTGGAACAGGCTAACCGTCGTGTAAAACATCTGTCATATTTGTACTTATAGGGCTTGATCAGAATTACAGTGCGTACTATAACTGGGACCATACAATCGATATCAATCAAAAAGTGATTATTGGCATCTATCGATTTATCTATAGGTTTTCTGATATCGGTTTTTTATCAATTGCACTGGTCGGGGTTATGCGCAAGAGACAAATAGCTAAGCAATACCATGACCATGGTGCCAAGCAGCTACCTTCTCTGACTAGTAAATGGGCAACCGGTACGAGTTAAAGAACATCCTTAGTACCTCCGTATCGACTGGAAGCCTGGAGTTGTTCTGGAGAGTATAGCCCCTCTTAGTTACCTGGCTGAAGTTAATGGACCCACTTATCGCAGAAGCCTAATCCAAAAAGAACTTATTGTCCCATGTTTAGTTTTAGAATTAGCAGCACGCTCGAGACCAATGTTTATGGCTACAACGACTGTCCCGGGTTCGGAGGGGGGGGCACTCCTTAACTCATACCGGGAGGCTCCTCTCAAAAGAGGCACCTTTTTCAAGCTTTCAGGTATATCATAGGCAAGGGATTCAAGGTTGAAGTAAATGAAAGGGTAGAAAACTCTATCAATAAAGAATTTAAAACGGCCTTTAATTAAAATGTTTCGAAACAATTTGCCTTTTTGCCATATCATTTTCATTTATCATGTTTATTAAACGTTACTTGAAATTGACATGCATGAAGACTTCCTGTACATTTGGCGATTAACTTTTATTGGGAAGGGATGTTGAAGAGGTAAAATTTTTCAATGGAGGGTATATTCTATATGAAAGAGGTACCTTTTCGGTAAAAGTGGTATTCAATTGGGTAAGGGGTTGGACTATGGGCCGGCCTGGGAATTTTTTGGCCATGGTGAGGGATCGGAGTGCCGCCCGGTTCTCCAAATCCTTATCCTATTTCAGACCAAAAACTGTCTTTTTTCACACCCGTTTCCAGACCTAGCCTCTAAAATCCATAATCATTCTCGAGCCTGACTTTGAAGAAATTATGTCATCATAACTTAGATTTGAACAGCAACAAAAAAGATTTCTTAAAACTGATCCATTTCGAATTCGCGTATTTCCCTTTCTTTCTTACTCATTTGGAATTGAACCAATAAATACGTTCGTACAATCCTGTAGTTCCCTTGAAAACCATACCCAATTCCAGATCAAAATGAGCAAAGTCTACACCCGTTTTCAGACCACAACGGCCCAAAAAAGCCCTACTCTTTGGGGCTTATATAGGAGAGTACCCCCCCCCCCCGGGGGGAGCTTTACACTATGAAACATGCACTGTTGATATTCTACTTGTTTCCTAAAACTCAAGTTTGTTTCTTATTTATTTACACGCTAGTTTGGAGGGAACTAAGGGGGTCCAGACATCCCGCCTCTCCCGTCCCCAGTCCTTCACTCTTTTCTCGGCTTCTTGATTTTAGCCCCGGGGGGGGACTCGCAGAAATATTGGGTAGGAGTGTGCGGCCCGCTTCCCAAAACCCTTACCCTATTTATGACCAAAATCTGCGATTTTCCCTACCCTATTTATGACCTAACCAAAAATTTGATACCCTATTTTGTGAAGGGCTTTTGTTGCTTGTATTTTCTAGCCTACAAAGCAGCCGGTGAAGAGGAAGGCAAAGCGCGGATGGAAGGAGGGGGACATGATAAGGAAGTAGCTTCTTCTAAAAAAGTGCATTCAAGACTACAGTGTAAAAATCGTTACCCTATTTATGACCAAAATGGCGGCAAAATAGCCAAAATCGATACCCTATTTATGACCAAAAGGGCTGAAAAACCCTACCCTTTGGGGCCGCACATACCTATATAGCCCATATTAGGGAGTACCCCCCCCCCCGGGATTTTAGCCCTTTTCTGATTGCAAAATATTGCGCCTTTTCGCCTCAAAGACTGTTGACATTAAAACATGTATTTTCCCTGAAACACACATTTACCGCCATTGTTTAAACCTCAGGCCCCAGTTGCTCAAAAAGTAGATAACACTATCGGATAGTGCAATTAATGTCAACAATAACTACATGCTTTGGATAACGATTTATGTATTCCATAATCTTCAGTCGCACCCTGTTATGTTAATTTTCGCGCCACATCGCTTTAAAGGCTGTAATTTGCATGATCAGAAACATTTTTCCCTTGATAATGGAGTCATGACTACTCCGAAACGTCGGATTTTATCGTTCGTTTATACCGTTTTATGTCTTAAGAAATCTCTTTTAATACGACTAACGATTTATCCGGTGGAAAAACAACTGGGACCAAGTTTCTCAAGGTTATACTGGGTTGTTTTCACCAGAAAGCGCGAGAATTTGGGGGGCTGGCGCACAGTTACGAATTTTTTTTGGCAAGAAGCTAGAAAATAATGATATTTTATTTTCTGGCTTTATAACATATTAGTGAATTGACAATTAAACTGCAAAGGACCGCAAACGAATATGCCGCAGAACGTAGGATCTATTGAAGACCTGATCAGGCGAACAGATAAGGACGACACCCTTCAATGGTTCTAGGTCAACATTAAAATAACGCGGTTTCGGAATATTGCTTACGTACAATTCACTTATAGATTTTGGGACGGTTAATCACTGGTTGATAAAATTTCCCGGAGGCATTAGGCAATTAGCGCGGGAATTTTGGGGGCTAGCGCACAGTTACGAATTAATATGTTAGCCAGAAGCTAGAAAATAATGTTATTTTATTTTCCGGCTTTATAACATGTTAATGAATTGACATTAAAACGGCCGTAGTTCCGCAAACGAATATGTCGCAGAACGTAAGATCTATAGAAGACCTGATCAGGCAAACAGACAAGGACGACACCCTTCAATGGGTCTAGGTCACAATTAATAATGAAGCTAATGTGCTGAAGTCTGGCTTCAAGGTCTTATATAAACAATGTTTCTTTTATCTTACAATGATAATCTGTTTTGCCAGATGCTAAGATTTCAAAGTGATCCCACCTAATGTTATGTCGGGTGGCAGTGACAGATTTTTTTTTGTATTTACTAGTTTTACTCTTGTGTTATTTAAATATTTTTTCAAAACACCTGCCGTATTAAATCTTTCTTTCCATACAAGGACCACCTTATTCGCTCTCAAATATCCAAAGGCAAAAGCTTGTTTTTGGTATTGTAAGGATTTTTACATTGGGAAAACTAAGCGACGCCTCCATGATGGGAAGACTGAACACTTCAAGTCCCCAACAAAAAATGATCACTGTTATGTATACAACCAAGAAATTTGGATCTGACAAAATCGTCCGTACGTCCACCCCTTTATGTTAACGGATATGAAATGGCACACTTTAATACTAGCTATCGAAACTAGCCGTAGGAGTCCAAGTATATACACTATTGTGTTTATCCCATAATAAGCCCCTCTCGATATGAAACTAGGCAATGACAAAAATCCCAGAGTGTGTCTTACAAAAGGCACAGTATTAAGGAAAGACGCTTTAATTCATTGGAAGGTTTTTCATAGTTTTATTTAAGGAACTATTATGATCATAATTTATGATCATAATAAATAAAAAAAGAAGTCAGAGGAGTCTCGACATCATGTTGAAAGGGTAACAGTTTGATAGAACCTTGACCAAATATCGGTTAGAGACAAGATGAGAACGAATGTAATGCCTCGAAAATTATTTCTATGAATACTAAGCACATGAGCAAATTGTTAATTGAAAGCCTCGAGCTGCTGAAAAAACTCTTCAATTTCTACGCAAACAGCAGGCACAGAGAAGGAGTTTTTAATCAGCGATAGATCACTCTTCGTGCTAAAACATTCGTTCGTGTTTTCCTTTTCCGACTCGGTTATCCACTTCCACCCCTGCCTCATCGGCTGAACTGTCTTGCATCCGCTTTCTTCTTTTTGTTAAATATCTTAGATTTTTGTTGTAGTTTAGCACTTCTGTATCCGGCGCCAAACCCTCCACCTCCGCCCCGTTTCTGTATTCGCTGGCCTTTGCTGCTGTGAACGTCTATTACAGTGGGTTAAGGAGCTAAGTGTAACTATTTTCCGGATCAATTTAGGTTTCTAGGAAACTGCCCACCTACCCCTCCCCTAAGCCAACATTTTGCCCTAAGTGAGAAGTGGGTGATAATGTTGGCTTAGGGGAGGGGTAGATGGGCAGTTTCCCAGAAACCTAAATTAATCCTGTTAAGTAGTCTCTAAAATACACACTGAAATTGTCGCTTACTTAATTTAAAGGGGCTTAAAAAAGTCAGTTTTCAGTTGCACGCTTGTTCGATTTGCACACTAGCATGCACATTTAGCTATACTTAGCGCTTCGGCCTAATTACGTGTCTCACATTCTATAATATAAACCTCCTCTGCAAACTATTACGGGAAGAGAGAAAGGTGAAAACCAAATACTCTTTAAAGGATACTAAGATTAACACGTGGTGGAACCGTAAAACCAAATGCGGGAGACACTCGTTGAAGATCCAGCGCGTTCACGTTGAAGATGCTCTTATGTTGGTGAGAAGCGTATGCCTGAAGGTACGATCTGTAAGCTTCCCGCGCTGATTTGTGCAGGTAATAGTTCTTTTCAATCAACTTTTCCAACTGCGACAGAAAGTACAACTGTTTTAGGCCTCGTGAAAATCAAATTAAACACAAAATACCTTAAGGTGAAAACTTAAATGCAAAAGACCTTTTTAGGTTTAATGTTTTCTTTTGCAATTTCAGGCCCTGTCCACACGTATCCGTATATTTTTGAAAACGAAGAATTTTTTCTCTGTTTTCGAAACGCAATATCCGTCCGCACGGAGCGTATTCGAATCGCTTTCGCCCGTTCAAACGTAAACACTAAAACAGTGGAAATAGATGGCATCCCTTACAGGTCATGGTCTCTATGATGTGTGAAATCATCGTATTCGAAAACCTCTGTTTTCGTCCGTCGAAACGAAAACGGTAAGCCGACGTTTTCAAAAACTCGACTCTGGAGACCGGTTTCGAAAACCTGCTTTTTGGTGCCTGAAAACGTGCTGACGCGCGGACGCACATCTCCGTTTTCAAAAATATCCGGGTGCCTGTGGACAGGGCATTGGAAACAGGTTTTAAAATCGCCGAGCTCTTCACTCTCCTAATTTGGAAAAACTATCAACTCAAAACTGAATTTCAAATTAAAGCAACGCTAAAAATCAAGCTTACCTGTGACTGAATGTTGTATATTTTTGAGGCTGAAAAATCGTATTCGTTGAGAGGTACCTAAAAGAAATGAGAATCTATGGTTCAGTTTCAATGGCAAAAATGGTGAAGGCATTTATTATACAGTCAAATCTATCATAGCGACCATTTCCCGTAAGCGAAGACCAGGCATAATCACGCATGATTGAGAGAAAACCATTACTCGAATGTCACAACAAGGCGGGCTGACAGATTTATACCAGTTGACTTACAAAAAAGATGGCTGTGATACAATCCGTACGTTGAAAGGTGGTCGTAAAATTGATGCTAAATGTTATGTTCAAAGCTTCAACAGTTTCAAGAGCTAGGCAATGTGAAACATTGTTGCGACTTGCCAGTTGTCTATTTGGCTAAGTTTTAGATTGCAAAGTAATTAACTTTATATAATTACGTTAATAAGTTCAGTTTGAGCTTCTTTTTGTCGATTTTTACCTAGACGACCACCTCCAGTAAGCGACCACTTTGTCGTGCACCTTTGTCGCTTACTATAGAGTTGACTGCTAAACACTAATGAAGTAGCAGGTGAACATACGCGCGAAAACATGATATCTTTACAAGTGAAAAGAACATGATATCTTCGAACGTGAAAAGACGATATCTTCGCGCGTGAAAAGATCACCGTTCCAATGGCTACAAATCGGCCTTGCGCAGCAAAAAAAAAATTAAACTGAAAGGGTTTGCTATTTATTTGTGTTTATAAAATTAATAGAACATTGCACGGCCGCTTGGAGATGAGCTGGTCCTGTCGCGATTTCTGACCTTATATTTCACTTCTTCCTCACCTTCTTTAATTTGTGGAACATCGTTTCGAAAAGAATGTTTTGTTTTGTTTGTTTGTTCGTTTTTTAAACGAAAACGTTTTTTAACTTAGACACTTGTCAAGTTCAGAAACATTCACTTCTCCTAAGTAAAAGCATTAAGCGGTCTCTGAAGTCAGTGCGGGATTAAGTAAGAAATGGGTTCACTTTCTTGCATAAGAGAACTGTAGCACATGATCTCAGTAGCCTACAAGACCAGGCCTTTTTTGCCATAGCTTTGTTATGTTCTACTGACCTTAGCCTGCTTGAGATATCTCAAAAATGCAAGTTCCTCTGGTAATAGAAGAAGTAAGGCATGACCGCGCCCTTCATTCCCACGTGCTGTCCGACCAACACGGTGAATGTATTCCTATAAGAGAGAAAGCATATGGCATGACGGTCTCAGACAGGGTTTCGTTTCAGGCCTGACTCTGGAGGCAACGTCCTTGTATGTGGCCTTATGAGGCTCTATGAGACTCTCATAAGGCCACAAAGAAGATTGTGCCATGAAAAGTGCGGAGTTGAAAGTTCAGGAATGAAACTGTAACGTTGCAGCAACTTACAGTAATAGTAAGCATATGGCATGACAAATGATTTTAAACGGGAATGTTTTGTATCTTCGTCGGTCTCAAAGACTACATAAAAAATAGTTGGGGCATTTCCACCGAAGGCTGCTTTTTACTTCTGGCCCCTCTACCCGTCCTCCCAATGTTGTTTATCGTGGTTAACTCACCAAATCTTTCAGACTAACATTGAGAGGGCAAGAAGACAGTAAAGTGTCCCAACAATTTTGACTGAGACTAGGAGATCAAACGGATTAATAAAGCTGCCCCTACACCCCGTTGAAAAATACTTTCAAGTGAAAATTTTGAGACTTTCCACGCGGCACGAATACCCTTCACATTCAAGTAAAATCAAGTAATTCACGTGTCAGGGATTAGGGTTTCCTATCGACTAACCTGTTAACACTCCAAAGGTAATTCGCTTTCTCTGAAATCTCAATGAAATGTTAGGGTATGGGCAACACTTCTAACGATCTGCTGTAAGGCAGGTTTACATGCTACGACTTCATTTTTTTGCCTTTGACTTCATTTTTCTGCTAATCTCTTTGCCTATATCGGCTTAAAATTGAGCGAAATTACAAACAATCACTTCACGCAACCCAATATAGTTCACGAATCGCGTCAAATCTTAACTCGCGTGTCACGATAGTAGGGTATCGGCTCGTTCGCCTTACGGCATGATTCAATGTGACATGCAGTTATATCACGATTAATTACAAAACTGCTTTGGGAGGAGCAATCACGAGTTACGAATAAATAGAAACTAAAATCACGTCGCAAAAGAATTTAAAAAATAGCCACGATCACGCTTTACGAAAAACGTACAGAAGACCCTCTTAATAGCGTTTGAAGGACCCTTACCTTGGGATCGTCGGGAGGGTCAAACTGGACGATCCAATCTACTTCCGGTATATCCAGGCCACGCGCGGCCACATCCGTGCACAGCAAAGTCCCTGAACTGGCATTGCAGAACTCAAAAAATGTCGTGGTACGCTTCTGTTGTTTTTGCTTTCCCTACAGAAACAAACGAAAATGTCCTAAAATAGGCAAAAGCGGCGATTTATCAACCCAACATACCTCTAAACAACTAATAGGGAAGCCACCATTATTTCGAATTTGGAACAGAAAAGGGACGTGCACTTTATATGTTATGGATGCAGTTTTGTTTGTAAACACAAACACCGCTCAATACTGTTACCATCATCGTGATGTAGACGTTTGAAAAGCTTTTTCACTTGATTGCCTTATTTTTGAAATGCGTTTTATCAAAGAACTGAAACCAATACTAAACAAACAGTGCGATTCCATCCGCTCAAGTTATTTGTTTTGATCGGTTTTAATTAGCCTTATTACTACTTCATTGTTTTGTTTTTTGTTTTGTTTTTTTTTCCAGTTCATAAATATTTTATCACTTATGACATATTTTATCGCATTTTATTGTTCATGGCATTCTTACCTTTTTTGAACTATTTTTAACCGTTTGTAAAATATTTATGCTAATTTTTATATTGTTTACTCGCACTTGAAAATGACCTCGGAGAGGTCGAAACGTCGTGACTTTTTATCGGTAATTTTTATTACAAAATAGTGTTTTTCAGTTTCCCTGATTCCTCGGTAAGAAACATTTGGAAGCATGAAAGACGAATTTATAACTGAGATTGGCGATTGTAAAGACTGACACTGTACGGCAAAAACGCCAGTATTTCAAATATACTTACGTGAATATGTGCGACTGGAAGATCGATGTAGTTAAGCAGTTCATAATGGTACTTCACAGAGTTACAGGATGAAAAGAACACCATCACTTTCTTGTTTCTGTTCTTTTTCAGGAACGTGAACAACACAAGAAAACGCTTCTCTGAAGGAACAACTATATACCCCTATGGTTAAAATTGAGACATACTCAGTAAAAGTCAAGACTGTTACCTTTTAGCCCAACAAGCCAATAAGTGTGGACGCGGCCTAAGAAGGGGAACTCTCACAATGAATCATCGAACCAGTTCATTTAGTCCAAAAACAAACGAAAACAAACCAACAAAATCAACAACCAAAACGTATCAATAGCAAAAGGTTCGGACAACTGTACTCTCGCAAGCGCTGGTAAGCCTCTGTCAAATTTGGGAAGGTTACAAATAACCCTTTAACTCTCAGAGTGAATAATGGAGTCATTACAGGCGTTTCTAACTTTTGAGTCTGTGGATGAAAGTTTCTTTGTGTTACCAATTAAAGCGAACTCTACTTGACAATACTTTCACATATACATGTAGCCTGGCGGCGAAGAGCGAGGAGAAAAGGCTGTTTTCGAAGGCTATTTCACATAAAGCGATTTGTTTTTTAACATTGTACAAAATGAAATTTGAAAATTTAGTTAACTTTTGACTTTTTGGGAGAGAGGAGCAAAGAAAAGAATTACAGAGAAATAGGGGACGTGTACACCCAGGTAGTCTATGTTTAAACTTTATTGTCCATGAGTGTAATCTCACTTGTTGACTAAAAGCCTGCAAAAACTAAATCGATGAGCCCAAAACTGGCCAGTCTCACAGCGTTGTTGTAGCATGCGCTGACAAGCTGAGAAAGGTCCATTTTCACGTTACCTGTTCAAGCCCTTCAACTGTAGACGTCTCTCGATCATCATCAACTCCCACGTAAAGGGGAGATTTCTTGAGTGACACGCGCGCAAGGTCTTCAACATTGCGCGTCTGCGTGGCTGAGAACAGCACCGTCTGCCTGCGAACTAAATAAACAGTGATCTAGCGATTAGCTTGTAGAAACTAGTTTGCGCTACTGCAGGCATCTTAAGCTCTCACCACTGAACATTTACCAAATAGACTGACTGAAATATAACGACAACTTTTTAGAACTGGAAAAAAAAATCAATAGACTAACGTAAACGTAGAAGCATGATTCGTACAAAGTACTGAGCACTTGCTAACCCACAAAATACGCTTCGACGCAAGCAAGAGTGGTCCCGTCTCACAGGCAGCCCAAGTTCGATATTAGGAGACAGTGCCCAGTAATACAATAACCGCGTTTCACAGACTCGTGCAGAACGCACGAACCTGTATTAAGGCGAACAACGAATAAGACAAACTGGATTAGCATTATCATATACACAACACAGGCACAAGTTCTTCATATTTAACAACATTTTGGACATTCACCTGGCAGAAGTCTGACAATTTGTTTCATTTCCTCTTCGAATCCAATCTCAAGAATTCTGTCTGCTTCATCTATTATCAGGCACTGGAGGTTTTTGAAGATAAATCCTTGCGTATTCTGTAAAAGAGAAACAGAACTGCCTGTTTTTTTCACACTATATTTCACACTGCATTAGCTCATTCAAAAAACGATACAAATGTTCACCACCTCATAACAGTACTAAAGACGCTTAGGAAGAACGAGTGTTGGCAAATCGATTCATCATTTTTTCTTGACAATCAAAACCTCATGGAAGAAGAAAAAGCTAGTGAAGGAGGGCGAATCTGATTTGCAACATGGAGTTAAGTATTGACTAGCATTTCTGAGATGAAAAATGCACCGTCATCACACCATTTCCATCTTTCAGACCGTTTATCAGGATTGCTTTGTGAGCACTGATACATGGATGATTTATCTTTGTGCTCTGTTTGCCCCCCTTGAAGAGTCATTCTGAATTTTGTAAGTTTCTTAGGGAACTCCCCGTGTAATATATTTTATCATTATAGAGACAAGAGCGTGTCCCTTGCTCTTAGGCATGGCAGTTTTGAACTACGTGATTAACAAGCTACAAAGGGCCTATTTAACACGCACCTGTAGGTGATCCAGTAATCTTCCCGGGGTTGCAATAAGTAAATTAACTCCTTTCTGTAGACGTTCAGCTTCACCCTTCCTGTTGGCCCCGCCCATTACAATCCCAAATGTGTGGCTGTGGTACTTAACCAAGTCTCGTGCAACGCCGTAAGTTTGAAGGGAGAGCTCTCTTGTGGGCGAAATTATGATGACTCCGGTACCTGTACGTAAAAATTAATAAAAATCAATGTAACTAGTGAAAGGAGCTGTGTCATGGCCGTCTAGTTTATTTTTTCATTGATATTGCCAATTAGGCGTCGTTAATTATTTAATCACTTCCAACATAATATGGTGTGGAACACGCAACAGAGTGGGGCTCCAGTTTATTTAAGTGAGTCCTTATAGATACATGTAACCCACCCAGCCTAGGAAAGGTTAGCCACACAACCACCGTCTATGCATGTCCCCTACTCTTTTGGAATAGTTGTGTGGGTTCTATCATGTTCCACAAGAACCAGATAACTGAAAGTGTTGTACGACAGGACCTACATGTACGGTTTTTCATCCTTATCCGAGAAGACTAGAAGGTCTAACCATTTGCAGATGTCATTGCAAAGGCAGCACTTTCTCCTATGGACCTCAACATTCGTGAAGAAACTACTTGTAAACAACAAAATCACAGCTTTGTGTCATCCAAGTATGTCTCCCATGCATAAGAGCAAACATTACAGACAAAAAAATGAACTCTGAAAAACTGTTGGGCTAACAAGTTTTAAAAAACCACAATAATATTATTGCAATCCATTTTAACCTTCATCAAGCCTGTCCATCTATGCTTAATTTTGTTTTTCTGTGTTATTTTATACCTTCTTTTAAAGTTTTGTGTGGTTATTTTTATGTTTCACTCAATTTGGGGGCAGTTCTCACTGTTTGAATTTTAACACATTTCATGATACAGCTCCTTAAAAAAGCAAAAAACAAAGAAATAAATAAAGCAAAAATAGACCAGATGTCAGTTTGTATTGTATGGCCCAACTGCTTGCATCCAATGTCTGCCTGGATTCTGTAAAATCTCAGTGTTCTTGGTGCACCACAGATCTATATCAACTTAAATTGACTTTGAGATGACTCGTTGGAAAAAATCTATTCTGTTCTCTACTCACTACCAGGGAAACATGCAGACTCCATGAATTGACATACCATTTCTGGGCTTAAAGCTTAGCTTGTACAGCAGCTCCACAGCTGGTATGAGAAATGCTAGAGTCTTTCCGCTGCCAGTTCTTGCAGCACCAAGCAAATCCCTGCAAATCAACACTTAATGAGTAATACTGAAATAGCCTGGGAGTGCTGCTTGTGCATGACTGTTCACAAAATCCCCATAACAGAAAGCTTGCTCAGTTTCTTAGCTCTTGTTCCCTAATCACAAAACTTCAGGATCATATGGCATTCAGCAGCTGTTAAATGTTCTTCAAAATACACCTTCCATGCGTTGTATTAATGTACAAAACTGCAATCTTCAGTAGCAGCTGTTCATTTAAAGATCTCAAGCCATGGATCCAATTCTGCTTAGAACATAATTATTATTTTGCCACAAGTACGAGACAAAATTGACTTTAAATTCTAAAACTGTCAAACAGCTCATAACTACTGCAATAATTTCTATAGAAATGTTCTTGTCGAGGAAATGTGGGTGATTGATATACACACAAAATAAGACTACAAAAAACGGGTATCACCCAGGGTCTTATTTCACACACCTCTTTAGATTAGAGTTATACCTAAGTCCATTTTTTTCTAGCCTAACAAACCAGCCGACATTTTGAGATGCCACCACTGGTTTCCCCACAAAATGATGTCTGAGGAATGAGCATAAAATGTCCATTTTGATGACCCATCACTACCCAGATCAGGGTAGTGCTTCTCATTGGTTGAAAATTTACTTCATCCATTCAGAAGCAGTACCCAGATCTGCAGGGTTGTCACTAAGAGCCGAGGGCTGGGGATTTCCTGCAGCCACTTTCCTAGGAAACAAAGGAAAAATGAGACCAAAAGAACTCCCAGGCAGTTCAGTTCTGCACCTACAGTGTACTAACTGCATATGCCCGGCAAGTTGAAATCTTAGTGACAGCCCTGCAGATCTGGGTAGTATGGAATTTCTGCACATGTGCTCAGACTTCATTTCAAGGGGAAATCAGTGCTGGCATTGTAAAATGTCAGCTGTATATAAAAGTATAGTAATTTACAGAACAACAATGTACCTTCCTTTGAGCAGTGGTACAATGCTTTTATGCTGTATTTCCATCATGGTAGTGAAGCCCATGTCAGAAATTGCATTCAGTGTCTTTTCACTCACAAATCCTTCAAGTGACTTGAACTCTTTACTATCTGGAACGGTCACATCTGGACAAAAAATTAATATCAAATCTTTCTATAAGCATCAACAATAATATTATTTTCCTCACTACCTGGTAAAAAAAAAAATGCAAGGACCAGACGCATGTGCATGTAAGACATTGTCAAAGCTTTGCCCAGAGTAACTGCTCATAGCAGGGTTCGAAATTAACGGTTGTCCGGTTGTCCCGGAAAACCAAAATTACGATGGGGCAACCAAATTGTGCTAAGTGGTTGCCCCTTGGGCAACCCAATCTGTCGTGGCACTAATCCATAATGAAGACTTGATAGATTTGAATAAATATAACAGCTTGTTGTCTTTGGAGAGTAAGCGATACCTAAACTAAGTTAGTGGAAAGAAAAAAAAAAACGCGGAAGAAATACTAAAGTATCACGTACACTACCGTTGGAAACCGAAGTTCGTTTTTGCACAACATTCTTATTTGAATGAGCCTGTTGTGCTTTAATCAGCGGTTGGTACCAGTAAACATAGTCCATGATGCACTAGTGAGATTCGCTCCGTGATGCCGCCATGTTTGTTTCGACGATGGCAATTTACCATTCGTCTTATTATTACCGTAATCATGTTAGTTAACATGAGCCTCTTCCGCTACTTTGGCCGTGAGAAAGTGAAGGCCGTTGGCGATAACAACAATTTGGAAGCCACGAAGAAAGATGATGATCAAAGCAATGCTACGGCGACGGGTGTCGCAAAATCTACAGCAGAATTAGGCAAGGCGCAAGAAAGTTCAAGAAAAAGGTGTCGTACATTTCAAGAGACGTGGAAGACTAGAAGACCCTGGCTGAAATTTGACGAGAAAGAAAACGCTATGTTTTGCAGTTATTGCAGACAGTTTTCGAAAGATAAATGTTGTAGTTAAAAATTTTCAATAGGTAATTTTTTTTTAACTAGGTAAATATATTTTTGAACTAGGTATTTTTTTTTTAACCAGGTAATTTTACTCTTGCCAGTCAGTCAACTGTCTGAAAAAGGGCCTTCATTTTTTGGGGTGTGGATGAAAAATAGGGGCCTGGTATTTTTAGGGGGTTCTTCAAAGATAGAGAAATTAGAAAAAAGAATTGACAAAATTTCTTTCACAGTTCTCTCTTACTCTCTTTTCCCCTTCTATCAACCTGTGCTCTTTCACTACCTCACAATTCTGTTTCACACTAACTGTGTTGCATTTATATTAACACCATTACTTCATTGAGAATAAAGAAGTATTACTTACCCGCCGTGTATCGAACCAACGACCTTCGTATCAGTTCAGATCTCCTGTCCATCACTCTCTTCTCTAGACCACACTGCTCAATTTAGGAGGCCCTCTTCTATTTCTTCTATTTATTCTTTCCTAGGTCCCAGACTCACCTCGGTCAAAACTTAATTTATGCAAAACGTGCACATGCGCACTTGTATAAAAATGGGACTTGTTCATTGAAAGCGAAGAAAGCGATGGATAGTGTACCGTTTTGTGTCGCTAAAGACACGTTTTACGAAAAGTTAGATTCCCTTAAAGGCTCCAAAAAAAGTAACAGTAAATTGACTGTCTTCATAGATGATGAATTTTACGAGAATGCTAAAAACTGGCTCAAAAATGAAAGCAAGAATCACGAGCAGTTCGGACTGACAAAGACAGATGTAGGGACGATTAAGCGAAAGCAGTGGACCATTCAAAATGACAACATCTTGTCGAAGGACCGAAAAATTGTAGTACCTAGAAGCCAACTTCACGGCATTTTATCCCAAGCTCATTCTTCGACCGCACACCGCGGGAGAGATAAAACTGAAGAATTTGTAAAGAGGACATATGCAGAAATATCTCAACATGTTGTAACACTATTTGTCGGTCTGTGCCATCTACACCAACAACAAAAAAGTGTAACAGACCATTTGAAGCGGCCAATAACGAAACCAATACAGGCAAGTAATTTTCTGGCACACGTACAGTTGGATTTGATAGACTTTAGAAATTTGAATTGTTCTTGTGGAAAAAACCACAACTGGCTTTTACATGCAACTGATCATTACAGCAAGTTTTCCTGGCTTTTTCCTCTGTCACATAAAACCAGTGAGGAAGTATTAGAAGCAGTCACACAACTCTTTTGGCAGGTTGGCTTTCCTAAAAGGCTTCACACAGATAATGGAAGAGAATTCAAGAATAAGAACATGATAGACTTTTGCAATAAACATAAAATTGACCTAGTTCATGGAGCTCCAAGAACTCCGCAAACACAGGGACTAGTTGAAAGAAACAACAGAACCGTTAAGGAAAACTTGGCAAACATCCTTAAGGAGAAACAAGTCAGCTTGAACACCTGGTGCAGATTTGTTGGAGAGGCTGCCTATAAGAGAAATGTCACAATACACAGGGCAACTTCAAAAAGCCCATATGAACTTGTCTTTGGCATTCTTCCCCATAGAAGCATGCCAACAACACCATCACCAGAACAATGTTCCTCTATGGAAGCAGATAGACAACAAGAAAGTGAAGATGAAAATGAATGTGCGGAGAACGCAATTGAAACAGAAGTTGAGGAGCCTACCAGAGTCTCAGACATTAACAATCCTACCTCAAAAAGAAAAGCTGAAGAAAGTTCATCTCAAAACAGAAAGCAAATGAAAAGCCAAACAAATGAAAAACAAAATAAATACAATGAAAAAATGAAATCCGCAAGACCGAGTGTAAAGAAATTTGAAGTCAATGATTATGTCTGTGTCAAAATTGATAAGGTTGATAAAAGTACTGCACTTCATCCCAATGTTCTATTTGGGAAAATAGTTGAAATGGAAAACACATATGCAAGAATAGCAACCAAATTTGGTTTAATAACAACTCTCATTTCCCCCTGAAGATTGACAAAATGCTGGAGACCAAATATTGTTTTTGAAACTACTAAAGAAATAACGTTTACAGCAGCATGTAAAATGGCCATGGAACAATAGACAATAAAGCTGCTTTCAAGTTTATTTTTATACTTGTTGTGTTTTAATAATAAAAGCAAACCATCCATTATTATTTCTTCAAAATCTATCTCCCCTTTCTCTCCTCTTCAATCTGCAAGTACATCTGAACCCTAACCCTTACCCAAACCTAACCCAAACCCTAACCTATCCCTAACCCTAATCTAACCCTAACCCTAACCCTAACCTATCCCTAACCCTAACCCTTACCCTAATCTAACCCTAACCCTAACCTATCCCTAACCCTAACTCCCAGCCCTTACCCTAGATCTAATCCCCTGATTGACTAACTGACAGAGTCAGGCTAATTGCAGTGAAAATCTTGCTCTCTCAGATTGTTATATCCTTATCTTGGCAAAACCCAATATCTCTATCTTTGTTATCAATAAAAAAAGAGTCAGTTACCCCATAGCAAATGAAAAAAATATTTTGGTGCAAAATTACCCAGGTTAAAAAATTGTACCTAGTGATAAATTAAATTTACCTAAGAAAAAAAATTACCTGCAACATAAATATGCCTTTGGGAGCGAAAAAGGTAACAACAGTTTCCGTCTTGATGGGATAAAAAAACATGAAATAAGTGAGGCGCATAAGACAGCTAGCTGTATTAGTTTCTTGGCTTGAACTGGGGCAAGAGCTTGGACAACCAAAATATTCTATGGGCAACCAAACCAAGTCTTGTGGTTGCCCCAGGGGCAACTGGACATAAAAGTAAATTTCGAACCCTGCATAGACACAGTTTACATTCATATAGACAAGAAAAGTACTTCTGACATAATTCCTTTGGAGTTTGTGAACAACATCCTGTGGAAGTAACCATTCAAATGAAACATTTTTAGCTGTACCTTCGTATGACACTTTTCATAATTTAAAAAATTAACAAATAATTTGTCTTTTTTAAAAATAAATTCAGACAAAGGACAATCTGCAGTAAGCTCTGGACAACTGGGTTGCCTGTGAAAGCAATTTATATGTACTACCGTAACCTATAGAAGTATAAATTTGTGCATGTACAGTGAAACCCCTCTTTAAGAACACTTGCTTTATACCAACACGATATATAACCAACAATCTCGTTTGACCCAATGAAAGGCTCATGGATTTTCTATAAAATTAACCCGCTTAATACCAAAAACAGACACTTTTCTGTGTCCCACGTCAGGCGGGCAGTGGTCAACTTTCATATCATCAATCCCACTTTACGGACACTGGTTATCTACTAACAGCATTTTATATTTAAGTCACGAAAATTATTATTTACTAAGAGTAGAAAGTGTACACTGTATATGTAACTTAACACTACACTGTACCTACCTTCAGGTAAGCTCACACTCTCATATGAAGTCCTTTTCTTTTTTGTGGCAGGCTCTAAGCTATTGCCATCTGATATATGTGTTGATTTGGTACCTACATTTAAAAGATTCAGAAAAAAATGCATTACTAGTCAAAACTGTATGTCTACTGAAACACTGAGTACAGTTTACTGTTTGAGTTGTCATAGCAACTGAAGTTGTGATATAATCTTAAAATCTCAGTGTTGAACTAATATACTTCTGAGATAGTTTTTACAAAAGGCACAGAAAAAGAGGCCTGTTTTCAAAAGGAAATTGATAATTGACAGTACCAAAAAAGAGTAAAAATTACTATTAAAAGAAATGTCTACTGATCAGCACTTCAATACAAATTTTAAAAATAAAGGCAAACCCCGCTAAAGTTACGAACACCTGGTTAATACAGACACCTCATTATTACAGACATTTTGCTTTATCCCTGGGGAAAGAAAGCCCCTACATATTCTCAAAACTCAACCCGCTTAATAAGGACACCTTGTTAATACGGACGGATATCAGTTAGTTCATCCCCTAGTGAATTAGCCCCCTACAAGTTCGCCCCCTACTTTCTAAGTTCACCATGGAATGGTATAACTCCAAACTCTAGTCAAATGACACATTTACATTTTATTTAAAGCATACCTGTTAATTGGCTTAGGTTATCGAAGGAAATCTCTAATCAAAGTTAGGAAATTTTATTGTTGGTTGGCGGTAACTGTTGTCTCGAAATCAATGACCTTGATGAAAAAAACTGCGTGGAAACAGCATTTCCTTTAAAATGTTTAAGTTGCGTTTGTAATCACAGAGTGAAGTGAAATTGAGTCAAACTGGATCAATTAAAGCCATTTCGAACAACTGACCTCTACCGACACTTCACATGCAAAAAGTTGGAAAACTAAGGTTATGTCAAGTATGGAAAGCTTCAGCCGATAACGGTTTACATCAAAACAATCTTTTGGTACAAGGTGAGTACGGTAGTTAAAATTGAAATGGGTGATGGATTGTGATGTAAACTCTAAATGAGGCTATTTCACTATGTGCTAATATGAATTGATCAGTGTTATGGGGCAAACTAGTTGAGGGCGAACTCACCATGGGGCGAAACCACTGGCTTCCATACGGACACTTTCTATGGTCCCCTCAGTGTCTATATTAACCGGGTTTGACTGTAACAGGTTACCTTATTAAAGATAATGGGTTTGTTCAAAAATTATACCACGGGTAGCCCAAGCTCAAAATATGAGCGTAATGTGATGCTCATATTTCGAGCTTGGGCTACCTGTGATGATACCAGGTAATTTTGCAGCATATTACTTTGTGATTAATCATGACTACTTACCATTTTGTTCAGGCTGGGACTCATCATTGGTCGAAACCTGATCACCATTTTCTAGACAAAGGAATAATAAAAAGAATTATTAATCGGCTTCGAACCAATTATATTCATTCATGATCAGTCCATTAATTTACCACTGAAAACCTGCACACGTTTTGAAGAGCTGGTGCTTGATTATAATGGATAAGTAGTAAAACAGTTCAGAACATTATTACCCAAACATAAGCTAAGATAGAATATTGTGGCAAAAGAATTCTGGTGTACCTTGTTCGACCTTGTTAACGATTTCTTCTAACGTTTCTCGACTTTTCCTTGTACCCTTTCGTTTCTTTGCTTTCGGGCCTGCAAAATTGAAATGAACTGTGATAGCATTCAAGGCAGATTCAACGGACAGCTGTATTAAACTTCGGAGCATACCAGCGCGGATCATCTAGCCTCTCTTACCTTTGTCGATTGCTGCATCGATGGGGCCCAGCTTTCGTTTCAACAATTTCCTCTTTTTACGTTTCAACTGTCTGTCCATCATCAATTCCTTAAAATGAGCATTTTAAATTGTAAAATTTAAGCTTAGTTGTATTTAAAAAAGGCACCCAAACAAGAATTGACCTAAGCAATAACGCACGTGAAGCTTGGTAGCCAAGCCTTCTTTAAGAGGTAGGTACTTCATATATGATTACAAAATGTGGACGACCTTCGATAACAATAACCCAGGCGTCCAGGGCCTGTTCGAACGCCGGTTAGCGCTAACCCGGTTTTAACCCGGGTTTCTTTTTCTTTTTATCAAAAGCACTCTATCGGATAATTTTCTCTATTCTTTCTAGAGTATCCAATCATCAACTTGTAGGCAAAAAGAATTAAAAACTGAATTTGCTCAACCTCGTCCCCAGCTGGGCGCTTTTCCAGGGCTTTTCCAAAGCCGGTAAGGTCCGTTCGGACAGAACCGACTGGTCAAAGAGGACCACCTCTGGAGGTTGACCACTTTGACCGGAAACTTTCCTCGTGGACCGAAGCGTTCCATTTCGACCAAAATTTCCGCATAATGGAAAGCATCCCTGGTCTAACTGCCCGGAAAGTCTTAACGGTTTTGAGCTGTCAGCTCAGCGAATACAAAGGAACAGAGGCCTCTGCAGCAGGGAAATTTCCTCTTCCTTCAGGTTTTTTTTGAAACAGGACGGTGACCAACATGAAAACCTAGTTCGGCTACTTTGGGCACTGTGCACGTACATAAAGTTTAGTTAGTTTTCATGGCGTATTCGTCATTAATTTTTTGTAATCTCTATTTTTTCAGGAGCCTCGCGATTTTTTTTAAGTGCGCAATAAAGTTGACTTGACTTATAAGGCCTCCTTTTCATTCTCTCGAGTTTTCGTTTTGTGTTTTTGTCGAGTGGATAGTGCAAAAAATAGATATTGGGATAAAGAAAGTTTTTAGAATTTGGCTCGTGCTTTCGTTTGCATGTTATAATCCTTTACATATGTGAAGATTTAAAGCCTGCTGGCGATTTTGTTGAGACCTTCTCACTCGAGCAATAAAAACGTTAAACTGAGCTTCACGAACTGAGCAAAGATGAATGCATTTCGCACGGTTTACATTTCTTCCGCGAACGACAGAAAGGTTTACGTCGGGTATCGCTTAGCGTTGTGCGTGGAGATACAAACTGAACACAGAAAACTGGACGAAAAGAAGAAAAAAGAATGCATGCAATGACAGCTTACCACAATTTGTTATTATAACCTGTTCCAGGTTCCGAGATAGTCAGGTCCGCTGAATTATGAAAAAAATATGAGAGAAAGCTCACCTTTTTCCCACCCTGCCAACTTTTCGAGTGCCTTTCAGTTTCCCGTCCTACCCACTATCTGAGAGCTTGGAACAGCCTATGTTATTATGGCTCTTATTTGGCTTTCTGCTTGTATAATGATAATGGTCTCTTTTAGGGGTGGAATAAAGACTAAACCAGGCCCAGATTGGAAAGGCGTATCTCCTTTAGTCTTAAGGGGTTTGATTTCAACTTTCCAACAAGGATCCCCGTCTATTTCACATGGGAGTTCAGCTACCCCACCAGACCTCCCCTGTTTAAACATATCGTTCGCCCCGGGATTACCTCAGTCAGCAGAGCACTTGCTCAGGGAGTGGGAGATCGCAGGTTCGATTCCCGAGGAGACGGGACCGTGCAATACTCAGGGTAATAACTGAGGAAGAAAGGCATTGCATTTTAGTAAAATCCAACTAGTGGTCTATTATCAATGCTGCGTTCTGATTGGTTGAGCTACTACTAGACTATATGTTATAGCCTACTAGTACCGAAAAGAGCGCGCTTTTGGCGGCAAAAAAGGATTAAAGTCTAGCTTTAACTAGCTAAGTTTTTTTTATTCTCGATATTTTTGACCAACTAGTTGGATTTTACTAAAACAATTATTCCTGTCGCCCTCATGGCCGCTGAGTCAATAGCCATTCGGCCTTCGGCCTCATGGGCTATTGACTCAGAGCCCATTCGGGCTCGAGGAATAATTGTTAATTAGTTAGTCACGGATTTCATAAAGCGACTTAGCAACCCCGGGGCCTCAAACCAAATACTTCAAGTACGAGCGCGCCAGTTTAAGCACCAAACACTTCAAGTATTTGTCGAAAAGGACTGATTTTCATGAATCGTTCAAGAGATTAAGTGTATACGGTTAGACCAGTGAAGCTAGCCAGAGGCAATACTCTATTCGCTGAGTTCCATTGCCAGTTAAGATCTTTCAAGAGATTTCACACAAAAGATCTTTTCGGTGTCATTAATAATTACTTGTTTGCACGCGCTTTGTCAGACTAGCTCGTGAGGGATAAAGGGATTTGGTGTTCAGGATCCAGAAGCTTTATCGTAATAAGTCCCAGAATTTCGCAGTCGGTCCAACTAAATCCACCGAAAATATCGTCTGTATATACCGAAACAGGGCCCTGAAAAGTAGAACATAAGGTTTGACAGAGTAGAGTTAAGCGGAGGTCTTTTGAACTTTGAGCTGGGGTTTGTTGGGGTGTTCCTGTACCGGGGTTTAGAAAGCCTAGAAATACAGCGGCCTCTAACTGATCTCTCTCCCCCCCTCCACCCCCGTTTACTGATTAACCTTGGAAGGCGAGAGGAAAAGGTTCCTTTTTTTCTTTTGCCAGCGTCGCTCGTCTAGGAAAAGACAAGACGCTGATCGCAGGTTACTACTTATGTGGTACAACTTAAGCGAATGGCAAAGCAAATAAAAAGTAAAAGAATGTGGGCATTTGTAAAGAACGAGAAATTGACCCTTGTCGCAGCTCAGTTTCAAAAATCGATTGTTGGATTTTTTTCAGTCAAAAAAACCCGCTTATTGCTGCTAGAATATGTTTAATTTGGTCTAATCCGTCTCTAAATATCAGAGTTATGCGATGCTCGTGTAAAAAAGTTACATATAAGTCCAAGTCACAAATAACTGATTCACACGAAGTTAAACTCGGCCTTGAATACAAGAGTGGCAAAGTTGTCCGTTGGTCTTCAAAATTGTCTATAAGTTGCGGGCGACTTATACCTTATGTTTTGCACCCTGCATGAACTTTGCCGGTAATTTGTCGTTATTTAAGATGATCTTTAAAAGTTACAATCTGGCAAAACATTTCCTGCAAGAATGTAAATACAGTAATCTTAACGAAAAATTAATGACCTGGGTTATAATTTATAGTCAAAGTGAAACTTTTTACTAAAAAGAATTCGCAGGATATAATCTACCATGTAATTCACGGCTTATCCTGAATCAATGATTCTCTATAAGTCTAATCAGTAGCTTGAGGTCTGTAAGTCATAAATCCATAAACTTTTAAGTCACGTTTTGAACTTTTTTCAAGTCACCTGGGCTCCAAAAATCATTTTCTCTGATCGAACGAATTTTTTTTAATTCTCAAGAAGAACTTATGCGTAATTGCTAACTGCCTTGTAAGCCATCTTGGCCGCAAAGCAGGCGTTTTTTAGAACAATTTTTTTTGTAATCACGAAAGGATAATGAGACAGAAAAATTATTACTTAGCTTCCTGTAGTATTGGAACAATGCATTTAGATCAAAAGAGGCTAAGAAGCTATGAGAGGCCTAAAAGATCGTGGTCGGTGGATCTATGTTCAGTTGAAGAGACACTGAGATCAATCAATCAATCAATCAATCAACAACCTACAATAGCGTGACCTTAACCCGTCTAATCCCCTTTCTAATCCAAGGGTGTTTCTGTGAAAACGTCATGAGAAGTTCCTTCTTCATTCTAACTGCTCTTTCACTTGTCCTTACTTGGAGCAGGGGTTATATTAAAATGCAACTGATGAAATCATTTCCGTCGAAAACAACCTAAAATTAAAAGCGTGATCTCCAGCTCCTTGTCTCACTGACTACCGTAAGTGGCTGTCGATTTCCTCTCAAGTAGCACCTACATCTATAAGTCGTTATCCTTTTCATTTCTCTGATATTCTGTCAAATATTGCTTCCGTATCAAGGAAATCCGGTGTTGAATGCCTCTTATGCCTTAAGTAACGGCAACCATGCAATTCTTTCTCCCATGAAGGTGACGTCGACAAATTCTCCTCATGATTCGGCATATGGTCGTCGGCACTCATTCGTTTTCCCTCGCCGTGCATATGCGTCGACTTCTCATGCCTTACAGTTTTCTTAAATTCGCTCTTTCTCAGCCTGTCCCCTGGCATATGACCAATCGGCAGAGTCGAACTTCGCTGACGCTGTCGTGACGACGTGGCATTTCCGTGAATGCTTTCGGACATCATTCGTAAGCGAGTCGGAAAGCCGTGTTCCGACAGTGGTGGAAGTGGACTATGGCCTAATTTTGGAGACTTTGAATGCTGTTTCGGATTAACAGAGGTTTCTTCAATTATACTTGGTAGTTGAAGAAAGTTTTGTTTTTTACTGTTGTCTATGGCAGAAATTTGTTGCACCTTTTTCTCGCCCACACTTGGGATATCTTCATTGTCCACTGATGAAACGCAACGACTACCATTTTCCTCTGCAGCCTCTTTGCCCTCTTCGCTATCACTATCAGAGGAGGTTTCGCCACCAGAATGCGTTAAATTATAATGCATTGTTCTCAGATTGTATCTCTCGTTTAAGATCTTTGCGATGTTCGTATTATGCTCGATATCTATGCGACGAAGCTTTTCGTTGAGTTCCGCATTGGACTTCTTTCGAATCACCTTGTAATTTTTTGAACTTTGTCGGGACAACCCTGTGTCAGAACTAGTGTTGTAATATCGAGACATCCTTCTTTCCCTCCTCCAACGCAGATCTAGGAAAATTGTTGTAGCGACGTCTGTGTTCCCGTACGTCTTATATAGCCAGAAAGACAACAACAGAACGTATATTATGTACAGTGGTCTTCGGGTGTTTGTAAACAGTGAAAATCCGTGTAGTAAGAGCCTTTTCCTTTAGCTGTTTTCGGATTACGTTGTCAAAACAATTCTTCCTCTCGTCTGTCTACAAAGGAAACTCCTTTGCACGGTACTAATTCTGTTTTCGTACATGAATTGACCCATTCAGTATTTAAACGTATTTCGCCATACTACGTAATTTAAGAATGCACTTCATAGCCTTGAAGCACAAAAGGTTGGCGCCTCCGCTTGTTAAATCAAAACACACCCTCGTGACAGGCGATTGAATTACCAACCGCAAATTTCCGAGCTACTACTGATTGTTTTTTCATATGGCCCATAATCCGGTAGCCTGCGAGAGCATCCGCTTTTTTCGGCTTTAGTTTCTAGTTTCACCCGCCGAGCTGAAAACAATTTTTCGGAGGGAGAGCGGAGAAGCGACGACCGGAAATACGTCTGCCGTTCGCAGGCTAATAATCCTGGAGGGAACCCTCAAAGGAAAGTGAGGGACCGATGCTTGTCGTCCCGCTGACTAGGAAGAAATTCAGTACCCCTTGAGGTTTTCAGAAGGAAAATCATTATGCCGTGTCTACCCACTGTAAAGGGTTGTGCGTTAAGAAATATCTGGTATTTATATGAAAAACGTAATAAACAAACAAACAAATAAAAACTGCCAAACAAATACACGTCGGATACTATGTTGGAGTTTGTCTCCTCTCTGATAAAGCCTGAGCCACTCCCAAATTTGGTCTCCTTCATAGGAATAGAGGCTTAGTTCTAATTTTCCGACGTGCACCCGGACTTTTTCGTATGGCACCCCCATGGCCCATGATATGATCGTAAGTGCTTTCGCTAGCTAGGTATAATTTTTGTACAAAATTGTAAATGTTGAGTGCTGCAGTTAGCTGGAAAGGATTAAAAAGTAAATAATGTTTCTAAATTTACCCCAAACTTGGATCTCTGTCTGCCTAGCCTCGATAAATATGTTAACGACGTTCAGGCGCCGATTAAATAGAGATTTTGATACGATGATAACTCGTCTTTCAACCGACTTTTCACGAGGACGCCATATTAGAGGGAGTCTGAAGGTGGGTTGGAATGGGGGTTGGATGGCGGTGATCAAGTCGCTTTGTGCTTTTCTCCGTTCTCAGACTGATTTTTGCCACCAGCCTTTCAAAAGGACATTCACTTGATCCATTCAGCAGTTATCGTGATTTTGTGGTGAAAGATGAAAAAAGGTGAGTCACCTGCGTGACAAGAAACGAATATTTAGCATACTGCGAGTGATTTCAAATGAGAGAGAACACACGCACCTTTCTTTAATTCGTAAAGCAATTTAGGTTTTAAAACAGAGTCAAACTGAAGATTAGGAAAATTGGGAAACGTCTTTCCTCTAACGATGTTCTCACGATTTAGAAGGTGCTATTTAATTTGGCAAAATGCCTATGTCCCGGCATAATCAGGCTTTAGTTCAGATAGGATTAGACTACGGTGGAAGTATCGTTTTCATCACGCGACATTTAATAGTGGCTTACGATCACGCACATAGCTTTTCGAAAAAAGCTCATGACTTAGGGCCTGTTTACATGGAGGTGGGGGACCACAGATAGGTGAGGTAACCCGCTTAGGTGGGGTAACCCGCTTGCCCAAATAATCTCAGATTTTAATTTGATCACCGCGTTTACATCAGTAGGTGGGGTAAACCGCCACATGTTACCTCACATACCTGGAGTACCCCTGGCTCTTACTCACCTCACTGAAGAAAAGTCGCAAAATCACTTTTCTTTTATATTTTATGTTAATTAGCTTTCTTTGCCTCAATTGCCAAGAATTTTAACCTTGATAGAAGACAATAAGGGCCGATTGTTATGAAGACAAAAGAATTAACTACTTGCCACCATTTCTGGAATAAGGTGTATGCCGGCAGCGATAAAGCAAAAACTGCAAGCTTCCCGGCGTGGTCAAGTAGTCAATGGAACGGATCTCGAACGAACTTTTTACATTGTTTTATTGAACTCAATCAAAGAGCGCAAAAAACGGGAAAATGAAAGAAAGAAAGAAACAGGAAAAGCAGAAAAAGTCCCGTCGGTACTCTGGGACCAGTAGAATTTTCTTGCCAGGCGATTAGTTCGTAAATCCGCGAATTGACAGAAAACGCCTTGTTCATCGATGGTGGGTTCAAGCAGAAACTCATAAGGGGTTGAGGAGCTAGCCTGTTCCAGGCGTTCAGATAGTGGGGATCGGTGCGAAGTATCATCGCTTGCTTTACTCCGCACCGCTCGCCACTATCTGAACATGTACAAGTAGTTGGAGGTCATGCAGCCGAGGATCAAAAACAAATGCGAACTTCCAGTGGGGGAATAACTGAACCATACCGGATCAGTCCACACGAAGTTTTACAGTTATGATTGATTGATACAGGGGCAACATTTATTAGGGGAGAATGATAAAGGGAAAGGAAGATGGGGGGGGGGGGCTTATTAACTTTCTTCCCTAAAAAGGGGGAGTTTATTAGAGAGGGGGGCTTAATAGAGGATTTACAGTATTGCTCTTTTCATTGGGATACCCTTAGCCTGTTCCAGGCGTTCAGATAGTAGAGCGCGGGAGAAAAATTCACGAAGAAAAAAAAAACGAGGAGAGACTAGAGGGGGAAAGGGGGAGAGAACTCCCGGTGTACAACTTAACTCGCTCCTCACTTACCGCTGCGCTCTACTATCTGAACGCCTGGAACAGGCTAGGATACCCTCGGGAGCCTCTAAGAGGCACAGAACCTATCCGATATGCGACGATCCACTTTCACGGCGCAGACTCGCTCCGTTACAGAATCTGAGCCGAAATCAACGTTACAATGAGTGAACAAGAGCCCTATCCTATACGGTTTTCGTGCTAGCGCAGGAGTTATCCGGTATAGCTTAGAACGTATCAAGAGGAAAATTATTATATCCACCATATTGAGCAGATTGAGGCAGTATCATGAGTATGCAGGCACATGAAACAGACTGAGTAGTTGGCGAATGGTACGTGGGCAAATTTACTGGTTCCGATCTCTCATTTTATGACACAAATAACTGTCAAGAGCGAGACATCTGCACAAGTCTTCGCTACGAGCACGATATTAAAGCCGGATAGGAGGTTTTACAATTTAACCTTTTTGGCATATTTGTCAAAGTCTTCTTTGGTCAGTGTGTAGGCCCAGTGTTGAAGAGTTTGCCGTACTACTGGTGACACAGCAAAGTTATCAAACGCACAGCCGCTTCGGACAATCTTTGAGATAAGATTATTTTTCCAGCGTCCCTTTTCTCCTGCACATTTCTTCCAGCGGTCTACCTGCCGTCTGTCATCATCTGTACGACGACCGAGATAAAACCTGCAATACCTGTTAGAAAGAAATACCGTGAGTCCAATTGTTTTTGTAGACATTGTAACAAAGACCATTAGATTCTAAGACTAGGATAGCCTGTTCCAGACTCTAAGATAGTGGGGAAGACGCGAAAGTGAAAGGTACGCGAAAAGTTGGCGGGACAGGAAAAAAGAAAAAGGAAGGGATATTCACTCCGGCGGACCCGACTACCTCGGAGCTTGGAACAGGCTAAGACGAGGACCACTACGAAGGCGAGATTTTCTTGATAGTCTCTGACAGGGCGCTTTCCAAAAGTCAGAACTGACCGGCCGGACGATAGCCGGGCCAGTCATTTTGACAATGAAAAATACTTTTTTCCCAAGAGTTTTTGTTGAAGCACCATCTCCTTTGTGCATGCTATTTAGCATTGGACTGATCTGGCTGGATAGTTTTGATTAAAAGTAAAATTCTCATTATGACTTGAATGGTCTGGCCGGTCAGTTCTGATAAATGGAAAACGCCCTAATTAGGTGCACGCGTGAACCACCGTCATTTTGGCGGGTAAACAGTTCATACCCTTCGTCATTCTACCACACGTTTTAGAGAAAATGTCGTAGTGGCGGGTACAAGTTATAAAATGTTAGAAGTCTCATCATTTTGCAATCGGAAGAGGGCTTAACCTTCTTCAATGAAAAGTAACAGTGTTAACCTTTCTGGAAAAAAAAAAGTTTTCAGAGGCGTCATTTTTTAAGAATACAGTACACGGAAAAACTGAAAGTTAAATCGCATCCTTGAATCTAAAGGTCTCTAAATTTTAGCACACGATCTCACTTGCCGCTTCTGAGATGGTACTGGCAAGTGGGATTTGAAAAGTGTACTATACGCCACTTGCACATCTCCCATATTGCACCTTATTTGCCCTCCAAAATTTTGCATAAGCTTTGTTTTTCACTTCTCCTGGGTATTACAGCCGTCCCAAGAAAAATTGAAAAGTGCTTATGCAAATCTTTGGGGGGCAAATAAGGTGCATTATGGGAGATGAGCAAGTGGCTTATGAAAATGTTGTTTTTTGACTACAATTTACAGCAAGGAGGCCAAAAGTGTGACCTCCTTTAATTAATTCACATTCTTTCATGCAGACATAACCAATCAAAAGTCGAGGACAGTCTCCAACTGGCTTCTGATTGGATTAAATCTGTACGCAAAAATGTGAATAAATAAAGAGCAGTCACACTTTTGGGTTCCTTGCTGTGTACCACAAGACAAAAAAAAGTATCACATAAGCCTCCTCCGAGTAACTTGGTAACCATTAAGAACTGAGAGGCTCAGATGGTAACCAGCAAACTAGGCTGTGCACATGTATGGTCACCCAGTCCATGAAGGGAAAGGGTGACTGTCCACAGTGCCACAGACTTCCAGCAAGAAGGCTCTTGTTAATGTGGTTTTCAGCCCAGTTCAGCCACATGGGAAATTCAGGGCACAATTAAGAAAGTACAGTAGACTATTTAGAGTCCCCTGTTTTTCTGGCCAGTTGGGCGCATCATAGATGTGGCTGGTTTCCTGTGATGAGTTACTTGTGCAGGCCCCCCCCTAAACAGTATCAACCCATCTTGTTAAAATTTGCTTTCTTTCTTTTATACGCTCAAACGGATTTAAACCAGCCCTGCTCCTACTTACCAGTGAAACCAGCCATATGGATCTTGTTTATGAATCCAGCCGGATGATTCCCACATTTCCAAGCTTCCTCCACATTTGACTTTGTATGTATTGACTTCATTGCGATACAGTGATGAAGTAATTTGCGTTTTGATGTTCAGTCCCTTAAACCAGTCAGAGGGAAATTCCTTGTGCACCTCAGAAGAATACTTTTGGCCTGTGAATTGAGTTAAAAACAGTACAAATATTAAATACCACATTTTCTTGAATAAGCATCATATGAGGTAAAAAAGTTAATCAGTGCTGCCCCCAAATATAGTAAAGCACAGGAGCACCAAAATTATCAAAATCACAGGGCACAAAGGAGTTATTTGTGACATGATTTGATTGCAGTTAAACATTACAGTTCATAGTGAGAATCCCCTTTGTTTTAAAGTGTGGACTAGAATGGAATTTGAACTTGACCAATCAAAGCATTATGCAATCAAGTAACAACCTAGTACAATATTATCCATTGTTCAGTTGGAATGAATGTTGCCTAAACAGCAATGCATTCAGAAAGTGAAACCTTTCAAATGAGGCACAATGTACAGAGAAGAAAAGGAGTACAGAAACAAGTCAATTCAGACTGAGAGTGGTTTCAGGTAAACAGAGGCAAGAAGAAGTTCCAAAGTAGTACCAGTTTTTCATTCATAACGGTTTAAGATAAGATAGAAAAATAAGCTATATAATAGAAGAGTTCATTGAGGCCAGGAATTGACAAGAGTCCTGTCCAGTGTCATCTGGAATAAGTAGATTACCTTGCTGGGCAAGTAACTATTTAACCTCACTTGCCCAACAGGCAAGGTTCCATGCATGTCATAAGAAAAGCAAGCAATGGCCCTGGGGAAGCAAAATGGGAGGAAAGCTTGTCTAATCTGAGCCCTGAGTGTAAAATTGACTAAACCAGTCTGAATCGTCCCGGAAGGTAGCCTATTAGGAAACAGCTGACATAGAGTGTATGGTGCTGCAGGTAACAGAATTACCCAACTTGTCTTCAAGGGCTGGAAAATCAGTATGGAATTTTTGGGCTTGTTCCTCAGGACGTCATTTGATTTCGTGAGGAAGCCAGTAGCCTGCGGACACAGATGTAATTTCGGGTGGAGAGAAGCGAAAACCGGAATTATGTCTGTGTCTGCAGGCTAGGAAACCAGTGGCTGCGTCGTAAGGTGTTGGCTGTTTTCTCAGGCTATTTGCTTTGTTGGGAACTTGGTTTAAGCCTCCCTTGATGTAACCAGTGTCTTAGTACTTAACAAATATATTTGATTGTTTTAATAGTAAAGTCTTGGTATTCGGGAAATATATATGTATGTTGTAGGTAAAATATGTTCTCAGATTAAACCAGTGTTCAACTTAGTTTGATTCACAATTTTTAAGTTTCCCCTGGTTTAACCTGAGACGGAATTTCACTCACAACATGGCCACCTGTCGATTACTGTAGCTGTGGCTATACATGTATAATGTGAAATGCAGATAACTAACTGACGAAGAGACCTGTGACCAATGAACTTTACTTTGGTAGTCTACCTGTGACGCTTGAATAAATAGGTCTAAAGTACGTTCCTCCAAAGCTTCCAGCTTGAAGTACTTCTTTCGGTGTCAGGTTTGGTTTGAAATCTGGAAAATCGGGAAATATCAGCTTGCCATGTTTGTCGCGTTTAGGGCTATCACCAGGCGACGCTGTCTTCGTCGATGTCGCTTTTGACGTCTCGCCCTTGCTTTCTTTGAGTTTATCCTTAGTTTTTTGCTTTTTCTTTGATGGCCCTTCGCTTGCCGGAGGTAAAGATCGTTTTTTGGGAGCCATAATACGTGAATAAGACGAACAGAAGCGAGTTACATAACCAAACAACGCCGTTGTGCACGACGCTTTCCGGACACTTTCAGAAATTTTTTGTTCGTGCAGCTTGTGCCCAGGGCTTCTCGGATGACGCCATTGTTTGACGACACTCGCGGGACGGGACCGTTTCTCGGGATAAGATGCGATCAGGCGTTCTTTTCTCGTAGGTTGGGTCCCAGGAAACCCGAACGCTGTATTTGCTAATAAAATAATGAAATGCATTTACCTTTGTTCCTTTGTCTTTATGAGTCGTTTTGGAAGGGATTTGAATCCGATCAGAGACGGTTAACATTGCTGTGAATGCGTTTGCTTGTCTGGCGTGCCGTATTAAAATAAGACGCTCAAGTTTCCAGTCTCACGTTTCTAATACTGTCGAATCGCCTATTTTAAACTCTGTACCAAGAGGTTATGATCTCTCAGACATTATTTGCGGCAAAAACAGAAGTCTTTACAATTCATTTATTGCCAGAGTCAGGTAGAAAGGGCGGCGAGCAGTATTTTTTTCGCCCACGCCGACTTTTTTCTTCTTTTCCCCCCAATGCGGAGCCTGGTCCCTGGCCCCTTTAGCACTTTGAAGATTTAACCTATAAGTTCTTCCTTTTTATAGACGAAACATCAAATCGACTGGGACTCTGCGACATGTATTACGTACTCTACAGACCACTATCAACGTCTCACTTTTTTAGAAACAAGCTGGTTTTCTAACTTCGAACCAACGCCACTGTGTTACCGGCACAGTACAAACGACTTATTGACGGAATCAAGCAAAACTAACTACGAGAGAACGACTGGACAACTGTGGTGATGTTGCAAGGAGAAGGATACGGGACCTACGGTTTTTCGTCCTTATTCGTCAGGGGCACCCAACGAGAATATAGTTCAAAACCACTCAAACATAGCATTGTTGAACGTTTTTTAGTATTTAAACGGCAGATATAGGCACATTTTTATCCCCTAAAAAGTTTTCATCTGTTCGGATTTCCTAGCTGAAAGTCTAGTGATGCCAAAATTATAGGGATCAAAACTTACCTTTTCGAAAATTTTAGCCAGAAAAAAGGCTCCCGAAAACTCTAGGTAACCTTTTTAGGATAAAAAATCCGTTAAAAATGGGCAATTATACAATTTTTTAGATGTTCGAAAATCCTAGGAGAGGCAGACAAGCAAGAAATTTTACAACAAATGTTCCGAAAATTCTAGATCTCAAATCGTCTTCCGAACAGATATTTTCCAAAAATTGTCGTTGGGTCACTGATTCGTGAAGAGTAGAAAGTCTAAGCATTTGCAGATGTCATTACAAAGGCAGCACTTTCTTCTCAATTATTTTAAAATGACTTTTTAAATTACATCGTCCAGCGGACAGGTCATGAGAATAGACAAGTGTATCAGCTACAGTAGAACATGTATTGATATAAAGCCCCAAATTCTCTAAATTGATGTACATGTAAAGGGAAATGCATAGTAGCTAGAAAGGATCATCAGAGTTGTGGGCACAAATCCGGCTTTTCTTCACTGCTGTTTGTCCAAGTGGTCCGGCTTACATAGACTGCAAAAGAGTCCGTATTTTTGCGAATTCAAGTACACGCGAGCAGTCAAACAAAAGGTCTCGAACAAGGCTGAAAACAGAGAGCGAGACTGGGGAGAGACGCTAAAAATACGCCTACTAAACGCCCTACGGGCCTGTGAGGCTCGCGCGCTTCGCGCGCGTGAGACTCTTAAGCCACGCTTTACCGATTTCTTTACTGATTTTGAGAAAAAAACCGACTGTTTTGCAGTCTAGGCTTACAAGACTGCTACAAGGTGTAGTCTGAGAAAATAACCGACATTTAGCTAAGCCACCACTGGTTTCCCAGTGTCATTTCAGTTGTCGAAAAAAACTTTCGCTGTGCCAGTTTTTTTAAATATTTTCTGAAGCTTTGCTTTTAGCTCAAGGAGCGCTTCGTTTTTCGCACACCAGCGCGAAACGCGAGTGATTGGTGACGAAGCGCAAGGATTGGTAGACTACGAGTAGTCCCCCATTTTCCCTCAGGGATAGTAGAGCGAGCGAAACGCGAGCGCGCGTGAAAATCACCCCACGCGAGAAAGGCGATACGTCTCCCCGCCGCGTGTAGCCTCCCCGCAGACGTCCTTTGGGGTTCGTTTGTCATTTCTTCCCCACGGAGGGAGAAATGAATGCGTGACAAACGAACCCCAAAGGACGTCTGCGTGGAGGCTACGCCGCGTGTCGCCTTTTCTCGCGTAGGGTGATTTTCACGCGCGCTCGCGTTTCGTTCGCTCTACTATCCCTGAGGAAAAATGGGGGACCTACTCGTAGTCTAAAGGATTGGATGCGCGCAAATCATTCTTTTCTTTTCATTGAGAGAGAGAAAGACTTATGGGTATGAGGCAGAGAAATCACTCTGAACTTTTTTCACCCTGCCCGATACTTCTATTAAGGTTCAATTGAGTACTTCATTATTGCAACTAAATTGAAGTGTGATAAATAGTTTTTATTATTTTCAATTCCTCCTTGTTTTCCTCTTTAATTATCCCAGGTATGTACAAAATAGAAAATCTGCAACAGTTGTAAGCAAAACCGATACGAAACCAATACTACAAAACAGTGACCACATTTACGATCATCTAATGCCCGTAAGCAAATATTCACAGGACAAAATTACTTGACTTCAGCTCAAAATTAGTCCTTATTTCTCGCATATACGGCCTTACTGGGTAAAGACATTCAATAAACTAATACCAAAAGAGCATCTGAGTAATTTTCTAGTACACTTCCGTAGGAATGTTTGGTCAGCCATGAGGATAAACCTTCTTCAGCCACGGTCTTGGCAGATAACGAGCACCATCAAATTCAACAAAATATTCTTCCAACGTCTGGTGAACAACCTGCAAGGAGGAAACAATATGTGTGCCCTGAACTTCCCAAAATAATACAGAAAGCAAATTAAATTAAGAGCTCCGTAGAAATGGCTAGACCTTCCTGTGGCTTAGAGTGAGTCACTTTGGAATTTTGGTTTCATGCTAGGTACATTATAGCTCTTTCTCATAACTACCCCTTGTACGGCAAAGACAACTCCATTGTCCTCAGGTCTTTTAAAGGCCCCAACTATTGCACTACACATAAAGCCTGCAACATTATGCTTTGCAGACCAATACTCCGTCTTTGCCCACCACCTCACACTTCGTCAGCCGTGAGGTTCTTTCCAGTTTGTACTGAGATTCACACTGAGATATTACCATTACAAATTCGCTTTAGTAGTCAAGCACTTGAATAAACCATACCAAATCAGTCTACATGAAGTTTTACAGTCAAGATTATCGAGGAAGTGAGGGGGGTTTAAAAGAGAGGGGGTGAGGCTTAATAGTTTCCTGGGGGCTTCCTACATTGGGAAAATGTTAACTCTAGGAACCCTTTAAAGTGCACTTTGGGACTAGGAAAACAAATTTAGCCTGGAAGAGGGCACCTTTCTTCACCCACATTAATTGGCTTTATTTCAGATTTTCAGATTTATATCACGATTCTCCTTTATATCTAACAGAAGTGATGAGAAACAAATACGATGCAAAAATTATTTTCTGTGAGTAGCTGGTTCTTCTGTAATGACTAGTTGGAACTTTTAGCCATTTTCATTATGAGCTTATCAAGGACCCTAAGCTGCAGCAAGCCATAAAATACATTCAAAAATAAATATTACCTTGGTATTTGTGAGAAGTTCAATGTTCTCCTCAGGAACGTAAGTAATCTGACTGCTGGGTCGATCCCGTATATCAACAAGAATAGCATAGTTAGGCATGTCTCGCCAATGCTGCACAAAAGAAATTGATAGTTACTAGATCAAATATAAATTATGCTCAAAAGAATAAGCATAAAAAATAAGAGCGAATGATAAAAAATAAATAAACAGAATAAAATTATAGCTAGCCGATTTTTTGAAAACCAACCTTAAAAAAGTTACTGTCATTTGAGTGAAAAGGTGTCAAAAGGTAGGCTTTTAGGGCCCGATAAGCTAAAAAATCACAGTAATGAAGAAAAAGGAAAGGTTCGGAAAAAGAAAGAGCAAGGAGGAAGAAAGGAAGAGAAGTTTTTATAATGGCTTCTTTGGCCAAAACTGTTTGGATGCAAAAGGGCCATTTGGTAGTAACCTTTTCAAAAATCCGGCAAGATATAAAATTGCTAATAAATAACAACGATCAAAGACTAAATTAAAGTCTTTCAACCCTTTAACTCTGGAAAGTGATCTGCATGTAACTTCTCCTTGCAATATCAATACATTGTCCAGCAGACAGGTGATGAGAATAGGTAAGTGTATCAGCTACTTATTAATGTACATGTACAAGGAAATGTATAGCAGCCAGAAAGGAGTCAATTGGGAGTTACAGAGCTATAAGAGTGTAGCCTGAAACACAGGAACACATGTTCTGCTTGACACCTCTCTGACAAAAGGCAAATTGCTAATAAATATGTGAATAATGAAAATAGCTGTTAAGTTATAAGACTGCTATCTATAAATGCTCAGAGAATAAAAGAAAGCTGCATGTCAAGTACACAATACGAAGAAAGAAAATCAAACATCTTTACCTTTTTATCACCATGGTTATTCTCTGCCCACAACTCTGATGCCTGTGAAAATGATCAATCATTTGTCTAATTAGTAAAATTTGTTATATATATAGCTGGAAATTTTTCCCCAACAGCATGGGCTCTCATTGGTTTACTTCGAGGTCACATGACATCTAACAATGAAAATGTTTCCCGCCAAAATCTCTCAGCAGGTAACCTTGCAAAATCTATGACATCAGAGGCTAACAGTGCACTGTTCCCTGCAAATGTTGACTGACGACTGCTGTTACAGCGAGGTTTAATGAATTTCCAGCTATAATATAACAAATCACTTAAAGACTGGTCCCTTGGGAAACAGTAAATTTTGTTTTCCTTGAATCTCAATTCTTGGGAAACAAAATTAACTGTTTCCTGAGGGACCAGTCATTAAGTGCTTAGTGTTACACATAATTTATAGGTTTTAATATACATTATTTAGAAGCAGCCTCCCAAGAAAAGAGTCACAGACACATGTTTTATTGATATTAAGACTATAGCAGACAAAGAGGAGGATTAGGGGAGGAACAAAAAGCCAAGAAAGTGAAACTCGTGTAGAAACAGGTAGCCAACCTTCAGAACTTTACTGAAGAGTTACAGTACAATGTGCAAGGGTCAATTAAAAGATGGAAAGAAAGACTGGCTTTATATCAAAATCAAACATGTCACGCTATCTTGCTACTTTTATTTCATGTACTGAAATCATATTAACCCACAAAAATCTGTCAATTTTTGTGACTTGGGAAAACAGAAATTAGTGTCCTTTGTTCATGTTAACTAGTGTCTGTTATCATTAAAGTGGGCTAATTTTTAAGAAAATGTTCGAGCTTTTTATCAGGACAAATGAAACTGCCCATTATATTTGGGTGTCACAGTCAGTCGTATTACAAAGTGGGTGTCCATAGAACAGGGTTCCACTGTATTACACATGTTTCACTGAGACCTTTTGCCACTATACCCTTGCAAAATGTTTACTCAAAGAAAAAAATAAAATTGTGTCATGCTTAATGGCGAGGGCAATGAGAAGAGCAAAAAAAAAACAAACAAACAAACAACAAAACAAATAAAACAAAAATACAAGATGAAACTTCCTGAGTTACACATTTTATGGAGGAAGTAAGTGTCACATGTGTTTCTGTTTGTTTTTGTTTTTTTCACTGCTGCTAATTTTCACCTTGGTGGCTACTAGCGTTTCTCAATTTGTCACCAACACTATAAAATTTTCATGTTTGTTTTTATCTTTTGCTCAGTCTATCCATGTTAGAGTAGACATTAAAATTTAATTGAAAAAAGGACTTGGCTTTGTTGTTGTTTCTTTCTCTCTAAAAGTCTGGGAAGTCAGGCAATTTACCGCCAAAAAGCATCGGTGCTTGAAATGCAAAATTTCAGTCTGCCTTACATGAAAAGGTGGACGCATGTACAGACGATTTTGTCAGAACCAAAATTTCTTGGATGCATAAATAACCAAATTTTCTTACCCATGGTGCTCCGCTATTATAAAATAAATACGTTCATTCACAATACAATAATTCTGAAGCACCAAAACAATTATGAAACAGGAATCAACTTACTGCCAAGTGTTTCACAAGAGGAAGGCCCTTCACTTTAGAGTGCTCAGAACTGCATTAGTCCCCAAATTGTCTCTGTTGTAACTCACCAAATTACTTGCTAGATAAGGGAAAACCTATTTTAAAGGCTGCCAGCTTTAAACTGTACCTTCATTTTCTCATCCCAGCCAATAATTACTCCACGATAATTCCACAATTTATGTCGGATCACTTGGCCAACTTTGAATTTGATGTGCTTAGGCCTGGGGCTACGTGGCACTGTTGACATACCAAAGTGGCCATTTTTCTCTACAAATTTAATCACTTCTTCTGCTGGACATTCTCCATCTTCGTCATCCAAAAACAACAGCACAGAACGTGTCCAATTAGCTATCACTTCAGGCCATTTTTGCCATTCAAGAATGCCTCCACCAAAAAGTGTGAGAGACTTTGAAAACCTGTTGAATAAATAATGAATTTAAGGTAAAAGAAATAGTGTGCAATATATAAGCGCACTTGGGCCTAGTCATTTTGGATTGATGCACATCAACAGGAAGTAGACTTCTTGCATTCTTGGGCAATGCTTTTGCCCAAATTATTGGGCAACTGCCCTCTTTTAGGGGAAAGCTGAAAACCCCATGACCGAGCAAATTCATATAAAACCCCACAGTGGGGCTCAAAAAATGTGCAAAAAATAGCACAACAAGGGGACAAAGCCAAAGGTAAATTCTCAGGGGGGTACTTGACCAATATTTTGGTATAGGTGAGCCCCTGAGGGTTTGAAACCCTGACCCTGTTTAGGACAAAAAAAATCCTAAAACACATACCATGTTTTATAGTACAACCACCTCAATTTTATCACACTGTTTAGAACAGAGGACAAAGTTCAGGCTGTCTTGTTTTAAACCCATTTATTGGCAATTGCAATAGAGCAAATTGATGTTATAGATAATAGCTCACTTCGGAAAAGAGTGATAGCCTGGGACCCAAACTAAGGGCACGCGCAATAATATTATGGGATCATTTGGGGGAACAAGTCAAGCAGCCATCTTGAATTTAATACGACGAGACATGCAAGTTGTTGTGTGCCTCTATGCACAAATAGCTTGAGGAACACCCCTGGTTTGGAATTTTATAGAATACCAAAGGCAAGATGTATCATGTGAGAATATGTACGTTTGCTTCAGAATGCTAATTTGAAGTTGAACTCCGATAGCACATGGATTTGCATTCTTCTGGTTTTTCTCGAAGTAAAATTGCCCCAGGAACATCTTCCTTTAGCCTCACTTTTTCAAGTTCCTTTTCTTTCAATTCCACCTTCCGTTTTTCTGTTTTGAACTGTTTTAACCTCACTGGTACATTCCACTTCACTTTCCACCAAGTTTGTTTACATTCATGTCCCCCCCAAATAATCCCATAAATGTGTGTGTGCCTAGTTTGGATCCCAGGTTTTCACTCTTTTCCGAAGTGCACTATTAAAAATATCATTGCTTTTGTTTACTTGGGAGTACAAACAAATTTCATCTAGAGAATCAAATAAATCATGTAGGCAATACCCTGTCTAAAATTATGACAGACTCACACAAAATATATGTGCTGTTTAGGACAGAAAGGAGAAAAACCATACCCCGTCCAGCGGCACATCCACATATGGGCCATATACAGCTGTAAGGAGTACACCCCCCGGGTACCTTTCCTTAAATCTTGAAACCAGCCTATGCTTACATACTTTTTATGTGCCATGATTTTCCTGTTATTAGTGGTAGAAAATATGAAATTGTCAAGCCTTCTACAGGCAGACATTTGATGACAAAGTGAAATGCCCAACAAAGCAACAACAAATACCTGGAGGGGGTGGTGGGTGGGGGTTGATGGGTACTTGGATTGACTGTGCCGTAACTAATAAATTTCAGCAGCACAGTGGAACCAAATTAATTGAAATAGGCACAATTGCATCATGCACATTAAAATAATGAAAAACTTTCTGTGCAATCCATGAGGAAAATAAAGCTCATTAGGGATTTATGAACTCGTACTTTAATAATAAGTATCGTGTACCGTTACTCTTACTCCTGAACTTACTGTTTTATTAGCTGAGCCCTTTCGCCTGCAGATGGAGCAGTCCATTGGCATATTAAATACTGCAAAGGCACAGCAAGAACCAAGAGAATAAACTGCAGCGCACGAGGCATCTCAGTTCTGCAGCAACTAGTATACACGTCTACAATGAAGAACACTCCACTCTGACTCAGCTCAGGTTAAGTACAAGATGGCGATTCTTTGCCCCCTTCGTCCTTTACGGCATTTCGCGATGTTGTTAACGAGACGTGTCAAGACATGAAGCTCTTCACCTTAGCACACAGAGCCTGCAAACTTCTCCATCGAACAACGAATCAATAAACTCCACGAAAGCAAAACATGCAAGGGAATCATCCTTGTAACCAGTCCCTCTCAAGGCTAAACGAGCCAGCTGTCTCTATGAAGAGCGGATTCTCGTTAAATCCTGGTCCAACATGGCGAAAGGAAAGCGAAACTCACAGAAAAAGAGAAAAAATTCCAAGCCAAATGGAGAGGTTCACGATGAAAGTAGTGCTGAAGGTAATTTTAATGTGTTAGTTTTTGTGGGCTGGTTGATCGTTGTTTTTACAGTGTTTGTTTGTGGAAGAATAACGTTTCAAACATACAGAATTCAGAAGTAACTTATTTCATGTGAAGAAAGCTGCATGTACTAGAAATTTAACACCTATTTGTTGCGTTTACTCAAAACTGTTATTTTTTAAACACTTTTACATCTTAAATGTATTCTTTCTTGGTAAATAAAATACAATGTTGTTTACTGTACTCATCAACGTTGTACTCTCTTTTAACCGGAAGTGACATAAGTTTTAATCAAGCTTGGCATTCTATAACACGCGATGCTTAGTTGGATTAATATACGCAGGATGATTGTGTTGATTATTTCAAAATGTCGTTGTAGATTTAAAGAGGTGCCCACACATTTCAAGATCAGTCAAGCTTCAAAACTTGCAAAACAAAATTCCTCACACCACCCTGGGTCAATGTTTGGTAAGTGGTTTTTATTCCGAATTTTTGATGTGACATAGCACAATCTTATCATTTTTGCTCATTTGCTGACAATTAAAATATTCTGTTCGAGAAGTTTTGATGGCTAAAAATTGGGCTCTTCGTCAGATTTTGGCTTTGAATCTAACAAGACAATGTTCAATCATTTCCGTTGCATGGATTGTATTGTTTATGGTTTTAGGATTGTGGTGAGCTTGATTCATCAGAAGGACTGGGTGTCTGCATTTGCCTCTGTTGTGCTCATCAGGTATACAACTACTGTTTTGTGATCAGTTTAAAATATAAGTAGTGAAAAATTATAACAATGATAGTAATAACATTATTAGAATGTAACTTATATTAATGTAACTTGTAACGTAAGATATGTAGTAATTAATAAAGACCATTATTCTTCTTCTTATTATTAATAATAAGACCTGTAATTCTTTCTAATTATGCACTAATCATATGGCTTTACTAAGGTCTTTTGAACACCCACTCTGTTCACTAGTCAGTCATAAGTTTGTTTCAAAGGGCAAACGTGTTAATCCATTACCGTCTTGTAGGAGTCTATTGGTTCAGTTATGGCTACCCAATGCATAGCTTATGAATCTGACACAGTAAAATTGTTGCCCAAACCTCTCAATCTGTGGTTAGTTCATTAAAATAATTAATTTATCAACACTTAACAGGGGCACCCAACGGAAATTTTCGGAAAATATGTGTTCGGAAGACGATTTGAGATCTAGAATTTTCGGAACATTTGTTGTAAAACTTCTTGCCTGCCTGCCTCTCCTAGGATTTTCAAACATCTACAAAATGGTATAATTACCCATTATTAACGGATATTTACCCTAAAAAAGGCCACCTAGAATTTTCGGGATCCTTTTCCTGACTGAAATTTTCGAAAAGGTAAGTTTTGATCCCTATAATTTTCGGATCAGTAGACTTTCAGCTAGGATATCTGAACAGATGAAAAGTTTTTAGGGGATAAAAATATGCCTATATCTACCGTTTAAATACTAAGATACGTTCAACAATGCTATGTTAAGTGGGTTTGAGCTATATCCTCGTTGGCTGCCCCTGACTTAAAAAGCCTCTTGCTTATAGTTGATAATTGCCTGTAAGCTTGTTATCGAATTGTTGTTTTCTCTATCCAGGGATGTGATAGGAACAGTGAAGAGAAGCATGCTTTATCTCATAACAACTATAATTCTTCTCACAACATTGTTGTACATCTTCAAAACTGGGTTGTCTGGTAAGTGTCTACAATAAACAATGCTCACTACACTGCTATCCTGCTATAGACAATTCGACAGGGAAAAAATGCAAATGATAATTGTTGCGACGATTATCAATTTTTTTTAGCAATTTATTTAACTTACAATTGAACCTCTACAAGCTGCCACCTTGGCTTCTCTTTATCGATTGTACCGTAAAATCTGACAAGTTCTCTAAAGGTTGACATGCTATAATCGTTTATTTTAATAATTATATGGCGGTTGACTTTCAATTTCTTTATTCACCTTGGAGTACAATGTAGATTTCATGATTTTTATTTTTTGTTTCTTAAACTATTAACTTTTTAAAGTTTAAAAATTTTTAAATTTCAATATTTAGGGATTTTTATATCTGCAGTACATTAAATTTTAGTGTAAGGTCACACTGAAAACCACATACACGTGTGATGTGAGCTCGCTATTTAAATATCTTTATCATCATCTTCCCTCTACAACCACAACAGCCATCAAGTTGTGTCCCATATGTTACATAAAAGCGAAAAATTTAATTTCTTGCTTCTTTTCGGTGGCCTTAAGGTCATCATCATCATCATCATCATCATCATCATCATCGTTATCATTATTACATTACTTGTTTGTTTTTAGGTGTTACGCTTGTGATGATGAGGTACCCGTTGAACCTGAGACACTTGTCCACAACTGTATCAAGTTGATATTGAAGGCAATGAACTTGAGCCCTCCCCCAGGTCTGTATATTACAGATAAGATAGATTCGATTTTAAACATAACATTAAATCTCTATAAAAATACATACCTTGGTAATAGTCATCTCTATGTCATCAGGCAGGGAATTGAACAGCTAGGAGGTTCTTTTATGTATTTCCTGTTTCAATATGTCCCATGAAAGTAGCAGGGGGTCATACTCATAGATCCCTTCCCCCCTCCCCTGGACCCTTAGCGACAGCCCTTTGTCATACTGTACTCTAACTTGCTGGCCCTGGTTCCTGGAAAACTGATTAAACCAGGGTTTTCACTAAGATTTCAAGTTGCCGGGTAAATACAACAAGTAGGCGGTGAATCAAACAGCTAGGGATTTCTTTTGGTTCTATTTTTCTTCTATTTTCCAATAAAAGTAGCCGGGGACCACTCTCTTAGTAGTCGGGGAAAATCCCCGGCCCCCGGCTCTTAATGACAACCCTGTTAAACTATCTTCTGATTAGCGGTTAATCCAAGATTAAATTTCTTATTCCCTGGATAACTAATTGTGGGTTAAAAAGGGGTTCCTGAAAGTGAAATTATCTCACAATTAACTAGAACTGTTATCCAAGACCAGTTCAAAAATAGACTGTATTTTGCAAAAAAACTGCCGCGAACAAAAACACTCAGTCCTAAGAAAACTTTTAATGTTGGTGACAGCGCATGGTTTCTCCTAATGTCTGTCTTTGGAGATCTTCCTTGAGGATTTGTATCACATATTTTAATTAACTCTAAGCTTAACCCAAATCTGCTGTGTTGTTCTTCATCACTGAATTGCTCGAGATCAATTTGTCGCTGATAAAATGTTTTTTTGCATATTATTTTGTGGACCAAATTAAAGCAAACGGTTATTAATAACAAGTTTGCCATTTTGTTTGTTTTTCACCGATTGGTGAGTTAATATTATTGACCTTGCTCAGTAGGTTAAATTTAACATGCAGTTTATTCCTAGATTAGGTTTCATCATGCTGTCAGGAACAGAATCTAATCATGGGATAAAATTTATTATGTGATCAGCAATATTTAATCCTAGATTACCACTAATTTGCTGTCCAGGAACTGGGGCCAGCACTGTAGATACTTACCCTGTGATCCCTTGCATGGCTTATGATTTCATCAGTTTTAATGATCACAGAGTTCTTTGACATCTACCTTTTGCAGGAGGAAGAGATCTTTCAACCATAGCTAAACGAACATTATTTGGGTAAACATGCTGGAGAACTGCATTTGAAATGCAAAAAAAAAAAAGAAAAACATGTAAAGTTGACCCAAAAATTCCAATAAAAATCTTGCTCCACTACCCACTGGCACTTCCTTCCATCTTACAATCCTAAACATTTCGCAAAAAGAACTTGTTCCACTAACATAAAGCCTAGCAGATACCTACCAAAGAGAAAAAGGGCAAAAAAGGTTAAAGACGCAGGCTGGAGATAAAATGAAATCTTGCCTACTACACATGCCTTAAGTTCAGAATCTAGTGCAGCAAGTGCTTGACTAGCCTGAAATGTCACATCTCTTCATCCCCCCACCCCTCCTCCCCAGTCTGAGGCCAGGGGAGAGAGACTCTCACAAGGCCTCCCGTTAGGATGGGAGAGGGGTGCAGTGGGGCGAATAGATAGATAACATTTCAGACTGGTGCTTGACTTTAGACTGCTATATAGCATTTTAGGCAGTCTTGTCTCTTTTGGTGGAAATAATTTCAAAAGACATTTTTCACCACAATTTGTAGGAGCAAATGTTTTAAGGTTGAAAATAATTTTTGCTGTGATTTTTGGCCACTCTACCATTGTGTCAATCACTTTTAATTTTGTTTGCTGTTGTGCTTGTTATGTTACAGAGTTACAAGTGTGTTTTTCAAGTGCAGACAAGCCTTCCAATGATAAACCTAAGAAAAGTGCCACAAAGAACAGCAGCCAGCTAAGGAGCCAAATCAAGGTATCTAACAATCAATCCTGCAGGATTGTACTGCTCCAGTAATATCAGTCTGTACCCCTCCCACAGGTTTCTTTTGGCTTGAATCCGCACCCCTCACCACCACCCCTCTGGAAATTCCAGTTAAGTTTCAGACTTACCTTTAAGCTTTTGACTCCTCTTCCCCTTTAGTCTGTTCCAGTCTCTCAGATAGTGGGGAAGACGGGAAAGTGAAAGGCACGCAAAAATTTGGAGGGGCAGGAAAAAAAGGAAAAAGGAAGGAAGAGATGGGCTCCACCGCCCCCTCCTTTCCCCAGTTTCCTCCCATCTCATTTTTGTGTTCGCACTCTCTCAATTCAGTGGACCTCACAATCTCAGAGCCTGGAACAGGCTACCTCCCCTTTGGAATAACCATTACCTTCCATGAACCACACATTTGCAAAAAGCGCCTTTCAAGGGGAACAAAAAAACAAATTGATAAAAAAACAAATTATAAATCATTTTTTTAATGTCTTTGGCAAGTCTGTTTTTGGCAGCCCTCGACCCTAGCAACTACCCCCTATTTTACTGTACCTGCCCACTGGAGCCATTACCCCTTGAAGTTCAAATAATCATGATGCATACAATAAGTTGACCGAGGAATGTTTGCCTGGGAAAGCCAAGGTAGCAGTTATTGAAGGTTACCTTGTTTTAAAGCACTTCTTTAAAATGGATGTCCGTCTTACAGCGAGTCAAATGGAAGGAGTAACGAAAAGCTGGGAGCAACTCTAGATGTCCACTTTAGCGAGACGTCTGTCTTATAGATGTGTCCATTAAGAGAGAGGAATGTCAGACAATTTTCTCCCGACAACTCGCCCCCAGTGTACAGACAATTAGCCCCCACTTTCTAGTCGATTAGCCGTCAATGGACTTTAGGATCTGCATACAGAAAAGAGAAACTGTACTCTGTGGGCTAAAGAAGATGTTAAGAGTATTACGAAATATATATTAATTCATTTCATTTGATCACTTCGGACAAGGACATTGGGCGTTCTCGAAGACCGCCGTGAAGTTAATCGATAACACAATCCGTGGATTGAAACATCAAGAGCAGAGAAGGCGGGAGTATAACAATTGGTATAGGTAGTGTTTCATCCCTTTATATATCACAATCTGGTTGGGGACTAATCGTCTAGAAAGTGGGGGCTAATTGTCCATAATGTGGGGGCTAGTTGTTGAGAGAGTTAATCGCGCACTTTAGTATCTGTGTATAATTTCATATTCTCATTGCATGACAACATATGCGTTTTTTGTAGGGTCTGACAAATCTCGGAAACACTTGCTTCTTTAATGCAGTCATGCAGGTCAGTGGCTTCTTTACGTTGGCTACAAACCGTAGCCTACTTTGTCTTGATATTCACTTTAATGCTTGCTGGTGTTGCCTTACCGCCCTCAGTTGTTTGCTCTAATGCCCACTTTTCGCCCACTCACTGAAGCTTATCAGCTAATAGACTCTCCGCGGCCCCTCTAGTTTCACAATACAATCTGGACAGAACGCCACAAGTGCAAGCCTAAAGCACAAGCTCTACATGCGCCCATTTCAGCCCAATTAAGGCGCTCATCATTGCACACTTACGATGTAAACATGAAAGCGAGGCCTAAGAGCCACCAGTTTTCCCGTAAATAGGGCGGCGAAAACAACAACAATTTGTGATTTAGAGATTTTAAAAGGTTTAACCCCAAAAGATAATCCTGGAGCAGTTATAGTAAATGAATTTTGCGTTGGAAAGTGGACAGTGGAGAATCTAGCCTTAGGCAAGGATCCCTCGGAAATACATGAAACGTCAAGTCTTTCCTATTATCGGAACGATTATCACATTAGCGCAGCAGAGTAGCATTTGTCAGAGCTATGTTTTTGTCATGGTTGTAGGGCGGAGGAGGGCGTAAGGGTTTGCGGTATTGCGGTATTGGGTTATTTTTGGTGCGGTGTTGCGGTAATTTTTATTTCAAAGTACGGTATTGCGGTTTTCAGAGTCCAAGCGGTGTGCGGTAAGTTTAAATTTTATGTCGCGGTAGTCGGTGAAAAAATCGTTGTGTCGCGGTGATCTGCTTCTTTTTCATGACAAGAGGATACAAATCCTAAAAGGTCTCCCTGGCTAGCCTGCATGACCCACGTGTCTTCCTATAGTTGCACAGTGGGGGATCGTATTGCCCAAACAGTGCAGACAAATCTTATGGCTTGTAATTTCAGTTAATACTTGATATGTTTAACAACATTAACTGTTTTATTCAATGATACGTAAAAATGTCGCATTTTTGATGACTTCACGGACCTTGTGGGAATAGTCAGCTTGGTTAACCTCCTTACCAATCTTACAACCACTTTCGTGCCAGTCGCAAAACAATCGCGAGCGATCCAGAGGGTCAACTAAGTGATCAGTCAGATATTCCAGCAAATAGTGAGGTCAGTGAGGTCGTTATAAATTGCGTAGTGTCGACAGATAATCTATGAAGATGGCGTGGTCTAAAAATTATTACTCGTCCTTCTCGTTGTGCATGTAGGAATATAGAATGTTCTAGTATTCGTGTGTGCTTACCCTACGTAGCATAGCGGCCCGGGGGTGGGGGGGTACTTCCTGATAAGAGGCTAATGAGGATGTGCCGCATTTTCACAACTGGATTGACTATGATGGGGTCGCATTTTCAGAAGGTTACTAGAATGGGGTCGCACATTTTCAGTTTTTTGGGGGTAAGACATTTCTTGATCTTTACGGTCAGCAAAGGTACCAGAATGTTTGTATTGTAGATGAAAAGTAAAGTGTTCTTCACTCAGTCTAAAACATGGTCAATTCATAAAAACAGAAAGTGACGAAGTTGGGATCGCGAAAATTAAATATTTGTTCAAAAGTGACTAAGATGAGGTTGGCCACAGAATAGACTATAATGGGGTAGGGGCTCTGAGAGGCCAGCGACACACACCAAGCAAAAATTAATCCAGTACCACCCCCCCCCGGGCATGGCAGTTTTACATGGTTTTGTCGGCAGCACGACTGTGAGCGGCGAAGCAGCTCCTGCCCCAATCTCCTCGCCCGCGCCCGCCTTTATTACTTAGCGCGCCCAACCAAAACCACTATGCTACGCAGGCTAGTGTGTGCTGTGTGCCCTTCGAATCCAAAAGGCAGCCCGGATCGACGTTTTGAAACCCTCAAAACAGAACCGAGTTAATTGTGAATCTGAAACAACCTCATTAGAGTCAACTGTTTTCCGTCCGTTTATGATCCAGGTCCAGTAATATATAAAGTAATACTAGAAAACTCCTGTTGTGTCATTTACGTAAACGTATACTTGTAATGAACAAAGTTAAACGAGTACGACGATCTTATGTTTATCGTACGTTTGACATCGACGCACCTTGATTTGGAAACACTGACATAAAAGTATTACTTCTATTTAAAAGGAGGATTTGTAGTATTGACAACGTCAACTTTTTCCCATTTGTAACTGCGGTTTCGGTATTTGGCTAAATTTTGATGCGGTATTGCGGTATTCTCGTGCTACCATGTGCGGTATTGCGGTATTCGTACCCCCCTTACGCCCCCCTCAGGGCGCGCCTCTGCCATTTTGTACAATTTAGTTGCGATGTAGCCCTTAGGCCTTGCTTTCATGTTTACGTCGAAAGTGTGTATAGATGATAAATACGAGACAATAGCCTTTTCCTCATTGTTTTTGTTGTTGTTCTTAAAGAATCTGTGTCAGACTGAACTCCTCTATGTCGCGGCATCCTGTTCTGGGCAAGAAGGCTTTTCTCAACACGTGACATCCAAAAACAAAGAACTGGTAAGTCAACGATCTTTTTGTAATACCTGAAGTGCACGTGAATTGCACGTGGAGTGCACGTGACGGCATCACTCAGATCAGACACGTCCAATTCCTTTCTTGTTCCGCTTTTCACTCTTACCCTTTGCATACACGCTTACAATTTCTCTCTTTCTGTTATTAACCTGTCATTGTCTTCTGTAATGAAAATTGAGATTCAACATTAAAATCTAACTGGAATGAGAGTTCTAGAATGCTTGCTTCCTTTTTCTCATAGCCCCTTCTTACCGTGACTGTTCAAGAGGGACCTGGATCAGTTACAAAAGCTCTGTGCAAGTTGTTAAAAGAATTCAGAAGTTCAAACAGTAGCACCTTGAATCCGCGCCAGCTGTTTGGCGAGATTTGCAAAACGTAAGTCATTTGTAGCCTAGGTGCTTACATGTCTTTACTTTTAATCTCTCAGCATCAGAGTCTGTGATGCTATGATGTCGTTACCGTACCAGGGGCACCCAACGACAATTTTCGGAAAATATCTGTTCGGAAGACGATTTGAGATCTAGAATTTTCGGAACATTTGTTGTAAAATTTCTTGCTTGCCTGCCTCTCCGAGGATTTTCGAACATCTAAAAAATGGTATGATTGCCCACTTTTAACGGATTTTTACCCTAAAAAGGTCAGCTAGAATTTTTGGGAGCCTTTTTTCTGGCTGAAATTTTCGAAAAGGTAAGTTTTGATCCCTATGATTTTCGGATCACTAGACTTTCAGTTAGGAAATCCCAACAGATGAAAATTTTTTAGGGGATAAATATGCCTATATCTACCGTTTAAATACTAAAATACGTTAAACAATGCTATGTTTAAGTGGTTTTGAACTATACTCTCGTTGGGTGCCCCGACTTTTGATCTCTCAGCATCAGAGTCTGTGATGCTAAGATGATGTCGTTACCGTAAGCCAACTTGGAGACTTGCAAGTGCGTTTAAAAAGTGGTCTTTAAAGAAAAGTAAGACGTAAGGGAATTTCCAGTCGAGTGTGGGGGGATAGAACCGACAAAAAAAATATTTGGTGATTTGGTGGGTAGAATTAGGAAGTGCTATGCGAACTCATATAATTTCGTAGTCGCGTGGGTCATTTTAAACCAGAAGAACTAAAACAAGTGTTATTCAAGGAAGCTTTGATGTGTGATCTTATTTTGTTGTGTAGAGCCACGAGATTCAAGGGATTTAGACAACAAGACAGCCAAGAGCTGCTGCGTTATTTGCTGGACTCAATACGGAACGAGGAGATTAAAGTACTTGATTAATTATTTAAGGTTTTTTTCAATGTTTTAATTTGTTTTCTTACAACGCTATGAGTGCGTTATGAAGGGTTGCCGTCCAGGAAAACGACGCCTTGCGAAAGTCAGTAAACGAAGGATAAATTATCAGAGTTTGCGAATGAGAGGGGGGTTGGGGTAGCCGTACAATCTGCGAACCTACGATCCATGCAATTCGTACAAGCCATGGGAAGGAGATAAAGTTGTATGAAGTTTCAAATACGTGAAAAATGTTCCTGCTTGGTGCCTCAGGTATGTGAGGTTTGGCTTCTGGAATGTTTGCAGAATCACTCGGTCTTGGCCAACTTTCATTGATTAGCGTTAAGCGCTCATTTTACTGGCTAGGGTTGTGAACTCATTTTACGGATTGGGGTTAAGCCCTGTTTAGGGTTAAACAGTTATTTACAATGGTTAGCTTTCAGTGAATGTTTTCCGTATTACCGCTTTTTCAATTTTTGTTTTTTGTATTTTTTCGCATGGCTCGCATTGTGTGCTAACTGCAATGAGAGAGGGCTACAATAAACACGAATCTTTCTAAGAAAAAAAAGTCTCCAAATGGACAGACCAAGAGCTCGCTTCAGCATTAGCATAGTAGTCCCACTAAAAAGATAATATGAAGTTTGGTGCCCTCAGGGCCAAGACAGTTTCTGATCGCGATCGTTTTTTTTTTTCCTAGCGAATAAAGGCTGCCATATTAAAGTCTTCTGATGTTACTAGTGCAGACGACGCAAAGAGTCTGGACGATAACGAAAAATTTCGCGTTAAAGGTGAGTGCTCTTCTGTCTTCAAAACCACTGTTCATGAAAATTTACATATAGCCAGTATGAACGCTTGAATATCTAGCTGATACAAAGCGTGCAGCACACAAGTTAGCAACTCGCTCGTGCAAAGTTGAAAATTCAACTGTTGCAAAACTGACATGCTAAGTCTGTACACTGCAAAGCACAGAAAATATGCAACTGTTTCAAAGTCTGGGTCCAGTTGCTCGAAGGCCGTTTAGCACCAACCCGAAGTTAAATTTCAATTAGGGCTTCTTGGATAATTTTCTCCATTCTTTTTAGAGCATCTTAACATCAAATTGTAGACAAAATGCTTTTTAAGCTCTCATTTCTCTGTTCAAATTTCGCACTAACCCTGGGTTATCTTGCCCCAGCTTTAAACAACCCGGCGCGGGAATATTGACCTGCAGCTGTTGCAAACTATTGCAAAACTTGAAAAATCGACACAATACGGCAACGAACTGCAAAGCGTATAAAACATGTAACTGCATGTTGTAAAGCGTGCAAAAGGACATGCAATGGCTGTATGGAATAGTACAACTGTAGCTAAACTAGCTGTAGTATGCTACTGTGGTTGATCGGTTTTCTGAATGGGGAAGAAAAAGGCGCGTATCAAAGAGCTTCCTAGACAAAACCAAGCAATTACGAATTACAGCTGATACTCAACTGGCACCTTCATTCAAACGTTTTCATTAAATAGATCATTTGCACGATGACGTCATTTCACTACTACGACCAGACGCCTTCAGGGTTTTGCTTTCTTGTGCAAATAAGGGCTTTTGTTTCTATTGTTTAATTGCAGAGTATGGTGCTAGTGCCCAAGCTCCGCTGATAGACAGCGTGTTCGCTGGGAGGCTTGTCAGCATCGTGATATGTCGTCAGTGCCACATGGTTAGTTATCAGGTTTCTTGGTTACTCCCTGTTCCAAATGAACGTTTTAAAAATCTTGTCGACAGCGCTGCTAAGTTACTCAAAAGAGCTTCGTATTTTTCCTTGTGACTCTTGTATTCTAACGGTGTATAAGAGAACGACTTTAAAACTCTAATTTCCTGACCAAGACCCATAATGTTCCATTATGGCTAAAATGTCGAGAAACGTTTTTTTTCATTTGAATTTAGACGAATTAAATAATGAGTACTAGACTCGTCTGACGACGTTTTCCCCTCTAATTCATTATTTCCGCTTAGGTCGAGGCGTTCCATTTATGTCTCACTTGAACCTTCCTGAAATTTTGGCATAATGGAAAATACTCCAAGTATTTGCATTAGTACACGTATTGTCCCCTCTCGTCCTTCCAGTTTTTGTTTACCGTTTTGCTTAGGTTACCTTGGGCGACAGAGACTTTTCATGCGCGGTTTCCGGTTTCGGTCAAGTGTCTTCGGCCTCTAGCTGAAGATCTGTCGTCCTGCGACCGACACCGAAGCACCCGCCACACGCGAGGAAAATACCTGTAGTATGCTTAGTATTGACTGCAAGGGTAAAAGAAAAAAACCTCAAGCTTTTCATCAACTATGACCGGGAACGTCTTATTTCAGTTTATCCGACAATTACTGTAGAAACCTAGCCATATACACTATTGTGTATGTTGTGGTTCAATTTTATCCTTGGTTTAAAGTTTATTTTCTTTTGTTTCAAACTCATTATCATATATTACCATACCCAAAAACAAAGGAAAATAAAATTTAAACCAAGGACAAAATTGAACCACAACATGTATATGGCTGTGACTAACGAAACCGATGCTGCCATCTTACAAAAAGATCTCTAACTTCTCGAAGAATGGGAAAATAGATCACAGATGTCTTTCCACCCGGACAAGTGTAATGTGCTACGAGTCACACGGAGCAGGAACCCCTTCGCCAATGATTACATCCTACACAACCAGATCCTTAAGGAAAAAGATGCAGTTAAATCTCTTGGCGTCACTGTACACCATAAGCTGTCTGGGAACGAACATATATGCTCTATAGTTAAGAAAGCTAATTCATCCATAGGTTTTCTTAGACGAAACCTACAAATTCACCAGAAACACATCAAAGCTAATACATACAAGACTCTTGCTGGACCACAAATCGAACTTATGCGTCTACTATATGGGATCCTTTCACCCAAGAGAACCAAAATGAAATTGAGATGGTACAGAGAAGAGCTGCCCGCTTTGCTTGCAACAACTGCAGACGCGAAGCAAGTGTCACTACCATGCGTGATGAGCTTGGCTGGCGCAGTCTCAAGCAGCGAAGAGCAGACCAAAGATTAATTATGTTATACAAAATTGTAAATAACCTAGTTGAAGTTGATCTTTCTAAAGAACTTATACCACTTACGAGACACTTAGAAATAGTCACGCCAAATCCTTTAAAATTCCCTACGAAAAGAAAACCTATCTTCAATACAGCTTTTTTACCTAGAATTATAAAGCAGTGGAACATTTTGCCCGCCACACTAGCCACAGTCCCAAGTCTTAATGTTTTTAAGAGTGGGGTCTGTGAGCTGAAACATTAAGAACCTGACCGAATCCGAGCATATAAGCCTTGTAGAGGGGGAATGCTTGTAATGTCGTAAATGTAAATGTAAAAAAGGCTTTACACTTTGCACTTCAAAAAACTGTCGACGGATATATACCATTTTGTTCTTATTTTCGTGCAGATATAATGAACAGTAAGCGATAAGAGAGGGGAAAACTTGGTCACGTGGTAAAAATCGTCGTTTTTCAGTTGCCTTTAACGTGATTCTAAATCTCTCTAATATCCGCTGAAAATCAAATTTTGTGACTTTATCTTTAAGACTGGAATGCAATCACTTTCGGCTGTCGAAGTTTAAAGAAGCGATTTCTTAATTGTAATGTAAACGAATTTATTAGTTGAATGAATATTGGACCCTAAGGACGAGGTGAGAATTCACATAGCTTATCTTCTGCATTTCCTTCTAAGTCAGTTATTACGTTGTTCCTTTTGTTTAGGAATTCAAGGTCGAGGAGACATTCCTAGATTTATCCTTACCACTGACAGCGCCCGAGCAGGTAAAATCTAGGATAATTAAAGCAAGCCCGAAACGGGTCCATTACATAATTCCCACAATTTGGTTGGGACCTATCTTTTGCGTGTCTGGACTTCGGAAGACTTAAAATTAACCTTTCGGTTCGTAACACATTCTTCACGACCGTTTTTTCGCATTTTCTCAACTTAACTCCCCCAACGCTTATTTCAAATTTGGACTGGTGGTCCTCGCGTTTGTTTGATTCTGCAGTTTATTCGGGCCCGCCTTTTTTAGGATAGAGTTTTGTTCCCTTTTTTTGACAGCCGTGTATACCAGAAATAAATGTCCAAGGGGCTTGTTTACAAACCGTTCAACTTTCTCGTTAAACGGGCAGTGCTTATTCGCTACCTGGCGTAAACATTTCTGATAGAGTTGTCCCCACAACAGGATATGCCACATTAGGGAAATTGTCCCTGTTTGCTCGTCCTCGTTTCACTGTGACGGTCCTTGCGCCATGTCTCCTAATGTGTGCCGGCCTGAAGGGAAAACTTTGTCTATCTTGCAGGAATTCTGGGGTAACAAGTTTTTTGGAAAGGGAGGAAGAGAGAGCGCAAAGTCGGCTAAGAATGCTGAACGGAATAATGAATCCACAGTCATCAAAGATAACGAAGTAGGAACAGACCCGAAAGGAAAGAGCCCCAGTAAGCATCAACTGAAATCAGCGAAAAGAGCTGGGAGGGTAAGTGGTACAGTCAGACCTCGAATATGGACACGCGAGGGAGAGACATGAGTGCTGCCATATAACAGAGGTTTCTGTATTGCATTCGAACTTCTCCCTAAAGTAGCTATGTCACGCTTCTTGGTATCCTTTAAAAAAAGCAGGAAAAGGTGCCAGTTCCACAAGATTCATTACAAAGTCCAGGTCATGTCATGAGAAAAATACTCGAAAACTTGCCTTTTTCCCTTCCTCTATCAATAAATAACATGTCCACACGGTCACTTTTACGGTCCCCTTTGAAGGACCCGCGTTGATTACCTGTGTTTATCGCTTCAGTATCCTGTCCGCGTTGATTACCCGCGTTGATTACCCGCGTTGATTACCTGTGTTTATCGCTTCAGTATCCTGTCCGCGATGTTACTAGTTCTCCTCTTTCCTATTGCAAGACACACACACACACAAAAAAAGGTAAAGCGGTCGCTTTAACTCGGGCTTTAACTGTATTTTCACGGTTCCTTTTAAGGGGCCCGTTCATGTAGAAGTGTTATCCAGTTTCTGTTGTATTTTCGTCGTTAACCCTTTAGTCCCTAAGAACAAAATTTGAATTCTCATTTGTTGCCCCTATTCATTTCCTACAGAAGTAGTGGGGAGAAGTTGATGAAATATCCAGCAAATTCGTCTTGTGTGTTGATGTCCCTAATTCTCATGACTGCACTGTTTTACAAAGCATTGATATTACGAGGAGAAATTTGATGCTGACCACTCTTAGGGCTTAAAGGGTTAAAATAGGATAATTCAAGCACGTGTAGAAGTCCCTCCGCCAAAGCCGCCATTTTTTAATTTGTTGTCTCTGCCTCGCTTTAACGCACTGGATCATCAAAGCGAGTCTTTTGGAAGTCAACCAGTTTACTGGAAACTGTTTCTGCATGGTCCGCATAATTTCTAAAAATAACTTTTTTGAAGTTAAAACATCCCAAAGTCATTACTGGAAGACTCCGCCGCTGTCCTATTGTGATATTCGTTCCTTCATTACTTTAAACGGGACCAGTCTGGCTTGAGTCCCCTACCAGTACATTTGCTTATCCCTGAAAAACTTTGAGGGTAGTGGATAATAACATATTTAAAAATTGCAATATTGGTTTAAAATTTGTCTGTAAAAGGTCTTATCGTAACTTTATCTTTTTTTCCGTAATTGCCCTATCCATTGACTTTTCTTTTTGCCTTTTTGTAGAAGAAAGGGAAAAAGGGTAAAGGCCATGGAAAAGCAGGAAAAGGTAAACAAACTGAAGACACAACCAACAACAAGCAAGAAGGCAACGACGATGAAGAGACGGAAAAGGGAGAGTCGGGACTCGAAGGCCATGAGCTCGACCAAATGAACGTGTCTGATTTAGACGGTAGTGATAATGAGCAAGAGCAGGTATCGAACACTGATAAAAACACAGAAGAACTATTGAATACAAGAGGAGATTCTAACGAGATGCCCGGCAGTAATGAACATGAGGAGACTGGCGAGCAGATAATGCAATCTGATGACGAGGAACCAAACAGGCTTGAATCTCCAGGAGGTAACCATGGTAATATTTGAGTTGAAGTGCCAGGAATGAACGTTTGAGAATAATAAAGGGTTTGCGGTCAAGTCGGCCGAGAGTAATCTCGCCCGAAGTTTTTAGTCAAGTCGCCCGAAATTTTATCATGCTTACAATTATCCCGCTTGTTTTGTCTTATTATCGCTTACAGAACGAGAAATATTACATACACTCTTATTAAAATTTCGGGCGACATGACTCTGATGTCGGGCGATATAACTTCGTACGACACGACTTTCGGGCGACGACCGGGACTGACAAAGGGACTGACAAAATCTGTTCGCTACGAGGTTTCATTTCATCGAGGTTCTTTTTCATGTATTTCACCATTACTGTGGCAAAAAATAGCGTTCGTTATACCGAGGACGTCGTTGTATAGAGGTTCGTTATATCTAGGTTCCACTGTATTATGGTTTGTCTCGCGACGTTTCGACTGCTTCTCGGTTCCTTCTGTGAGTACCGGAGCACAGATTACGTAATACGAAAGTAATAAAAGACAGGAAACAAAAGAACTCCAAATAAAGACTAATCCCAAGTGACCAAAAATACAAAGCTTTCCGGTACCTGCAGAAAGACCCGCTTCTCTTCTTCAGGGAGCTTAATCAACGACGTCGACGACGAGAACAACAAAAAAGCAATAGCTTTAGAGTAGCATAACAACAACTTTGCACGTGTATCAGGCGTTTTTGTACATTTCTTTACCGTAGTTGCACGACCTTGACGTGAAGTTGTCCGATTTCTCGTTTTATTGAGGAAGTGGACACGACGATATCAGGCGTTTTATTGAGGAAGTGGACACAACGATATCAGGCGTTTTTGTACCGTTAAGTTAAGTTGACCAGAAGTATCGTGGGTTTACCGACCAAAATGATTTTCCACCATGTTGGTTTTCCAAACCATTCCTGTGGGAGTTGAACCTTTTTGTTACTAAAAACGTTCTTTAATTTTTTTCCAATAAATTTGCATACCTGATGGAACGTGAGTTAAGTCGCTCTAAAAATTTCTTAAATTTGAAACGAGCTGTCCTTAGAAATAGCTTGCTCATCAAATATTATTTTAATATTTTCTAATTTTTAGTATAGAAAACTCCTATCTGGGAGCAAAATTTGAGACAAAAAAAGAAAACTTTTGTCCTACTGGCCATTTACAATCCTCTCCTGGGGATACGTAACAACTTTTCTGTTACGCAACCTGACACCTGACAACGCTGGCGAAGTTCGGGCGATTCGGACGAAATATTTGTTTTTTTGTCTCAAATTCCGCTCTGAGTCTTGGAATTTTCTATACTAAATGTCTTCGCCAGAGCAGGTGAATACCCTTTTTGGTAACGTCTTTCTAATTTTTTGTTTTGTTTTGTTTTCTTTCAGATGTTAAACCCGGCTGTACAGATGAACTCACACCTTCACGAAAGGATTCACAAGTTGCAGGCGTAACAGAAAGTCCTAAGTGTTTAGACGAAATAATAGATAAAAAGGACGTCGCAAATTTGCACGAAAATGATCAAGAAAACGAGCATGAAACACGTGATACTGAGACTGAAGTTCCCGCGGTAGACGTGATAGATAATGAGGACAAAGATACAATTTCATCATGTTTAAGTCCTGAATGTTTGCAAGGAAATGCAGATAAAACAGAAGAACGAGACCTTACCACAACAGCTTTCGTGGAACAGGTGACAACAGAGAATACGGAATATGCAAAGCAGGAAGAAGGAGTCCGGCCTGGTGACAATGAACCAGATATTAAACAAGACAATGATGATAACCAAAGTCTTTCTCCGAGTGAAAATGAAATAGTTGAAGGTATGGATCAGTTGACTGTAAATATGAGTATAAGGAGAGACGTCGAGGATTTTCATAGGGAAAGTGTTTCTTATGACGTGTCCGAAAAAGATGGCACTTCTCAAGATGGAGGAAGAGGTAGCCTTGCAGTGAAGGATGAAAATATCAGTTCCGCAGATATATCGTCGAATGATGGCACCTTTCAAGATGGAGAAAGAGATAGCCTTTCAGTCAAGGATGAAAATATTACTTCAGCAAATGATATACCTAGAGATAACTCTGAAGGTTTGACTACAACTGTTAACGAACCAACAAGTGTGGCAATGAAAAGTTCTTCAAACGAATTAGGAGAACATTTATTGGAAACAAAAACAAGCGAAAATGTTACAGATCACGTGACAGTAGATCAAGATAGCACAATCGAGAGTAAAATTAGTGCAAACGAACAAAATGTTTCAGATTTTGCTCACAAAAGACAAAACGAAGCAGAGGAGAAAACAGAAATAAATGAACAAATAAGCGACGAACCTGAAACTGATTCTAAGGAAGAACATGAATACGATTCAGAAGCTAACAGCACTCTTACATTACAGCCTTCCTATCACCCCTCCCCAGGGGAATGCTCTGTCATGTCGTGTCTAAGCCAGTTTTGCGCCCCAGAATTGTTAGATGGAAATAATAAGTTTGCTTGTGAGGAGTGCAGCAAGCGCGCGCAAAAGTCGAAGAACAATAAGGGATCCAGCGTAAACGGCAACGAAGGAAGCGCTGATGATAAAGACAGTGACAGCGATGATGGTAAATATAAATCGTGTTTGCAAGGTCACCTTACATGGAGTGGTGTACAACTTGCCGTTGATTTTGATAGCTTTGTGATTTCTTTGGGTTTTAATTGGTTTGTTCGGTGGCTGAAAAAAAAAAGTGTCCGTCCACTTTTTCTTTAGCCTGAGAAAACAGGCAACATTTCGCGATGCCAACACTGGCTTCCCCGTGACGTGACGGTTGAAGAACGAGCGCAGAAATTCCATACTGATGACGTGTCACTACGCAGATCTGGGTTGTGACACGTCATCACTATGGAATTTCTGCGCTCGTTCCTCAAACGTCACTTCGCGTGGAAACCAATGTTGGCATCGCGAAATGTCGGCTGTTTTCCACGCTACTTTGTCCTATATCCCAAGAGAATCTAAGCCAAATGAGGTTAACTCGCCCGTGTTTTTCTGTACCCAGCGCCAGCTACCATTGGTCTCAAGTACTAATTCGTTCGGTTGCGGTTGTTTGCGTGTATTACCTTGAACAGAGTAAACGCTTTGGCTTTGCTGAAGAAACAAGGTTGTAACTTAAAAGACCATTTGACAGCCGCGAACAGAGTATCTGGGCCTTTAATTGAAGCGAGGTTGCAGGTGGCCTTGTTTGTATGTGTAATCAAATGGTAACTAGTGAAATTAGAGAGGGAGACGCAAAAAATAAAAATAAAACAACGCAAAACGCAAGTTAAATTATTCCCCTATTTCACGAGTTTAACATTTGATTACCTATTAATATCATGGATGACAAATTACGCCACAACAGTGGGTTTTTGACCGAATCATGACCTACGAATCAGTCAGACGTAATTGAAAACCGTCCTGACTATTGATGGCCGCATTGGCATAACCTCCCCTTTACTTTCCATCTTTATTTTTGCTCCAGACGAGTGTAAAGGTGCCAAGGCTGCCAAGAAGAAGGAAACCAAACAACAAACAGTGTACACAGTCGCCACCAAACAGCTGCTAATCTCACTTGCTCCTCCAGTGCTTACTCTTCATCTAAAACGCTTTCAACAGGCCCGCTTCACGCTACGGAAACTTACCAAACAGGTGGACTTCCCTCTACAACTGAACCTAGCGCCTTTCTGCAGTAGAAATGGAAAGGTAAGCGAGAGTATTGCATTTCACAGTTACAGGTAAAATTGAGGCTAGAGTTGACCTTGGTTTGATATAACCCTACCTCGTTTACGATGTTAATCCATGTTGTTCTTCTGCTATAGATGCCTTTTTAACCTTATTTAGTTTAATTTTTGTAAGAAAACTTGTATTCTTATAAATTACTTCTCTTTTATTGCATTGTAAACTTGCACTTGTGCCTGCGAGTGCTTGCTTTAATTTATCAATGAAGATCTTCAATTCAATGCTGACTCGTATTTTAAGCATAATTTTGATAAAAAATGGAGGCGGAGGTCAAGCTCCGTCTCACTTTCACTCAGAGGCTAGGGTACGAATCTCATAACTGTAAAATGGTCTATTGAAACTTTGGCCACTGCTACATAAATATACTGACAGATGACACAAAGATTCTTATAAAATCGTTCCCTTTTATGGAACGCGAGATTCCTGTCCATGGTTAATGTATGAACTTTGCCCAGTAAGCCTGTCGTTTATTCACAAGAGAAAATCGAAAGCGAGAAATGGGTGTACTGCATTATTGACTGAAGCAAGCAACATGCGTAGATTATTTGTTTATTCACATTATTCTCGCCCTTTTTGCAAATACATTGACAAATAGCTAATTCTTTCTCACAGAACGTTGTGAACAATCTGAACATTGTGTCCGGTTTGTTTTCAAGTTAGGAATGGCCCCAAAGGCTCTAGAGATCGTTTGGAGGGACAGTAAAAACATGGCGGACAGCAGCAAGCCACCTGTTAAAGTATCAGCCGGTTGTTTAGGGAATAGTGAAGATTAGTTGCATTTCTGAAACTGTTATCAGGAGCGGATCTAGGGGGAGGGTGCAGGGGGTGCGCACCCCCCCCCCCGAGATGAACTGCGGTTTTCTAATACAACTGGTATTCTGCAAAAAAAAAAACTATGTGGTTTATTGGTGTTGAAGTAGAGCAAGAGACGAGTGCACCCCCTCCTAAAAAAAATCCTGGATCCGCCCCTGGTTATTGCAGCTGGGAACACAGTACTTGTACTACTTGTAGTACTCCATGTTAGTTGATGTTCATGGTGTCCCGCCAAACGAACCTAAGGAGCTCTGTGGTCATATAGTGTACTCAGTTTTTCACTCCTTTTAGAACATGGCGAATTTTAATTTTTTTTTTTTTCAGAGCCGCGCAGACTCAGAAGGGCAAGTGTTGTACTCTCTGTATGGAGTAGTTCAACACAGTGGTAATATGAACAGCGGTCACTACACAGCTTATGTCAAAGTCAGCGAACCAACGGCGAAAGGACTGTTTGACAAAATCACTAACATGAAGGACCTAACGGATTTTGTTTCTAACATGTGGACTACAGATGCACATAAGAAACAAGGCGATTCCAGGACGTTTCATGAGCCTGCATCAGCTGGTCAGTGGTTTCATGTCAGCGACTCAAGCGTCAGCGCAGTGCCGGAGACAAAAGTGCTGAAGTGTCAGGCATACATGTTGTTTTATGGTCGCCTTCCCCTCGGTAGTAGATGATGAATGGTAGTGTTTCAGGAAGAAGACAACATTTATTCGCCCCGTTTCATATGAGTTGATCAATTTTACATGTGTCAACGGTTTCGTCCTACCTTTTATACTAATCTTGAAATGCGACGTTTTTTTTCCCGATATCTATTCGTTTGCCCTTCTTTTTGCCATGCACGCGGCAAGACCAGTGGGCCAGTTACCATGTATCTTGTTTTTACTCTTCGACATAAGAATACATCTATACTCTGATGACCCTTGATAAATTTAATGCTGTTTAGAGAGAGACGTGTTATACTGGAAAACTATCTTTGCAATTTAGCGGGAAATAACATGCTATGGGGACATTCTGGACATTCTTGCTAAAAAGCCAAGATATTCCAACTTACCGAAGCTAGCTCACCGCTATTAATGTCTTGCTAAACCTAGCCGGAGTGCTAAGCAGGGCGGACGTTTTGAACCGTAGATATTTTACAGTGAACCAGAATCTTCAGAATTCCAAACAGTTGAAATGTTTCAATCTTTGAACCCCTAAAATTTATTTACATTGTACTCTTCTAATCCTCGCCACTTACCCTCCTAATTTAGACTTCGAGTAGTCCCGCATTTTTCCTCAGGGATAGTAGAGCTAGCGAAACGCGAGCGCGCGTGAAAATCACCCCACGCGAGAAAAGGCGACACGCCGCTACTCCTAATTTTGCGTGCTACAATCTCTTATTTGTAAGATCAGTGCAACCATTCTTAAAGAATCCATCCATCGCTTGAATACCTTCGGCTTAAAAAAAACTTGAGGGTCATAGCAGTAGTAATAGTTGTAACTTATTTCAAGCATCAGTCGTTCCAGTCCTTTTAGACATTTTTTTTTACAATAATTATCTCTGAGTGTCGTTTTATCCTGTGGTAAAACCCGTTTTTCATAGGCACGTTTTTGTGCGAAAGTGCCCAAGCTCGTGCAATTTCTCGGAACTTTTCTTCGCGGAAGTTACCTAAAGCGCTACCTCTTGGCGGATATCTGAGGGGTGATTTTATTACATCGCATGGCAGACGCCACACGGTAACCTAAACGCCGTTGTTTAAATATTAGAAAATTGCAATAGAGTGATTTTACTTGACCCGTGAAACAGATACTAAAAACTAATGCCAAACAGCTTCAAGGAAACAAAAGAAGACAATGGAATTAGTGCATGATAGTTTGTATTAGTCTGCTATCTAGTTTACGGTTCATGTAAAATCATTCTAATATCGCGGGAAGATTACACGCGCAATTTGACATCGTACCTATCACTGCTCAGATTTCAGCGGAACTCGTCCGAAAAATTGCATAGCTTATACAAAGGAGCTTTTATGGTATGGTCAAAGAGCAGGAGTTGGCATCCTTGTTTCTCGAGTCTTTCCTCTTTCCTTGAATAAGGGAAGAGGAGGGGGATTGGAAACGAGGCCGAAAGAATATGTTATATCTATGTTGTATGGTTGTTGATCAAATTTGCCCTGAGGGTTAGATGTAGCAACTGCATGCTGGACTGTTTCATTATAAATAAATTGTTAACTCGACTGATGCTGTGTGTCGTGTTTCAAACTTACTCGTGAAGTCTGAGAAGAATGGCGCGTTTGTTTGATTTGGCAAAAAGTGTTGTACGATAGATTGTAAGCATTTTTGTGAAACATTATATGCTGGTTCGGTTTAGAAACCCTACAAAAGAACACTTGCAGACTTAGAAAAAGACTACTGTCCTCTTGACCTCTTTTAACCAGGATCTTTGAACAGTCCTTTTCCTTGTTGGGGATTGTGCAAAGAAGAAAAAATAGACGTCAAATCTCGCGGTCAGTGGTGCACACACCAGTTAGAGGTCAAATTTTTCTAGAAACAGTGATTAAAGAAGTCTGGCTTTATTTTCCCATCCTCGTGCAGAGTAATCGCGTTCCCAGATCTGGGTACGAGATCACGATCACGTGGAGAGGCGTAGTTGCCCGTATGCGTACGCCAGTAGGAAAGCACGTCCCAGAAAAAATGGCATTTTCCCCGATTTTGCCTCTCGCGAAAGGCGAGGTCTAAGGGGTTCGTCTGCGTGGGAGGCTATGGTTTTTGCCACCGTCAGTGATATGGGCATCCCCATTTCCAAAACACTAGTGATATGGGCATCCCCTTCTCATATTACCTTAGCGATTAGGGTTAGGATTACAGGGGATGCCCATATCACCAGGGTTTTGGGAATGGGGATGCCCATATCGCCGTGATACCGCCTTCATTCGGACAAGGGCCTGGGAAATAGGGGCGTGACGTAGGGGTCAAACATGGCGGCTTCGGGTGACGAGATTTCTCTCTCCAAAAAGTTTAAATTGGTCGTGTTTGGGGCCACAGGAAGAACGGGGAAAGAGGTCGTTAAGCAAGCATTGGATAAAGGACATCATGTCACAGCTATAGTGAGAACACCCGAGAAACTAAACATTCAGTGAGTCATTTCATGTTCAATTTTTTCAATTTTTATAAGCTTAAGCTAAAAGCTTACCTCTTTTGAGTCATTTTGTTGTTCAATTTTTTCAGTTTTTACAACCTCTTTTTAGGTCTTTTGAAGCGTGATCTTCGGTAACCTCTGAGTGGCAGACGAACGTTATCCTAGTATACCTTATCGGCGTTAAATTAAGTCTGCGACGCATGCTTGATCTTCAGATCAGCGGGAACGCGCATATTTTTTAAAATGGTCCTTATTCGCAGCCGATACGATCGGAAGTCTCTAATAAAATTACTGAACAGAGAATAGGGCTTAACATGTGGAAAACAGTGTATCATATAAATCAAATAGGACCAATAGATTTTTTGGGATGCTGGATTTGGCTTACGTCAGCATTTTAGAGAAAATAGGCCATTTCCGAGTTCCAAAAAATCTCACTTTCAAAACGAGGCTAAGTGCGAAGCCATTGATATGAAAATGATTTTTAATTATGATGCAAATAAAACTCATTTTCACAACAAAGATTTCGCACTTAGCCTCGTTTTGAAAGTGAAATTTTTTGGAACTCGGAAATGGCCTATTAGGGGCTCGATTTTGGAACTTTGTTCAGATGCCGTGAACCGAATTGAATACAGTGAATTATGAATTACGTTCACGTGAAGTATGACGTCTGAATCAATTGCTCATTGAATTTGGATTGGCTCAGATGTTCTTTGGACTTTGCATGGCTCAACTTGTAATAACGACAACTTTGTTCTCAGGGTTCTCTTTTACTCATCCCTTTGGAGTGAGAGAGAGAGAGCCTGATTAAGTCTGGTCCCCAGGGGGGTGGGGGTAAAAAAAATAAAATAAAAAATGCACTTTGTGTGTCAATGTATTTAGCACGAAAGTGCTAATTGAGGACACTATATTAACGTCTCCTACTGGAGACGGGGCCGCTATTTTACGTGATCATACGAGCCACGCGAAGGTCTAGCCATTTGCAGGGCAACGGTAGTACCTTCATTTTTCAGTTATTTTAAGACCCAGAGTATTGGTTCGACCTTGGGAATTGAACCTGCAACCTCCCGCCCTGCAGTCAAACACTCTACCGACTGAGCTAATCCTGCCGCACATTTCAAGTGACGGGGATGATCTGAAAATATAGGGGCAAAAATCATAGCCCCCAAAAAATCCCTGAACCAAAAATTAACCCAAAAAAATGCTATGTTGAATTTCCAACTCTTCCAGAAGGCATTATTAATGATATAGAATGAAAAATAAAAATATAAGAAATTGAATGTTTGCATTTTTTCTTCATCATACCATTTGAAGTTATCATAGAGACCCTCCAGACCGTAGGACAGCATCGTAAAGCATCAATGAGTGGTGTAATATTTTTTTTTATCAACAGGGACAAAAATTTAGAGTTAGTTAAAGGTGATGCATGTGATGTTGAAAGTTTTGCTGCTGCACTTGAAGGAAAGGATGCTGTGTTGTCCAGTTTAGGAGTTTATGCAAACATTTTTAACCCTACAACCTTCTACACAGAGTCAATGCATGCTATTATGGAGGGAATGAAGAGGTAAGTTTGGATAACTGGAATTTTTTTAGGCTTTCAGGTTTATACCTAATATACACTACAAAATAAACTGTGCATTAGTCGATGTTTATTTATCACTGAAACAAACCAATTTCAGGCTTGATGCATCATTTTCTCATGATCGTTGGAAAATCAGTTGCATGCTCACATAAAGAAGGTTAAGTGAATAAACTGACCAGGGAATTATAGTCCTGTAACCCTGCTAGTCACAATCCAAATTGTGTAAAATGTTATGAACTTAAACTGATGAATTTGAACTGATGTCAATTAAATAGCTGAGTGTAGACTTACTACTTGTATGGATTCAAATTTCATTAGTGATATTTCTGAAATCATTGTTTTGTCTAGTAACTGTTTCTCTTTTTTCCACAAACTACTTGTAATACTGCAACAGGAGCCAATGAACCCAAGAGTTGTATATGGCAACACAGCATAATTTTCACCACAGAACCATTTATTTTTAGATCAATTTTCCCGCAAATTAAGGCCACAGTCAAACTGCTATTAATGGCCACCTGTCCACAATGGCCCTCAATTTTCTCCCAGCAGAAACATACATGTATACACCTGTTTTAATGTCTCTACAATGACCAATTATAATTACCTTCCTTGTGACGGTGGTATAGCAGGATTTCCAAACTCTAGTCAACAAAAAATGCAGGCCCAAAAATGGTAAATTTGATGTTTTGGTGATGCATGGCTTTTTCTTTATTTACCATAAGCATACTAGAGATGAACACACACACCAGTGGAGCTTCCATTTTTGTGGTTCAATGACTCTAAATTGCAGCTAAGAGTAAAGTAGTCTGTGAAAGTGTTGTGACAACAGCCTTACTCTTGACTAGAAGTTGCTCTCTCTGAGTATGTAGCTCCATACAGTGATCCTTTAATGGAATACTGATCTTTTTAGGCACAAAATTATGCGACTAGTAACAGTGACATCATGGTGTACCCAGCCTGGACCAAATAACAGTTGGTTTGTGGAGTGGATTCTAAAGCCACTGTTTCTTAATGGAGTGATAAGGAACATGGAAGTCATGGAAAAAATGCTGGAGAATTCTGATCCCAGCGCATTGAATTACACAATTGTCAGACCATGTCGGCTAATGCTGGGTAAGTAAATGCATTGTTTCAGAATTCTCAGTTCATATACTAGATATAATTTCATATGTAAAAGTTTGTAGCCCATGACTTATAGAGCGACCTCTTACTGCTTTCCACTTCTGGGCATGTCTAATGGGATACACGCCTCATAGCCATCTTCCCCAAGGTAGGCAGGGATGAGAGGCAGCTTCTCTATTCGTGAATGGCTAAAAAAAAGTGATGTTAGGTGTTAATATGATGCATTTGCCATCGTTTATCACAAGAACTTGGATACAATTGAATGGTGGGCTGGCCCTCAAAATGTCCTTTAAATTATGTTGGCAAGTTGATGGTATCAACTCGGTTGATAAAACAAACTTATTGTGTTTCACTGCCCTTACTTCGAAATGGTGCCTCTATTTACAAGTCCCAAGACAGTTTTTGATGTGGACCTACAGGTCTGCATGTGGTCCATCTCGTGTGACTGTCCATTCACTAAATTAGATTTTTTTTTAGATTTTTTTTATCATCTTTGGTTTTCTATTTATAATTTATTTTTTCTCTTGTGTATGTTCAAATTCTTTCATTTCCTTGGATGGACACCTTGCATGGGCCTAAGTATCCTGTTCATGCATTAATCTTTTTTTTTTGCCTTTTTTAAAATATTTATCATGTTCTTATCATGTATGTATCTGTACTACTTATAATTCATTTACTGTGTTCTTGCCCAATTAACTAAAGTATGTAAATAAAGAGTGTTCTCTCAGCAACATTAATACATAATCAAGGTGAAAGGTTACAGGAATAATTAATTTTTTATGACATGATCACCACATGCAAAATGCTTTGATCTTTTATCAAATTCCCTCAACTATGTCTGTAGATCAGTCTTGAAATTTGTAAGTAGATATTGAGCTTAAAAGATTATCAAGTACAGAGGAAGCTTTTGTGAGTGGACAGACGCATCAATTGGTGTCCGTAACTGGAGCTGGCCCCTTACGAGGATGTAAAAATACTGAGTTTGTATGGGAGTTGAGAAAAATGGGGTTTAATGAAGACGGCCATAAGTAGAGATGTTAGCTTACAACCGTTATGAGAGCTTTCACTGAACATCTTATGACCTTAATTTTCTAGGTGAACGTTCAGGAAATTATAAGGTTGAAGAAGGACAGTGTAATACCGGGACAAGTGGTGAGATCACTTGTGCAGATGTTGCTGAGTTTATGCTGAAGACACTGGAAAGTGATGAATATGACAGAAAAGGATTTGCCATCGCTGGATTCTCAAAAGTACCCAGGACATAAGAAATATTGCACGACTAGCTCTTTTTGTTTTTATAAATTTGAAATATATTTTTGATATTATTTTAAACAAACTTAAATGAAGAGTCTTTCAATTATCAAAATATAATTCAGTGGATGGATAATTATGGTATTATCACAAGATCTGTTTAGATAATAATTTAGGCATCAATAATCATGAAATTAATTAAGTGTCTGTCATTTTGAAATCATTATGTATTCAACTACTTTTTGCAAGTGGTTGTGTTGTATAAGATCAGCCGTAAAATGCAATTGCTCAGTTAAGGCTGGTTTCCTTATTCCATCTCTGCAATTGCTAAAAGGATCTCTGAAGAAAAGTAACAAGGTTTAGCATTCTCAGCAATCATTGCTTCGCTACAAAGAACATTGAGATAGGCTTCAGTTCTGTTTGCGGGTTTTGTGTTGTTTTGGGTACGCTTTCTCTTCTTTTATTGGCGAGTTTGGCTATTACGAATTTGCAGAGGAAATTAGGCCAAATTCGTCCTCCAAAACAGGCCTATTAGACGTAACTGCTCTTTTCAATGACGACCTTACGTGCGTCCTGAAAAAGGTGAGTCTTGAGCGAAGTATTAGAAACGGTAGCTGATGATGATTGCCTGATGTTCAATGGTAATTTGTTCCACTTGTTCTATAGTTTCGGTCCTGCTACAGAGTATTTATGACCAAACAAACAGAGTATGTGGACATATGGTCCTAAGTACAGAGTATTTAGGACTATGGTCCTAAATACTCGAACATACAGAGTATGTGGACATATGGTCCTAAAGACTCGACATACAGACTATGCACTATCGCCAAACGATGCGTTTTCAGATAGAGAAGAGACATGATGACATCACATTTCTGAAATTATGGGATGCCATTGGATAGAATATTCAGAAAGAACAAGATGAAAACAAAGCCCTCGAATTATCCCATAATTTGATAGCCTGCGTGGTTGGTACAAGAAGGGAAGGGGGAGAGGGAGGAAAACGCGAAAGGGATCCTTCACCTTCTCTCCCCAATGTTTCCCCCTTTTCCCTTTCTCGCGATCCCTTATCCCTTTCGACGCTTGCTACGCAGGCTAATAATTTGACAAAGTTGAATTTCTCTAAGCAAATGATTATTTGAAGTTCGTAATACAGGGCCCGAGTTCATCTTATATAATTCTTTGAAGCCTAAGTACCGATGGATATTATGTTCATGCTAGTGGTCGCCACGAGATTTGTTGTCAGCTATATCTTTCAAACTGGGTGGTTTCATCAGTAATAATGGCCCCTTTATACACTGTTCGCTGAATGAAATTGTACAAGGTTAGACAGTTTAACCTCCTTGCCAATAAGGTTATCAGATAATTGTGGTGCAACTGCTTCTTTCGTGACTTTGGATAGAGAACAAATGGACTCACCTGAAATTTGAAAGTTCGATATAACGGTACAGATTCTTTTTGTATACAACCAGAGATCACTTTATCAGTGACCGGTCTGAATTCACTAAACAGCTGAATAGCTAAGACAGGACTCAGGTCCAAGACTGCGCAGATTTAAGTAGTAACTAATCATTGCGAATTCTAACAATTCCGTCTGCAATGAATTCAACAAATGATTCAGACAAATTGTCAGAGCTGAGCCAGAGGGACTCCTTTGGCCGGTGTTAGAGTTCAACACTTCTCGGCTAACGTCTTGAAAACTGAGAATTCTCGTGTTTCCTGAGTTTTCCTGCATCTTGAATGGATAATATATCTTGCTTGCCTGAGGCAATCATGTTTTAAATAACACCGTCCCGAATTCGGCGTGACCGTTTCTCTATCAGTGGTCAATCTTGCAGATTGCCACTTGATTTGCATTCGGAGCTCAGAAGGTTTCCCCTAACATTCTTTTGTACACTAATTTCAGTTAGAATGCTAGGGCACAGGCGTAAGAGAAGAACTAGGAGATGGGTCTTGTCATTGGGAGCTTAACCGTATCAAGGGTTTTCTGAAAAAAGAATGTGATTTAAGTCCACCAACAACGGAATCAAGGTCAGAACAATTTGCTTCATCTAAATAAGCTTCTTTGGAAGTTGTGGGTTATTTATATTTATTTTATTTGATTTTAATTTTTTATTGCGGGTTATGCAATAACAAACTCAGAAATGTAGGGCATAAAAAATTATATTGATCAGAAATCGGAGAGTCGATCCACAACTCAGTGTATAAACGTTAGGCCACTTCCGAGTTCCAAAAACACTCGCATGCTCTGATGCTCTCACTCTCAAAACTTTCACTTTTCAAAGACTTTCCCTTTCACAATTCAGTACCGTCAGTACTGTCACTTTCAAAGCGTGAATGTGTAACCACTGTCCTCGCAATAAATACAATAATTATAAAGTTGTTGTTGTTGTTGTTGTTGTTTATGCCCAACCAGGGGCGTGCCTGCCTTTAGGAAACAAATCGGCACGGGCTTACGAGTGATTCGGACGGTATAATATATATTTTTTAAGAAGAGATGTACTGGCAAACAGTGGCAAAGAGCCGTTAATTTTCCTTTGGTCGATCACCTCGTGCAAGAACTAAGTATCAGGCTTCTGTCACAAGAGAATCTTTTCTTAAGGCAATATCTTGTTCCAGCAAAGCTGAATGCTTTCAACAGCGGAGTACAAGATAAGCTTTATGAGACCTGCAACCCATCTTTCAAAGAAGAGAGACTTTGACAATGAAATTTTTAAGGTGGCAAACAAAGTGGTCTCATTCAAGTGGTAAAAAATACTTGAATTTTCAGAATTTTCCGGGAAATCATGTCCCCAGACCCTCTTAGCATGTCGCGCCTTGAGCTCTGGGCGCTAACGCGCCCATATTGTATCTCCCCTCAATATGCTCCACCAAGGCTTACAAACAAAAAATGCGTAGAGCTGAATTCGAAAACTTTTTGTAAAATGTTCAGATAACAGCCTCTTTTCAGGGTGAGAGGACACACTGACAACGAGGCCGTTGCGACACCGCGTTTCGCGGCGGGAAAATCGCACCGCGACACTTTTTAAAAGGTAAAAGCCATTTGCTCGATCGTTTTTTTTGAGTCAAGCTCTCCGAGTTTTAATCCAGGTACGGAAAAAACTTTTATTTGTTTTATTGAAGCTTCTTGTTCATTGTTAGCTCTTTTTCAAAGGTTTTTTACTGAATTAATCAAAGAAATTATTAGTTTAAATCTTATGTCATGCCAAAATGACTTTTATTTTAGAGTAAGCTTACCGGTTATTATTTTGCTGTTGTTGTTCATTGTTGTTGTCCTCATTGACCTCATTTGTTTTTATTTTCGCAAAAACATTTAAGCCTTATTGCGTGGTTTCTACGATTCCCTAACATTGTTTAGACTTGTTTAGACGATTATTTTTCATTTAAAAAACGCAGAAAACTTTCTCTTTAGAGATTATAGTCGATCATGTTCTTGTTTAACTCTTTTGTATTAAGAATCTATCAAAAAGCCGGTATAATTGGCACTGTACGAGTACTGTCTTTGTTCTAGCTACTTTCCTTTGCTTCGGTTTTAAAACATTCCGAGTTCTGTGCTTTAAATTAAACAGATCGAAGTCAGTCGATCAATCACAGAAAAATTCGTTTCTGTATAAGATATTCATATTCCATCCGTTGAATGTTCATACGCAATCACCTTTAAAAGTGGTCAATAATTAAACTAAATCTATTTATTAAATACAGTTAACGTGGCTATCGTTACTTTTAGGGGACCATCATTTTATAGAGGAAAAAACGTACTGAATGCACGAGCAAAATGAAGAGTTTATGCGACAACGTGACGAATGTACGCGCTAAATGAAGAACGTAGAACGAGAAAAAAATATTTATTTTCAAAAGTTATTTTCTGTCATGTTCTGCATTGTTCCCGCTTGAATTTATTGTACTTGGCTTAAATCCAAAAAACTACTAAGAAATGTCCCGACTGCGAACTTTATTATTCGTGGCTAAAGATACTTTCAGATATGACAAGTATTTGCACTTTATTCGCCGAAAGAGACCGATGTATCGCCGGTAGGGCTCTGGGAACGAGAGGTTTCGTAAAATTGCGAAGGGGCCATTGCGAAGACAAAATGGCGTGCGAAGAGAGAGGTAGGGGCCCTGCACCATTAAAACTGGTTGTTTTTGGTGGCACTGGACTAACGGGAAAGGAGGTAGTGAAGCAAGCACTGGAGAAAGGCTATTCTGTTACATCTGTCGTGCGATCACCCGAGAAAGCTGAAATACGGTACGACGCGTATTTTCAAGGTTGCACGCACCCCATAATAAGTGTACGTGCTGCAAGATATGGCTGCAGTTGACGTAGTTCCTTCTACTTCTACGTCTCGCAATGTCCAGTTCAAACAGTTGTTAGGGCTGAGTTTAAGGTCGCCTTGAAAAAAATAACTTGTAAGATACGGGTGATTAGATGGACTTTGGGGGCAAATTGTGTTCTAAATGTGTCACACAGAACTTGAAGTAGAATAAACTTAAGTGGGAGAGATCATTGGCAGGTCTGAAGAAGGAATTGATGCTGAGCATACGACGGAAAAATTTTTTTTCCAGATTTCAGCTGTACAATGGGCGTGTGCAGGCCATACATATATGGATGCTACGCTCCCGATATGCATGTTCAAATGTTGGTCTAACCAGTGATGTATTTGCATAATACTTGATTCATTTGAAGAAGCTTGGTGTCTTTTTAGCGTTGTTGTTAAATTTATAAAAATTTTAATATGTGTGTGTTTTCTATTGAGTGTTTCAGTAATGATAATCCCAGGTATCGACCACTTCTAGGGCCTCATCTAACCATCAGTTTAACATGATATGATGATTACCAATGAGAATCTTGGATGTAACACAACGCATAACACTTAGAGGAAAGAAAGTTAATTTGCCAGGTCTGAGACCAAGCTACAAGCTTGTCCAGGTCACTCTCTAGAAGGTGGGTGTAAGCGGGGGTTTGAATACCACAAAACCGCACAGAAATATGAATAAATACTGCACAGAATAACAGAAGAAAACCGCAAACCGCATTGAAATTACCCGAAAATTTGTAAATACTGCAAGCCGCTTGGTTTTGTAAAACTGCAATACCGCAACTTAAAATAAAAATCACCGCAAAACCGCACCAAAAATCGAGCCAAACCGCATCACCGCAAACCCTTACGTCCCGCCCCCCTCCTGTAGAGTGATCTGGACAAGTTTGTACAAGGCAAGAACGTCTTTGTCATCGGTCAAAAAGAATTAAGGCTAAACTGCAGAGATAAAAAAATTAACATTTAAAATGCTCCGAAAGAAGTCTTCTGCAAGTCAACTCTATAACCAAAAGTTAAAACAACTCAGATCAATCAATAAGAATGATTGAACAAATACATTAAGCACAGACAGTAGACTGGGATTCAGGCTTGTTGAGCTAGAGTTGGGGCATCTAAGGCTGTTTACATAGGTTGCATTCCTTTTGACCAATCGAAATCCGGATTTTGCCATCCAACATTTGATTTTTTGTTCCATGAAGGACTAAACCAATCTCAGATTGCAATCTGAAAGATCCACCTCCACACTTGGGTCATTCAGATTGGTATCTCAATCTGGTTTCAGATTTTTATTCCATTTAACGAAATTGCTTTTTGATTGCAAGATTGTGCTCATTCATTGATAAACACAGCGCGTCAAGTTTAGTTCAGGCAAAAGTTGTTTACACTCCTTCTTTGTTCTATGCAGCTAAAGGATAAAATTTGTAGTATATTAAACTCAAGTTCCCCTGTAACTCTAAATCCACAAGGAAGTGAAAATGCTTGCAGTTTTCTCACGGTAAAACTATAGTGTCCATTGTGTGTGTGTGTGTAGAACGTACTTCTCAGCACTTGAGAATTTTGTCAATCATGTTCTGAATTTTCTTGAATCAAATTCTGGATATTTTTGAGTTAACGAGTCCCAGCATGAACAACCACTACTAGTTAAAGAGCTATTTTTCTTTCCATTTCTTACGAGAGGACGCTTAATTTAGCAGAAAGAAATAAAAAACGATGTGTTTAAATTGAGAAGAAGATCATAGCAGCAGGCAGCTACCGTATGGATCAATCTTATGTCAGATTTTTGTTCCGGCTAGCAGGAAAATCCAAACAATCTGGTTTGTCTAAACCTGAAAAAAGTTTGGCTAAAAGGGGTGCAACCACATACTCAAATAGCTGTGCCTGGACTTTCTTCCTTTGACAGATTTCTGAGGAATAAACTGCTTAGCAGCCTTCAATAATTTTCCTCAAGTGTCTTAAGGGCTGGGTCAAAAGCTTGAAATTATGAAACGTGCTCCTGTAATCCTGTCATATTAGCTTGCTTGTAAAGGTAAACAAACCTTGGTGGATTTGTTGGTGGTGGAACCTGGAGATCAATGTTGCATTTGACTACACTATGGTCAATCATTCCTTGTGCAAAAAAAGTGCCACTAACAGATCTGGGTGGGTGGTGAATACAAGATTTAAAATGGTTAGTATTAATAATAATTTATTAATTATCATTATAATCACTCTGGTGAGTTGACTAGCAAGCCATTTTGCAGGATGCAACATGTGAGATCTCTATGTTAATCCTTATCATCTATACTGTCTGTCTTTTAGGCATGCTAACTTGGAGGTAGTAAAAGGAGACGCCTGTGATGTTGAAAGTTTTGCTTCTGTGCTGAAGGGAAAAGATGCTGTGATGTCTTGTTTAGGTGTTGTTGCAAGTATTTTCAATCCAACAACTTTCTACTCAGAGTCCATGCATGCTATTATGGAAGGAATGAGAAGGTGTGTAAAAGATATAGAGCCATACATACAGGCTTCAATCACAATCATGATCATCATTTTCATCTTCCTCATTGTCAACACAATTGGCTCAAGTTTTTCACCTGTAATTACTGTCAAGCCAGGTTAAGCATACCCTCCAAGATTCCATTGGTGAATTTATTATTATTCCAAAGTTGAATCTGTTGGTGGTTTTAGATTTCAATTCATCTCCGCATTCTTTCATGTGTTATGAGCAGTGAATTCACACATGGTGTTATGAAATTTATACCAGCTCAGTTTCCTTGAATTTGATATACCGGTACATCTGTAAATGTCTTGGAAGCAATTCTATCTATTCAAAGATTTTCAATTTGAACAAATACAGATCAGTGATCACAAAAAATGCACTGCTCATTGTGTTTGTAGGAATGCAGATTTGAATTTGATACTGGTTGCAACACAGACTAACAGATTAATTTTTTTTTTCAAATAATCAATTCATTGATGGAATCTATGAGAGCACGCTTGACCTGGCTTGATTGTAATACTCAGCTTTCCATTAATTGTTTCAGTTTCGCAGACATGTTTTCATCCCAGATTCAAGTGCCTGACATAAGGGCTATCTTCTACATACCAGCTGGTGGCCACAAGCCAGCTAACTAGCAGCCCACACAAGATCACCTCTTCCCTGATGTGTTGCTTGTGGCCACCAGCACCCGTGCCTGAATTAAAGGAGTTCGTCTGTCTTTAGGACAAAGACATTTTTAATATTACTTTTTTTGTAATTTGCAATACAGTCAAACCTCTATTAACCCTTTAAACCCCAATGTCCACATACAACTTCTCCAAACTGATCTCCATACATTTCCTTTAAGAATTAGTTGAGAGAATTAATAAAACATCAAGGCATTTTCCCTTTCATGATCATTTTTTATATTCTCACAACCTTATCTCTTGACAATGTATGGACATTGTTAGGAGAAAATTGATGTTGGTCACTATTGGGACTTAAAGGGTTTTAAAAGCGGTCACCCTCGGGAATTAGCTTAATAGAGGTTGACTGTTTAACAGAGGTTGTCTTAAGCCCATAATAGGGACTTTAAGATCCAATGACGTGATGGTGACAAGAACGTCGCTTAAAAAGTGAATTTGCGTTCTTTCAGTCTTAATAGCGATTATTCCTACCCACTTACTTTGTCAGTTGTAGACGAACCCTCCTGAAGCAGAATTTCAAGGGACCATAGCCAAGCTCAGAAAGAGAAATAAATTTTGTCATTGCTAGTTACGTCCTCCATAAAATGTGAAATTAGGCATTTTCACGTTGTAGTCGTGCAAAAATGGGAAAGAAATGTAGAAAAAAGTGTGATGCACGTGTTTTGCCTATTAAACCGATTGTTTTTTTGATGTTCTTGTTGTTGTCCACGTCGTTGGATCTTTAAGTCCCTAATGTGAATTTTATGCTGGGACATACTTGGGGCAAAAATATCTCAGTTTACCTGTTTAATGCTATTTGTATTTATAGAACAGGGTTTGCACAGTCTTGAAAAGTCCTTGAATATTAGGGGAAGTCCTTGAAAGGTCCTTGAATTCCTTTTTACTTGAAAAGTCCTTAAATTTCTATCCAAGTCCTTGAAAAGTCCTTGAATTTTCTTCTACTTTGAACGTAGTGACCTGGAAAGTGTTTTTTTATGTTTTTTGTTGTCCAAGACAGGATATGATGAATAATAGCTCAGAGAATTTAAAGGTTACTTACAGAACGTGCTCAATGTTTTATGCAATAATTAACTATCAATTTAAGACAAGTGAACTGAAAAATGTAGAGAAGTTGGTGAAACAAACTGTTCGAGCCTAAAAGCCTTATTAGAATAGACTGGGAATGTGCATTTTTGTAGAATCTGTAAAATTATATTCCTTGTAGGTGGTCCTTGAAAATCTAATGTTGTCCTTGGAAAATGGTTGCAATTTATTGCATAAACCCTGTAGAAGAATATCATACTTACTGCTTATCAGAATTGTTTTACTTTATCAGTAGAATGTACGATACAGGCCACAGGGATTTAGCCTGTGACCATTTTTATTTGTTTCTTTTAATTATTAGTATTTTTTTTAAATATTTGTTATTAGACATTTTTTAAGTTAACCTTTGTTTATAAAAAGACATCTGCTAGGGGCATACATGTACATGTGTGAACGCTATGGTGAAAGATCCAGTGATTCAGCAAACTGCGATATGTTTTGGGATTAGTTTCTTGCTGAACAAATCCCAGTTTCTGAAAGAGCTGGATGCTTTGCTGGCGAAGAGTTCAAATGTTCTCCCCTTTTTGATCTTGTGACATTTTTTTTCGCTTGTAAATAATGCTGTGGTAATTTTTTTGTAACATTTTTTACCTCTATCCAATATTTATCTCTTGTACACAGGGAACGTGAAGAGGCCAAGTTTTTTTGGGGGGGGTTCTGTAAATGTCTCTTCTTTTTTAATGAAACTTTACCTTGGAATATTAGGAAAGCGGTTTGAGATTTGCATGACGACTTCAACACGATCGATTTTAACTATATTATAGGAGCATTTTGTGTATGGTAAGGCACTAAGTAATTACTTCAGCGCAGAATTGACCTGAAACAGCAATATCCTCGAGACATAGAAAAAGCTAAAACGTTTTTGTTGGTCTCTAATATGACAGGTGTGGCATGAAAAGGTTGGTCACAATGACAGCATGGTGTACCCAACCAGGGCCAAACAATAGTTGGCTGGTTGACTGGTTCATTAATCCTGTGTTGCTTAATGGCATGATCAAAGACATGGGTACCATGGAGAGAATGTTGGAGCAAACGGAACCTGAATTGTTGGACTACACCATAGTCAGACCATGCGGATTGTTCAATGGTAAGCTTGTATTTTCTGAAAATTCACCAAATATTAATGAATAGTAAACAAAGGAAATTACTACCATGTGCGTGGTTCGGAAGTGCCTCAAATCACAGCTCCCCTAACGGAATGGCGTGAGCTATTTGATATTCCATCCACAATTTGCGGTCTTCCCATGTAATTGTGGTACGTACGTTACCGTAAAATATTGTGGACTCATCACTTGGAATTTAGTTAGAATAACTGATAGCTAATACTATAATGATAATAGTTTATAGTCAGGACACTGTACTGATCAATTGACTAGAGTGGATTCTAGTTGTTGACGACTTGAGTCTAGTGGAGTATTGAGTATTGTAGAGTATTGTTGGTTGACTTCTTTTTTTTATCTCTTTTTTAAAAAAAGCCAAAGTATACCTTTTTTCAACAATCGAAAAAAGTGTCCAGGTTTCAATTCTAAATTCTTGAAGTTTTTGACTCAACTTACTTTGCTCATAGTGTTGGCCATCTCCGAGTTCCTTTAACTCGCACGATATGCATGTAGAACTGTTTTGAGTAGTCCATGACGTTTTTTTCCCTCTCCGCTAAGATGACAGAGAAAAGGAGCGAGAAAGACAATAGAAAACCAACTGTCATACAAAGAAAAGGTGACGGAACGAACAATAGCGGAATCTCGCGTGATACTTTAGACTTCCAACGTATAAAGTCGGCGGACACTCTTTGGGAGTAGGGACTTTAAGATAGGTCACCACGGTAGGCTGGGACGGTTGAATGCGTATACGGGCGGCCTGGTGCCATGACGGTAAGAAGCCGCGAAAATTTTCAATTTAAGATCGGACAACAAAACAGGACGGTGAAGTCATGTGCTAAACTCGCTTGTCATTTCTTTCGCAGAAGGCTCAATTACTGAAGAAGAGTTTCTTATTTTATACGAAGAATACCAATCAGAGGAATAAGGGTACAAATTAAAGCTAGCTAGTTTTCAAAACTGTAGTCGATGTTTTTATTTGAACTTTCCTTTCCTCAGCCAACACCTTTTGAGTTATAAAGAAATCTTTTCTTGGTAAAAATACAGTTTTAAGTTGTAAAAAAGACGGCTACAGTCATCACTGTTAGGCCCAGTTGAAACGTCGAACTTCTCATGTGCCGAAACTCACCTGTTTAAAGCATTCTAGACCATTGAACATCGTGAAAATTCGACTACACTTTATTCACACTTAATTCGACTACACTTAATTCGACTACACTTTAAGTTCGACGCCCGAATCAACCTCGAACCATTTGGGTCGACCTAAATAGGTATTAAGTTAGGTACATGAAAAGATCAACGTTTGAACTGAGCCTTACCTTTCTTTTCGGCAATTTTCCTCTGCCATGGCGGACGACACTAGGTAGAAAACAAGCAGTCGCCATGCGGCCGCGAGCTAAGTTATGAATGAACTCAGACATTTTGCTTTTTTTTTTCATTTCACCGATAGGTAAATCAATGTAAACACAAGCCAACGCATATTTAACCCATTGGCTACTCAGTTTTAGAAGAAAAGTGACAATAGGTATGCATGAACTCTTATCGGTTTCACCGTTGTCTTCACGACGAGAAACCCGGCGAAAACATACCGTCCCAGAAGGACGACGGTAAAAGGTCACGCGTGTTTTGCGTGACGTGACATCTATCTAACCGTCCCAGGCGACCGTAGTCACCTATCTTAAAGTCCCTAGTGGAACGACATTGAGGACGACTGCAATGTATGAGTCGTGCTCAACAAAATTAGAAGGCACTTAAACTTCTAGAAGAAAACCGTGTTCTTCTTGTTCTACTGTCTATTTCTTTTTTGCGATAGCACTGACAGTTTTAACAAAAATTTCGGCCTAATTTTCTTGGAAAATCGCGTGCGTGCGACGGAGAATATCATCGTGTTATGTCCATGCTCTATACTCGCATGGACCATGGTTCTCAATCAATCAGTGCCCGGGAAATGGCTTAGTTATTGTAAAATGCTGTTTTCTTTTGGAGTAGAAAAGTATAAATAAATTAGAATTAATTATACATGAAATAACTTTTCGTGCTTTTTACTGAAAACTAGTTGTTCGAAGGAGCAATTATTGCCAAGAAATGTCTAAAGCTCGAGAAAAGCTTAAACATTCGCAGATAACAGTCCCATTTGTCTAAGATATTCGAAGTTTTTCTACCATCTTACCTACGATTTTCTGAGGATGTGTTTTTCACATTTTATCACCAATATATGATGATTACGTATTGCTAAAAAAGGTCTCCTGAAAATTTCGGTGTAATGGCAAAAACGTCCCTTAGAATTTTCCGATGAAAGTACGGTTACTCCATGTTCTCGAACTTTCGACCAGACCCATCAGGGAAGCTATCATTTTCGAATGAGTCGAAAAAGCCACCCAACACTTTCGAAGCTACCAAAGTTCCCCCATGCATCCAAGCAGATAAAAATTTCTTTAGGGCAGTAACCAAACAGCCTTCTTAATCATTGAGAAAACCATTTGACACACGTGTGACGTACAATAGAACCTCGATAACTCGAACTCCCCGCTAAGTCGAACTGAGGCCGTTTCCCTTGGCTTGCACCCCCCTTTGGGTCATTTTTACTTGGTTAAGTGGAACTCAGATAGGTCGAATTCCACGCTAATTGGAACTAAATTTCCCTTGCCTTGACCAAAAATTCACTGAAACTTCTCGATAACTCGAATTCTTTAAACCCCACTCGGATGCCATCCCACCAGCTCTCATTGTTGTATAATTGGTAAAAACACTAAAACTAACCCTCCTGCAATTTGCTGTTAATTGGTGCAACGAACAGATCACGTTTTATGGTAAAAATGCATAATCATGTCACCGCCGTTTTTGATGAAATAAGTAAATTTGCACTGTACTATACTCACGGAACTGCTGAAAATCAGTAACTATCCGGCAATTATAAGTCGCAAATTTAATATTTAATCGATTCCGATAACTCGAACCACCGCTAACTCGAACTGTTTGTCGTTTCCCAGAGTTCGTGTTACCGGGGTTCTGCTGTATTTGGAAACAGTCGGTCGTGCCCCTGATTTAATTTCATTTCATTGGTGATCTTGAAACAATCCGTGCGAGAAGAAGGTATTGAAATATAATTTTAGCATCCTTTGACCGGAAAACGGAATAAGCCACTTGACATTGCCAAGTTATCTCTAATATCAACAAGCGGTTTTAAATCTGATAGTGCTATAATACTGAGAATCTTTTTAAAAGGAGACATTTTGTCTTTGTTGACTAGTTTTTGAGTGATATTAACAGGAAAGAGTAGATGCTGATAGATAAATGGGCTTCAGGTGTTAAAGAGGCAAGATCGCTCTATTGAGGCAATCTTGGCACGCACTTACCTATCAGATATCAGAATTGAGGGTCTCAATATATGGGGCGAAGGCATTTATGGTTTTAACGGCAGGAGCTTATGTTAACGATGAAAATATCGGTTTCTTTTTACAGCTGACAGTCATTCAGTTTCTTTGCTCATTTGTAAAAAAAATTGTGCTTTAGGAGTTTTTGTATCAATTTCCATTGTTGCAAAACACATCTTTCAGGACTTTCCCGAATTAAAAGGAAAAGGCTGAGATTTTTGGCCGTTTTATGGCTAACAGTCAACCCCAGGAGCCTCACCCCCCATGGAGACCCTCAAACCGTTGAACAACACAAATTACAGAAAAGCACGAAAAGAAGCGGGCATGAGCAGAACTGAAGAGGATTAAAATGGATTGCACTCAGGTTAACTTGAAAAACAGCGGTCCGCTTCTGTTGAATTTGTCACTATTTGCGAGAAGGTGTGGCCTAAAATGCTCGGGAATCATAATATGTCTTCTGTGGTCATGATGTTTTCGGTAAAAAGTATTTCGTCAACCGATTTGTAATTTTACGCTTGTTTAACTAGGAATATATAAGCATAAAATATAGCCAACCCTTCGTGGCCGAGCTCGTTTTTAATCCTTTCAGTCAGCTGCCAGAGTGTCTTGTGATGTATTTTTAACTTATGAGGCTGTGAGCGAAATGCTTTCATTGGTTTAACCGTTAAAAAGCTCTTTGCTAAAACTTTCTCGTAGTACTGCTTGTTTTTTTCAAAGAGCATTTAAAAAAATAAATTTGAAATTCATGTTGTCGAATACTTGTGAGAGTGAAGAGGTTCCGATGTGCGATAGCATAAGAGCATAAGTAGAAAGGAACTCTTCCAGAGCAACAAAAACCTAAAAAGGTCACTATATGCAAAATCAAATAGACACTAACATAGGTCTAACCGTATTTTTTAGGCGAACGGACAGGGAATTACAAAGTCGAAGAAGGACAGTGCAACACTGGAACCAAGTATTTCATTACACGCGCTGATGTTGCAGAATTTTTGCTTAAGACTTTGGAGAGTAATGAGTTTAACAGAAAAGGTTTTGCCGTGGCTGGATTATGAGAGTGTTAGAAGTGGTTACATCCGTGCTAAATTAAGAAAATCCCGAAATCAACAGATATTATCGCGAAAAGCCGAATGTCTAACCCATGCAATCCACGTTTTCGCACGATTTTTAACCCGTAGTGGTAAAGTAAGTAGGTAGATATCCATGCTTTGTTTCTGTTAGCTTCGGAATTCTCTCAATAACAGGGTAGAACATTAGATGGTGTATATCGAGATTCGCTCAGAGGTGTGATAAAAGTTTAGATGGTTAAAGGAAGTTCTAAGACCCACACTTGAAACAAGGACCATATTGAAAAAGTATTTTAGAAAATTCAAAATTAAAATCTGCTAAAGATAACCTGTGAAATCTGAGTAGTTTAATGCCCAAATCCGTTGATCCATAAAACTCTCTTTAAGAGATCAGGATATGAAGGATCTCTGTTGAGGTATAGTTATGTATTTCTTTAAGACGCACGTAAGATAGATGAGTTGCATAAACGAGATAAACATATCTGCTGAAGCAGTGCCCTCAGTTTTCTAAACAGTGTACAAACCAAGTCATTTGACTAGTGAGGCTAAACTGGATCGTGGAGGCAACAGTTTTTAAAAGAAAATCTTAAAGCTTGTCGCAGATCAATATTGCATTTCACCGATACAGACCTGCAAGACAGTCCATAGTAACGTTGAAAAGTAAAAGTATAACAGTACCCTTTGTCAATAATTCAAATTCATTCATAGAATATGTTTGGTCTGGGTGTGGAAAACTTAAAGCGAGGTTCGGCTGCATCTTTCGGAGAGTTATTAACGTACTTAGAGTGTATCGTATTGAGGGCGTGGCTTTTGTTTTATTTTCCGCTGCTAGGTTATACTTATGAGTCCTAAAACGATTGCTTATCTTTCAGGGTTTTGGAAATGTAAGGGCTAGCTCGTACTCCAGATTGAAGTCATCTGACGAAATAAATGGCAAAATTCGGGGAATAGTAAGCACAGCGCAGTTGGGAAATTTAATGATGGTTTTGTTATCGCCGAGTAAGTGGTCCTCGTTTCTTTTCTTGATATATTCATATGGATTGGTTTTACCAAGCGGCTCTTGTGAAAGAAGATATACTGCAAGACGATGTACAGAGACAAGAAAGTATTGGGCGGTAGTTTTGGTGCCAACGTTACAAAATCTAATGCAAGTCACGTCCTTGTGAATGGTCACAAGTTAAGCACAATCCCAGCCTTTGAATCTAACCTAAAATAAACTGTACCACTGTAGAAGCTAATTAGCTTTTCACTTCAGGATTTCCTGACAGACTTAAATGTTAAAACCATCTTTTACAGCTTGATAAAAATGGCAGCAGTAGAAGAATTGCTCGGCGCCATTCCCTTACTTGAATGGTCTTAACGCAGGCTGTTAATTTAGAACCATATTTCGACTTCGCTAGAAACGATCATTTGCTGTCAGTAGCAATATACAAGCCGTGCCTTGTTGTGATTTTTAAAGCAGTTAAAAATGGTAGTAGAAGTAAGAATATGGTCAATTGGGCAATTCAATTGAATGATTAGTTATTATATGTGACCAGGTCAACTATACTTCCGTGAATGGATAAGACTCGACTTTTTCTGTGGGTTACCTTGAACCTTTGACCACGAGATAATTACGCTTAAGAGTTAAAAGAAAAAACCTCGCTCACGAAAGAGAAAGAAATGGGATTACTGTATAAACCCTGTACGTGTGAGTGTGTGGGTCTCTCGGGGGGGGGTGGGAGAACTGGGGGGGGGGTAGGGGGCGGAGTGAAACTCAACAAAGTTTATACGGAGTAGCTCCACCCCGAGGAGGTCCCTGTCATATACCATTTTTCACAGTAAAAGTACCCCTTTCGTTTTATTTTTATAGACAAATGGTACCCCTTTCTTTGCCCTTTCACATACCTTCTGTATAACGCGGCATACTTGCTTACGCTGCTGTCGTAAACTCACCGTCTTTTAAATATGACTAAACCAGGAAGTTTTCTTGTCTTTTTCACAACCATAAGAGGCGTCTGTTGGCTGTTTTAGGTCATTTTTACAGACCGAAATGACAGCCTTCCCTACCCTTTCTAGGGCTGTCATTAAGGGCCGGGGAATTGGGATTTCCCCCGGCTATTATGAACGTGATCCCCTGCTACTTTTGTAGGAAAATAGAAGAAAAATAGAACCAAACAAAATCCCTCGCTTTTTGATTCCCCACCTACTTGTATAATTTACTCGGCAACTTGAAACTTTTATGACAGCCTTGCTGGCTGTCATATTCTTCAACCAGTGAATCTAGATGGCACAGCTGTCCGACAAATTGTTTCATAGCCGATAAACTAATCTCAAATTCAAATGTTGTAAAAATACGGTAGAATAAAAATTCCTGCTGGCGAGGTTTGATTTGAACCATTGCTTTTTCGCCTGGATTTAGAGCCCAACGTCTGTGGGGATGAACTTGGGCAAGGCTGCGTACTTGGATTGCAGACTATGATAGTCGTTTAGGTAGTACAAATGTATATTCGCCGTGCAATCGTTATTTCTAGGGTAATTCGTCTCTTATTCATTTTTTTCTATTAATTTAAGAGTGCCTGGGGAATAATCCCTTGAAAGCTAGGCGTTATCCAGCTGCAGTCGAGTAGCACATTTCCAACGAGTTGGACAACTCTCAATTATGTACAGGACAGGTAGACCTTCCTACATCTCCTTCCTCTGTAATACGGACACTTGGCTCTGTCTCAGTTTTGTTGCGTGGATGACGCACGTGTGAAAGACACGCGAAAATAGTCTTGACGGATTTAATCTTCCTCGATACCTAAACAAAAGCTTGATAGACTTCTATATTACTCACTGCCTGCTCTTGTACCCTACGAGTTGGACCTCGCCCTGTAGAAAAACGGATGCGAGAATTGTTTCCGAGTTCCCCTGTTTAATGCACCTATTTATGCTTTGTGGCAAAGTGACACATAAGTAAAAAGAAAAAAAAAACTCTCTAACATGACTTCTTTGCAATGGGCCTGTCTCCTTTACAAGTCCGACAAGTGGCACGCACATCCGGTGTAGATATACGGAACAAAAGGGTGCGGTTTTTGCAATTTTTTTTGGTTGTGGGCTGTTTGAGCACGTTAGTCTTAACACGGGTCTTTATGTACGGGTCAAATATAAACTGGATATCAATGCTGGTCTAAATCTTTTCTGGATCCACTTTAAAAACTTTATAATAAAGACAAAGGTTGAAAAGTATCAACTAGGGAATGACTTACCTTTGTCTAAAATGGGTGTGGCGTTTTAGACGATTTCAACCAAAATCGAATAAAAATAGCCTAGGTGAATCTCATTTAACCCAACACTTATTAAAACTGTTTTCGTTGACCACATGGCCTGTTCCGGATCTTGAAATTAGCTGACGGGAAGTGTGATTGTAATCCATGTATATATTCACTCTAAATTCCAGGGGTCATTGCGTGTCTCCGTGACTTACAAGAAGAGACTAATCATGTAAACAAAACTAAATAATATCGCAAGAACGAGTTCCATAATTTGATTTGTCTATTGGATTTTGGTCTGTTTAAAAGGCTACGGAGAGGCCCTATGGACTCTCAAACAATAATAAGCTTACAGTATCGGAATACGTATACTGCTAAGGTACTCCTTTAAACTACTGAGAATACGTTTGAAAAACAACTATTGTTATTCAAAAGATGTTAACTCTTGTAGTTTACTTCTGCTAAAACAACTTTCTTATCAACATTTAATACGTGATTTCTTCAACTTTCTAATTCAGAGGAAAGCCTAATGGTGCATTTCATGTAGCAAATTTAGTTAAGTAAAAAGTGTTGCAATTCCTAAGCTTTCACGTCCGGCTTATGCAATCACTAGATGAATGAAAGCATAAATGTCATAATGTTTTAATCTTTTCCTTTGTTTACTTCTAATTATCACTCGTGTAAAACCTCCGTAATACCTATAAATGGATTTTCTGTCGTCACGGCAAAATTCAGTCATTGTTAGGTGGGAAGATAGATTTTTTTGCGTGAGAAATTCATTCAGTGAACTTGTCCCTCTAGCTTTAAGTGAATTCCAAACGTGGAATTTAGGAAGTTTTGATTTTGGCCTTGGGAGTTCCCTTAAAGGCCAAGGGGTTAAACCAATCTTTAGCAAAACCAAGATAAGCCTTTTGAGTTTGCTTTGGTCAGATTTTTGGTGCGCTTGTTTGTGTATCGCACACTTTATAAGAATGCCTTAACAATATAGTCACGTTTAAATTCCTATCGTGTTTCTTTTACTAATCTTTATCCGGCCAATTTTCATACCGTCGGAATAAACATGCAAGAAAACTTCATGAGGCTTGGTTATCTCTTAAGGTGTTTTCTGGAACTTGCTCTGATCAGCGCTCGAGACTGGAAAGGAAATGTGCTTGATCTTGATAGTGTGCCGGCCAGAACGGTAATGTCCCAAATGAAACACATATCTTAAATGTCTGTCAAGATATCTGAAGTCGTAATGCATGTTACATACAACGAGTTTTGTTTAATAAAGCAATCAGCCATAGACAAGTTCAAATATTAGGAAAAGAAGGCGTATTTTTCAGTTAACTGGGCGCACGTTTTCAGATGCGATTGAAGCAACGTCAAAATGAAACTATTATGCCAATGCGATTAAAGTGATAGAATTAAAATTTTAATAAACCACATATTCATTTTATTTCGGCTTACACTGGTTTCTTACAAGCCGACAAAGATATGGCATAAACGCGCTTTTGAAGACCCAGGTAAAGCATCCCGTACGTGTAAGTTTCGATGAAACTATTTTGAAAACTTGATAAACCGCTGTTTTGCCTTTTGTTTCCCGGTGATTACGGCCTTTTTTCTTACGAGCCAACAGAAACTTACAGTTCCACGGCGGGTCGAGGTATGCAACATGGTTTTCGCAACCCTGGTCCTATTTCAGACCAAAATATTCGATTCTCCGTACCCGGTTTCAGACCAGACCTCAGCGGCGCGCGCACACTCACACTGTTACATAATCTCAGAAGTTACTGAGTCCTGCAGCTACTTTTTCCGTTGAAATTGGGCAATTATACCATTTTTTAGATGTTCGAAAATCCTAGGAGAGGCAGGCAAGCAAGAAATTTTACAACAAATGTTCCGAAAATTCTAGATCTCAAATCGTCTTCCGAACAGATATTTTCCGAAAATTGATGTTGGGTGCCCCTGATGTCGTCCGACTGACCATCGTTTTCATCGTAAGAATTCTTTGTTGTGCATGTTGACATAATTTTGTTGTATTAAACAAACCGAAGTTATTAAACGTTTCAATGAATTCTTTTCACGCAATTTGATGTGGCCCCTGCTGGAATCTAGCTGTGGTTGCAGAAACAGTGGACAGTTTTTTATTCATTTAATTGTACGTTTAGAGGTAAATTTTTGGTAATGACGAGGCTTCTGTGCGTAATTTTCTTTAAATTCCGCTTTTATAAAAACCTTTTTAAGCCCTTTCGCCAGTGAAACCCTTTTTTCTGGCGTAGCTCTCATGTAATGATAATGATGTGTTAAAATCTTGATTACCATTCGAGAAGGCTCCACGCTTTAGATAAATACTAACAGATGGCTTATTTTACTTTTATAGACCTTTCATGCATTAAGTAATTCATGCGGCGTTTGTAGTGTTTTTAAGGAGTCTGCTCTCAGCTTTGATCTTTTTGACCTCATGCATGTATTTCTTAACCGTTATTACGCTCTCAACTGAAGCCCGGTCTACACGTTTTTACTTAAACCATGAACATTCATTCATTCAATTTTTTTTTCTGAGAGAGGTAGAGTAGATTTCATGCCTTGCAAATGGTTGTGGAATGGTTCGAATTTCTGAAAGGTGCGAAGCTCAGAAAATTGTTATTTTTTTTGTGCAACAGCCACCAAAGAACTTCCTGGGCTTTGGAGTTTCTCTTGAGAAATTTAATCGCAAATGGGTTCAAAAAAAGGGAAGATGTGCCAATGAAGTAACCGCCTGCTAACAAATAGATAATCTACTAGAAGTTTAACTTCTTATACGTCAGACCCGTCAAACCAAAAATAGAAGTAGTGTAACTTATCTTTTTTTATTTGCTCAACAAATAGAAACTAAGCCAAGATATGCAGGTAACAATTTTTGCGGCAAACAAAGCAAAGTAAACACCGACGAAGAACAGAAAAACGGTCAGTTACGTTGACAAAAAAGAATTTCTTAAAATATATCTTGGAAGATCCCGAACCATGTTGTGAAATAAATGTCTCCACACTATTCTTTGAAATGCCTCTAATAACTTCAGGTAACATGGAAATTTACAGTATCGCATGACGTGAAACCAAGGCCCATGTAGCGGCTTTTCACGACATAGCAAAAAAATAAAGTCCACGTCTGCTTTTTGTAATTGATTTTTTAATATATAATTATTAGCTGATCCTGAAGCCCTTAGCCAGAGACTTCTAGCTTTTCCCACGCCGCTCCGGAAAGACTAAAAAATCTTATCACCGCTTGCTTCTTTCTCCAGAAAATAGAACTTAAGGTGAACTTTTCTGAAGACCTTTTAATCTTTTCTCGTTGCTTCAGACAAAAACTCGTCACGTCCTTTATGATTGAGGTGTTTTCCTGTTTTGCAATATTACACTTTAACAATTCAGTGTGTACGGTATATGACGAAAAAAAAAAATTAGTGTGAACAGTCTCTGACTCAGAAAAAATTTACTATTGGAACTCATAATTAACAGCTCCCAAGAAAAATTTAAATATTAATTAAAACAAAAAAAATGGCTACGTTATATCTCATTCCTCGGTTATGCTTGCCACTTTAGCAGCAATTTATACTTAAATCTTTTAACCTTTGGCTGCTCAACTAAATGACACCCAAGAGAGTGACGAGGGCTGCTTATTGGGTGTTTAATTGAGTATATACTCTCTTAGTAAAATATCCAGAATGTCTATTCACTGTTGGTTACGCACGAAAGAGAGGACAGTTTCAATTACCGTTCGCAAAGGAGTTAATGTGAGAAACCTGCGACTAAACGCGTTTGTTTCCTCGCATTGCTGCTCAAGTAACAAATAAACATAAAAATAAGTCGCATATTTAATTTCGTGACTGCAGAGAACAAGAAGATTTGATGGTATTAACTTAACGAAGATTAAATAAGCGGCTTTAAATGCTCTAACAGCCCGGAGATTTGAACTTTTCCATACGCTTTTTTGGCACTTACTGTTTGGTGAAACCGTTCAAAAATCAATTATACTCGAAGAGGCAAGCCAGCTTTCCAGCCGTGCGGTATTGAGCATTTTTCTTTGATCCTTCTAGTCACAATGAAAACTATTCTTTGATCAACCGACTTCTGTCCCAAGTGGGCAAGGAACGTGCTGACCAACTTATTGCTTAATTTAGTCCCCGTCTCTGCTGAGAAGTTGGTTCTGTTTTTCTCGCTGGAAAGTTCTGGAGAGGTCGTCAAGTTTTCATACGTTGGCACCTGTGTCTTCTGCATTAACGCGTGCGCGCTGAGTTTCTTATCAGAAGAAAATATATAAATAATAAAAAAAATAATATGTAAATATTTATGTTAGATTATCGGTATCACTGCCTAGAGTATTAGCGGATGCTCCAATGGCGTGCCCATGTGCTTAATTGAAGGGTTCTAATTAAGTCTCGCGGTAACTGCATTGATTGATTTTGATAATTACCAATTAGCGCAAGCCTTTCTACTCGCCGCAGCCAATCCACGGCAGCTATCAAAGTTGAGCAAGCTACAAAAGACTGCTCGTGCTCCCACTTTTCATTACTTCTGACTCCTGTTTGCGGTGCCTGTTGTTTAAATCCATTATTTTTTCGGCACTTTGCAGTTGTAGCAAAGATCTGTTGTTGTAGAACGCACATAAGCAGTCGCGATAACTTTCAAGTTCATCCCCTCGCATATTGCATAAGAAAACTGTTGGTGAACATAGTGCAAGACCTTAAAGGAACGAAGAATTATTTCTTTTTGCGCAAAAATGGTAAGTTGAAGTACCAAGCAACATTAACAATTTCTTTTCGACAATTTACCATTTTAAGTACTGACGTTATCTGTTGAACCCTATTCGTATCTGATCGTCATCTTATTTCATTAAGAAGTCAATTTACGACAATTGAGAGCAGTTATTTAATTATTACGATGCTCAATTTGCTAACTAATCGAAAACACTAAGACTGGCTCGATTGTAGTTATGGTAAAGAAAGAGATTTCCAAACCGTACTGCTGTATTGGTAGATAAGCTTATAGATTTTTCGCTCATGAAGTCCTTAATTTTTATGAACAAGAAACTTCGACAAACTACTTAACGTTAGAGGGAAGCATTATGCTCCACCCGAGGTGGTATTTTTATAATTGTTTCACTCTAGAGGAAAGTTTCCGCAAGTATTTATCCGGTTATCGAACGGTTCTTTTCCACTAATTGTTGTTCTTATATACGTTAACGTAGGATTTCCTCTTGCTCGCTTTATCACTTTGTGGAACTTAAGCTATGCGTGAGGCACGTTTATTAAACAAATAACCTTGACATTTGTTTCGTTTGTTTGTATTTTTCCCCAGTTCCGTGTTTTCATCTGCGTGGTAGTCTTTTCAGTTGTACACGTAAACTGTGCCTTAAATGACACCAAGGCGGAGCTCAATGCTCAAGTCGCCTACCTTTCCAAAATCTGCCCTAGCGATGTGTCCCAAATGGAATTACACACCCTTGCTGACAAGAACGCCACATGTAACGACGGTACTACGGCAGGGTAAGTGAGATATAACATTAAAACTCGTCATTTACTAGAGTGCCCACTAGTCAGCGGCAAATTTTTCACCCGAACAACAGGCCTAAGAAGAATCGCCCGCACCAGACAAAACCTTTGAAGAGCTAGCTTTTAGATGAATAGTCACACTTGGGGAGAGAACCTAAAGCTAGTAATTCGTGAAGTGTCTAGTTAACTGACTCTGGGAGTGTGAGATTTGACCTTTTCTATGTCCTGTAAGTCAACCCTCCGCCTACTGTGTGTTCGTTTTGTTTGATCTGTTTCAACAGAGCTTTTCTTGGCATGATTCGTTTTTCACCTTTTTTCACCACTAAATGTTTCGTGAAATTTGCAGCATTTGTTCTCTGTCACTCGTGTCCGTACCTGGTCTTGCATTGTTGTTATCGACCTATCGACAGTGACGTTATAAAACATTGTTTCCTTATAAGAACTTTTCGTTAAAAAAGTAGCGACTTATCAGAACTTTTATAAAAATCGTATCACGCACGAGGAGAATCGTATAGCACCCCTGAAAGGGTTTTAAGAATCACATGACTGGCTTCGCAAAGAGATTTAAGAAAGAGATGTTTCATGTTTATGTACCAAAAAAACCGTCTTTGATCTTTACCCCGTTCTGGGGGGCAGTGCTTTCGGGCAATTTAAAGGTTCTGTTCGTTCACTCATGCTGTAATAATGAGATTAAATTGAATGAGCCCTCTCTCAGTAGTCTATTTTTGGACTTAAGTTTTTTTTACAACCAGGAATTTCATTGCGCATTCGTCTGTAAATTGTTACTAAACTTTACTTCGTCGAGTTTTAATAATTGGTAGTTAATTATCTCAAACTTCTTGTGAAGACAGTTCGGTGCCTCAGTTTGCTTTTTTTTTTAAGATGTCATTTCAATCAGTTATTTAACCTGCTTTGTTTTTGTTATTTTTTTGAGAAAGTTTTACTTTCTCTTTCGAACTCTTCCCTTCTTTTGTGCTCAACGTTTGCATTCATTTAACGACTTCCTGTTTAACGTTTAACCGGACGACAAAAATAATATCATTTTAGTCATTACTTACAGATATAAAGCAAGTTGTCCAACAAATGTTATGAAGCCTCCAACGAAAGCGCTTTTTTCAGCAGATTCTTTGTAAATTAATGCACGTTTATGCTTTTTAGTCTATTTGCCACACTTGATGAATAGCACAAGTTCTTCAGTTCATCGATAAGCTCATTCGCTTTAAGTTATTCGCGTTTGTGGTATTGACAACGAGTTAACGGAAATTCGCTGATATCTCACGCTATCTCCTGTCTTCGATTTGTATTCCTAAATTAACGGTTAAAAGTTTTTAAGTAAACGATTTAAACGGTTGTTTGATTAAGCACATAGAATAGTTGATTTACTAGTTCAGCAGATTATAAAGTTAGTTTTTATATCATCCGTATTTTCATCTCAGGGGCACCCACGACTGTTTTCTGTAAAATATCTGTTCGACGAGGCAAATATTGCCTAGAATTTTCTATTACTTGAGAACGGCCAAACATTTCTGGATGACTGTTCCATTTATGAACAATTTTCGAAGCTTATCTAATAAATTCCCCTAGGATTTTCTGATTTAATTTTTCACATTTCACTCCCCAGGTTAGGCTATTTTTCGTAAAAAAAGAAACCTGAAATTTTCGGATTCAAAAATGTGACGGAGACTGAGAGGAATTAGAAAAATTTTCGTTTTCGTAAAACGTTAAATTGCGTCTAGAATTTTCGGGAAAATAGCACTGAAGCCGTTAAAATTTCGAAAAGTCTGAAGTTGCCCTAGGAAGATCGAACAGAGACAAATTTTATAGCGCCGGTTAGAATGCATTTGTAGAGACCTAAAAGTACTCTGGATAGCCTTAAAAGTGTTTTCAATGTATTTAAGAGGAAACCGTCCTTGGGTGCCCCGGTCATCTAAAAGTTTGTTATTGTTCCGTAGTCACGAAACTTTGCTTCGCCTTCGAAAGCCGGGGAAAGTTTCCACATGTTGTTTAGCAAAAGGAACTGAAAAGGAATGCTTTTCAGAAGATTAACCAGAGCGTGTGTTTTATTTTGATAAGATGTTTATCCCGGTTCTGGAGGAACCGCAAAATTTCTCATAGGCTTGTGGTGCCAGCTTTGGTCTTTGCCAAATGATAAGGAGTGGTTGTTTTGATAAGTGAAAACTCCCATCTGTAGAGAATCTAACGCTAACTATAAATAATTATTATGTAATGGATTCCTGGTTTGGTAAAACGTATAAAGAAGAACCGCAACATCGTTAATTGTTCCTTTCGATCTTCATCCATTACAGAAGATCACTAGAAATTAACTCCCTAATAAAATTCACACAAAGGAGTGATGGAGATTATTTTAACGAACTTGTCTTTTCCGTGCAAACGAGTCAAGTTTTTCCTTCGCAAATATGTTTGAATTGGAAAACGTTTATCATTTTTGATTATCTTTTCATAACAAGTAGCAAAACGTCGTTTTTGTGTTAGAATAATTAAAAACAGATTATTATCAGGCGAAACGTTCATGTCGTTAATATCCTCAGTTATTGCTGAGAAAGATTTTACGCTGATTAGGTCATTTTATCGCTTGTTTCAGGTTTCCCCTGTGTGCCAGTTTGTCCCTGGCTTGGGTCCCTGCTCGTAAATACATACGAAACGTCTTCCTTGTATTAACTTCTGACGTTTTTGCCAAACATTTTAGGTATTATATGAGAAAAGCTAATGGAAGTAAAAGATGGATCGTCTATTTGGAAGGTAGGGAAAATCACGATTATACTGTTATACTTTTAAAACTTGAAACTTGGCTCCAACCCCACCCTGGGGCTCCAATATAACTTTTTAACTGTTCATCTTTATCGGAAGCATAAGGCCATGCAACAACCGCAGATAATTAAAACAAGTCACGGAGATTCTGGATGTTGCTTGTGGCCATAATTGCGTCATAGCTTTAAATACAGCTTTGGTGTTCAAGTCTGCGGGGTTGTGTTTTTTGGTTGTTACACTAAGTATATTGTATTTGCAAAAGTAATATAAACTCTTTCAAAGTAATAAAAACAAAAGTGTGTATAAATTAGAAGAATTTATTCACCGGTTGAAGACAAGGCCGAAAAAGTCAATGACTGTTACATTAGACAAAAACCTGCAAATTCCATTTTCGAACGTTTTTTTTTTCTCGCTTGAGCAGCAAGTACCAGGACACGAGACTAGCAGCCGATCCACACATTTTCATAAGGAAGGAAATATCCGTATCTTTTTATCCTATTTAGACGATAAAAAGGTATGGACAAAAGAAAGGATGTCCCTAAATACGATTACGTAAATCTTTTGTCTGAAAAAGTAAAGAGAAATGTCAATTGTCAAAGCAAAACTTTATAATAATAACATCACGTAAAATAATTCGTTAGTTATAATTGAATATCACGCAACAGTCAAGAAAGAACTTCGTATTCTTCCAATCTGCTCGGGTGATCTGCTACCCTGAGACCAGCCTGAAATTGTGGAGAGTTCCTCCCGTAATGTGCTAACGTATTAGTAGTTTTTTCATGCAATTTAAAAGTGTTATATATATATATATATATATATATATATATATATTTTTTTTTTTCCCCTTTTTAATCCTTTACCATCCATAATGGGGTGTTGCCCTCCAATCCCTAACAGCAAAACGCATTGCTTTTGATTCTACAGTAAACTTGGTCTTAAAAGGGAACTTTTTGAGCATTAGTAGAGTGCTCTTATGAAGGTTTATGTAATAGTTTAAAAAGCGATTAGTGCAATGGCCTAAAGGGTTAAACTAACAAAAGCAAAAACGAAACTAGGCTATGCAAATGTATTATGATGGAACCCTAACATTTTAAACTGAGTTTGGATTTCGCTCGTTCGTTTTTTGCTCTACAATGAAATAAACGAAAAGCACCAAAAAGTTCTCCTCGAAAGTATGATAACGTCTGACCGCGGACGGTTTTTTTTCTTCTTGTTCTTTTTTTTTCTTAGTTTTTTTTTGCGTCTTGTTGTCGTCCCGGCTTTGGGAGGCTAAGTTGCCAAAATGTCATTTAACAATGTTTGAATAGACTCACAAGAATAGCCCTATACACTTGAACGATTTTCACTTCAAGGAAGTGCTACTTAAGAGCCCTCATTAATTGACAGCTACAGACCTCACGGAGAATTACGTTAATGCTGTCTGATTCCGTCAGGAAAATACGGGTTAAATACACAAATTATCCTGAGCTTGCAGGTTTCCAATTGTCATAAGTGGTGTGCGCCTAAGCACGAGTTTTTCTCCCCTCAACGTGATATCAGGAAATAACTTTTAGGCGCGGATCTTGGCCAGGTATGAAAGGGAAAATATTTTCCTGCGCGTTATCGTAACTCGTAAATTTTTTTGGTTGTTTTTTGCGCGTTTTTTACCCAGGTAACGGATCATTGTTTCGTTACTTTACCCATTTGGCTAACACCTCACTCAGAGTTACCTTAATGCTGTCTGATTCTGCCAGGAAAATGCGGGTTAAGTACACAACCTTCCTATTGTCATAAGTGGTGTACGCCCTAGCACAACAACTTTATTCTTTGTACACAAATACAAAAGTTGGATAGTTTGCCCCGCAAAAAACTGAAGACTAGTCGTGGCGGGGCAGGACAAGTACATGAATGACACAATTATCTAGTAAAAACAAAAACCTTAAACTATTAGAAAGCCTTGCAGATTGCGACTAAAAATAAATAAAACACCGAAGTTTAGTGATCCAATTAACACAGCGCTTACTGACGTACAATGCATTAAGACAAGGAGTCACTGACTCTTAAATGATAACACAGAAAAGAAAAGCAGACATAAAAACCTTTAGCAAGTGTATCTATGTACCTACTTTTTAAATAATCATGGGGATTTGAATATAGTCATCCTCCCTCTCTAAGATATCAAATAGCAATTTGCTGAGAACTCTTTTGAAAGCTTTCTTTGGAAGATCCGTTATATAGCGAGTTATCTTATTCCACAGCTTTACTCCGAGCCGAGAGAAAGAATTGTTTTGCATTGCTAGTCTAGAGCTTTTAATATAGAACTTTCCAGACGTAGGCGATCGTGTATTGTATGAGTGAATGTTAGACGTTTTCTGAAATAAATTTAACATTTTTGCTGGGGCTTTATCATTATTGATATCGTACATTAAGGTTGATACGGACTCATAATAAAGAAAAGTTGTTCTAAGCACGTTAGCTTCGAGAAATAAAGGAATTGCATGGTTATGCCAGTCTGCGAAGTACAGTAAACGAAGAGCTCTTTTCTCAAGAATTAGAATTTTATTAAGACAAGTCTTGCGTGCCTGCCCTCAGGCAGCAAGACCATAGGTTAAATAAGGATGAATTAGTGACTTACAAATATTCAGTAATATTGGTCGAAGTACAGAGTGGTGTACGTAGCTTTGCAATTAGCCAGACAGTTTTAATAATTTTTGTAACAATCAGTGTGGTATTTCCAAGAGAGATTCTGATCAATAAGAACGCCCAGGTATTCTTCAGACTCGAGACGAACATATTTATTCTTTTCATTATCAAACATGCAATGTTTTGGTTGGTAAGCAAGTCGCTTTGGGTAAGGATGAAAAATTACAAAGTTGGATTTATTAAAGTTAAGAGTTAGTTTGTTGTCTGTCAACCAGTTATAAAGGTTTTGTAGCTCATTGTTGACTGTTGTCTCAAGATCTTTCAGATTTTTGTTCGCATAGAGAGTGTTAGTGTCGTCTGCAAAGAGGTAAAACGTAAATTTATTTATTTATCATTGACATATAGCAAGAAAAGCAATGGTCGAAGAATTGATCCTTGAGGAACACCACATCCAACGGCGGCTTTATGTGATATATCATATATGATGGCCTACTTGCGTTGTTTGCGTGCGACTTTTGAGATATGAGGAGAACCAATCATTAATTATTCCAAGAAAACCATAGTGATTGAGCTTATCAAGCAAAATGTCGTGATCGACGGTGTCGAAGGCTTTTTTAAGATCAATGAACACTCCACAAGATAGCAATCTCTGATTCATGTTTGTTTGTATATCATTAACAATGTCCAGTATTGCGTGTTGGGTTGAATGCCCCTTACGAAAGCCATATTGTGAGGAATACAAAAGTTCGTGTTTCTTTATATAGCTCGTCAATCTATTGTAAATTATTTTCTCAAATACTCTATTAAAAAGAGTAAAGAGTAAAGAGATCGGTCTGCAGTTGTTTGCGTCCGTGTTATCGTCACTCTTAAATATTGGCGTAATTTCAACAATTTTGATCTTTGATGGATAAGTCTCCAATCTGATCGATGTTTTAAGTGTCTCTGTAAGAATAGGAGCTATGACGGCACTTGAACATTTGAGTAGTTTGGTAGGTGAGGAGTATAAACCATAAGATTTATCATTCGGTATAAGTAATATTCTGACCGTAATTCTTCGGGTAAAATGGGTCGAAAAAGGAAGGATGAAATTGAAGATTTGCACTTATCAACATAGTCTAGATGATGTTTTGGGGGAATGGGCAGCTTGTTAGCAAGCCTGTTTCCGACTGTTGCAAAGTGTCCATTAATAATGTTAAGTATCCGCGAACCATCCTTAACAATTTTGTGGCGATTATTAAAATCCTTTAGACAGATATGACTTTTAAGTTTTTTTCCGTCAATGTTAAAGTTCATTGATTCCCTGCCAGGTTTTTTTCATGTTGGTCATATTATTTTCGAAAAACGTATCATAGTATCTCCTTTTACTCCAGCGTATCAGTGTACAGATTTTATTTCTATAGTGCTTGTACCTAACTTCGTCTCTAGATGTATATAATATATTTTTAACCTTAATAGCCGCCTTAATTCCATTAGTTATCCGGGGTTTAGATAGCTGCTTTGCTTTGCGATTAGATAATTTTTTCATGGGGACTTGTTTGTTAACAATTGTATTATACTTGTTGTAAAACGATGAAAACAATTTGTTCACACACTTTCTTCCATTTTCAGTTATTCGATTCCAGTCCGGCAGCTTCAGACAGCTCATCGTTAAAGCGATCAGCAGAGAATCTTGAATAGTCACGTATTTTTATATTTTTAACTTGTTGAAGTTTATCTTTCGCTGACGTTGTGATACAGAACTGCGAAAAATGATCACTAATATCAGAAATAATGTTTCCGCTTGCGAAGAGTGGGTCAGGATTGTTAACAAAGGTGTCATCAATCAACGTAGCAGAAGTTCTATGAACGCTTGTCGCTTTGTCCACTGTTGGAATAAGATAACAGCTTCGAAGAGAGAGTAAAAAATCCTGGCTTATTTGAGATGATTCACACTTGAGTAGATCTATATTAAAATAACCCATTGTCTTATCCACAACAGATACGTTAGGAAATAATCGGGCGAATTGTGCTGACGATAAATTATTTCTCAAACGTTGTTTTTATGGTTGACAAAAGAGATTTCAACCCAGAGGGCTTGGAATGCCTCATTTGAAGTTTTTTCAAGAACATTGTAGTTTAGTGATTGATCAACAAAGAGGGCAGCGTCCCCAGAGGCCAGTGGTGTTGGCATATGCTCAGAAACATAACCTTGAATGCTCGGATGGGCGTTGCTCTCATTAGAATTTGTAATTGTTGTTTCCGAGATACCAATAACATCAAGGTGGAAATCAAGTTCATCAAATAACAATTCTACTTTTTCTAGATTGCGGTGGATACTCACAATACTATGAAAGATGGAAAAACTAGACTTAACCGAGTTTTCAGGTAGTTTTTCCGTAAACATTTTGAAGCTATGCGGGGAAAAGTATCGGCTTTGGGTGCGCTGATTAGGGAGGTTATACTCAGTATTCAAAAAGCATCCTGATTAGAGTTTAGGCTAAAAATATCTAAGTCGTATACACTGTTTAATTTATCTAAATTTCGCCTTGGCCACCGATCAACAGAGATCGAGTTATTAAACTGCCCATGATAGAGAGCCAGGTTACCTCTAAAGTTAGAGTAAGGTAGCTCACGCAATAATAATTTACTGGCCCTTTCGTCCGGTTTATTTCTACGCAACTTCATTGTAGCTTGTTTGTGATGATCGTATCATCTAAACAAGAATACTTAGCTCAACTTTGCGATGCCACTCCTTGCAAGGTCTTGTAAACTACTCAGTTTTACTGTGGTTGAGATATCGAACTTCCGCAAATAAACGAATCCGTTCTTCGCCCAACAGTATTTGTAGCAATTCGCATCCTTGAGTTTTTTGCTGTCAAATAGTAGCTCTTGCAGCCTTGGTGTAAGATGATCATATAGGTTGATGTTGCTTACATCTACCGCGTCACTGAAGCCCAAATCTTCTGCATTTAGGTTAGACACTCCTCTCCTGGCTGCCATGACTATCTCTCTGGCTAACCTACGCACGAATTTACAAATATTGGCGTTGGGTCTGTTGGAAGCCACGCGGGATGGCACCCGAAGTGCAGTGTCGATGTCACTCAATGATACTTCCTCAACTTCCTAAGCAGGGAAAAGCGTCATACAGGGATCGGCTGTTTGTTGTGATGTTTCACTTTCGGCTACAGTTGGTGAACCACAATACTAATGTTGAATTGATAACTTATGCTTCCGAGGCTAGATTTCTTAATATGATCGCACAGAATTGAAATTTCGTTAACTCGTGAGACGAGCACTGGTGACAATTCCCGTTCGGCGTGTCGGCCATGTTGATTCTTTGACAGCTCGTCGGTAACTTTCAGTAGTTTCTTCTTTAATTCTTCAATTTCATTACGGATTTTCCCTTCGTAGCTTGTCGTTAGCCGTCATACTGAATGGTTTTCAGAATTTGTAGGTTCAGGATAAGAGAAGAATTCGTGAAATAAGATCGGAGCACACAAAGCACGTCTGCATAGCTCAGTGCACACGTGTGTCCACGAGTGTGCACGAGTTTTACACCTCTTTTCGTGATATCAGCAAATAACTTTTAGGCTCCCGCTCTAGGCCAGGTTTAAAAGGGAAAATATTTTCCTGTACGTTATCGTAACTTGCAAATTTTTTGGTTGTTTGTTGTGCGTTTTCCCGGGGGGGGGAGGGGGGGAGAGAAGAGCCTAATGGCATGTAATGGGGATGTGCCCCTGTAAGGGGTCGCATTTTCACGACTGGATTGACTTTAATGGGATCGCATTTTCAATAGAGTTACCAGAATGGGATCGCACACTTTCGGATTTTTGGGGTAAGACAGTTCTTCAAATTTACGGTTAGCAAACGTACCAGAATGTTTGTACTGTAGGTGAAAAGTAAAGTGTTCTTCATTCAATTAAAAAAAAGAAGAGTCAATTCATTTTAGGATGACCTAATCAAAGGATTGATGAGATAGATACATAAATAGAAAATGACTAAGTTGGGATCGCGAGAATTACATATTTGCCCAAAAGTGACTAAGATGGGTCTATAATAGCGAGGAGATGTGTGATGTCACGTTACCACGGTAGCACTATTTCTGGATGACAACAAAACCAACGACGACGGCGACGGCAAGGAGAACGGCAAAAATGAAATGCTCATATTAACAAGCAACAACTTTGCACGTGAATCACGCGATTTTGTACATTTCTTTGCCATTAGTAGCACCACGTCGACATGAAATTTCCTTATTTCATGAGCCAGCTTTATGTAGTAGGTGAACACAACACAAAAATTGTCGCTTTCTTTTTCTAAACTTAGTTAACGATAGATACGATCCCAAAGAAAATTTCGCCAAGATTTGCCAAATTAAATGAAATTGAATAAGATCGGTGAAATTTGAAATAGTGCGAATAGACTTTCAAGTGACTTTATCGGTTAGTTGTCATCCAAAAATTTTGCTACCATGGCAACGTGACGTAAGGACTTCTCCTCTCTATTGTCCGCAGAACAGACTATAATAGGGTAGGAGCTCTGAGAGGCCAGCGGCACATACCCAGCACAAATTAACCGAAGTAACTCCCCGGGCGCGTTTTCTACCCAGACAACGGATCACTGTTTCGTTACTTTACCTATTTGGCTAACACCTACAGACCTCACGCAGAGTTTCGTTAATGCTGTCTGATTCTGTCAGGAAAATACGAGTTAAATACACAAATTATCCTGAGATCTCCTGAGCCATGTTTCCTATTGTGATAAGTGGTGTACGCCTTAGCACGAGTTTCTCGCCTCTTAACGTGATATCAGGAAAAAACTTTTAGGCTTGAGTCTATTCCAGGTATAAAAGGGAAATATTTTCCTGCATGTTATCGTAACTTGCAAATTTTTTTTTTGGTTGTTTGTTGCGCGTTTTCTACCCAGGTAACGGATCATTGTTTCGTTAATTTACCCATTTGGCTAACACCTACAGACATCACGCAGAGTTACGTTAATGCTCTCTGATTCTGCCAGGAAAAATACGGGTTAAATACACAAATTATCCTGAGATCTCCTGAGCCATGTTTCCTATTGTGATAAGTGGTGTACGCCTTAGCACGAGTTTCTCGCCTCTTAACGTGATATCAGGAAAAATCTTTTAGGCTTGGCTCTAGGCCAGGTATAAAAGGGGAAATATTTTCCTGCATGTTATCGTAACTTGCAAATTCTTTTGGTTGTTTGTTGCGCGTTTTCTACCCAGATAACGGATCATTGTTTCGTTTACTTTACCCATTTGGCTAGTTAGCTGCGCTTATGGGTGTAACACGTGAAATAAATATAACTTGCAAAACAGTGTGTTTGCGTGAGAAGTCGCACCATAATGTTAAGTGGTGACTACTGAGCCTTTAGTGGCACAATGAGACCTTACTTGACTTGTGCAGTGCTATTAATACTTGTAAATTCTTCTTCTTGTGTCTTACGTTCTAAGGTGGCTGGTTTTGTCATAGCCCAGCGTCCTGTCGAGAAAGGAACAGGACAATGAGAGAATTGATGACGTCAAACGGGTGGAAAACAACAAAGAGAGGTTAGCTAGAAGGTTGCTTGCTCTCTTACAGTCGTTCAGTTTGCGTGGAGGGGCCAAACAAGAGAAGGGAACCGGAAAAAATAGAAAAAAAATGCAAAGAAAGAAACGGGGATAGATAGAAACCTTTATTTCAATAGGATAACTCCTTCAGTTTTTGTACAAGATAAAAACTGCTATCCATAGAAGCCCTACATACATAATAACCTAAATTGAAAAGAAATAATAGTGATAATTAATTACAATAACAAATAGCTATAAAATGTGACATAATGGGAGGAAATGACTTCTTGAGAGATCTAGCCACGATTTGCTTCATTTAATCCTTGTTGACCTTATTCTATTCATACCCAAGTCAGTGGTCAGTTATTGAGATTTTCCAGTTTCGTATAGCTACATAGAGGCGATGCAGGGAATTACCAGCAGTTTGTGCAGCCTTTGAGGGAATTTGTTTTACCCGGCTTTCTTTGCCTTTCTTACATTTCAATATGAAGACAGACGGTTTTCACCTTCAAGCTTGATGTACTCAGGATCACTTCTCTTATTATTTTCCTAACAGGAATGGGAATACTATCACCTAATCCACGTGAAAATCCAAGCTGGTGGAATGCCAATCACGTGTAAGACTGAAATAAAAAATTACGTAAATAAATTAATCCGAGGAATTTACCATCGGGTAAGTTCCCTGGGGACTCGCTGTGGGGTACGGGGAAAGACCACTCGTACAGGATTAGTCGCACGCATCCACAGGAGCCGATTAGTACCTGATACTAGGAGAGGAGGATGAGTGGTTGCTCGTATGTTTTTAATGGTTCACTGTTGGTTTTCAGTTTGTAAATCCGTTACCATAGTTATCAGGTCCTCTCTCTACTTGTTAATTTAAACCTTTCGCTTAGTTTTGGATTAATTAGATTAAATACTAGTACTGTTATTATTTTTTAATGTCCTAATGCTATTGATGTAGTTTTATATACATTTTGTTTTTTATTTAATCTTTTGCATAGTCTTTAAATACTATTAGTTAAGCAAGAAAATTGTAATTGGCATTTTTAATGTAGAATTACCTAATGTAATATTATACTAAATTAGATTTTAAAAATTAGGTGTCCCCGATTAGTAGGCTACATGTAGCAGCTAGAAGATGTGACACGTAAATAAAGGTGTTCAGTTCAATTGAGTTCAGTAACAAGAGAGGCACACAATTTGGAGCCAATAAGATTACGCGCCTTTGGAAAACCCCTTGTTGACTAGCTTATCTAATCCAAACTAAAAGACACTCCAATTCAGTACAAGAAGGGCGGACAAGGAGCCAATAAGATTTCGCCCCTTTGGCACAAATCTTGACTAGCTTATCTAGTCCAAACTATAGGTAACTTTTAAAAGCTTGCAAATTTGTTGTAAGTGTTAAGGAAGATTCTGATGTCGTTGATCTTGTTGATCGTTAGGTACATACCTTATTGTTCCAGTGACGTGTGGAGTGGAAATGCATCAAAGAGAGAAACAGGAGGTTAGGATCGATTTATTTAGATCCAAATGAGAAAAAAAAAAAGGATTAGGCAAGCGTTCTTCCAATTCAAAGAGGCTTCATTTGAATGGTAACACCATAGCATTTCGCCCACAGGCTCAAACGTGCTCATCTTAACGTCATCTAGAATTGTAACAGTTAACCATAGTTTACTGAATGAACTCAGTACTAATGCACCAGTCAATTCCAGGTGCGCCCTAACCCCTTGCCCATGCCCTGGGCCGCGCAAAATTTGCTTATGCCCCACCCCCAGGACTGACTAGGAGGGCAAATGCCCCGCAGTTGCCCGGGGTGTCACGGGCGCATCTGGAATTGACTGATTCATTAATTGTTGTAACTCGTTTCTGTAAGACGAACCTTACCTGTTTTAATGGGCGTGCTCTGCTTAATGTTCTTGCTTTAGGCAAATTTAATATTCAAACTTCTTATTGTGTGCTAAAGACTGTGCTAACTCAGTTGCGTTATTTGCTTATTAGGCACGATTCCCATTCGTTAATGTCTGACTCTAACAAAAACATCAACAGCCAACGTTTTGACACAGCAGCTGTATCTTTACGTTATCTTATATTACTTTTCTTTGAAAGCAACGTTTGTTTTTTTGGCTTGATTCTCTGTTCGTTTTTTATCTTTTTTCTCTTATGTGGACATTAAACAGATCTTTTTCGTATTATTAATTTTTTTTTTGCAGGGCAATTTTCATTTCTTGGAACGAGGATACTAGCAAGGGTCATCGAAGAATTGTTACCGGAAGGACTCTACCATGCAAAGCACCTACTTCTTGCAGGCAGCAGGTGAATTTTTAGTGATTGGTAACATCTTCCTTTAAACCAGAGGACTAATAAAAATTTATGGCAACAGAAAACATTTCATTTTCTTTTTTTGATTAAAAAAGGACAAAAAAATGAAAGAAACATACAAAACATGGTAATACTGCTTAAGATTATCATACTGAGGGATTCCGTTTACAAACCAAAACATTTACACAAGTAAATAATATAACGATTTAGAGGCAGCACGTCCATAAAGTGGTTCTTTATCTACCTGATTCCTGGTCGAATTGGAATTTGGTAAAGTTGTATTTTTAGGAGAGGGGAAAACCGGAGTACCCGGAGGAAAACCTCTTGGAGCAAGGGAGAGAAGCAATAACGTGTGGGTCGACGCGTGGATTTCAGTGAACCTGGGCCAAATTAGCGGGAGGCGAGTGCTTTCACCACTGTGCCACCCTTGCTTTCAATTTCCTCCTTTACTCTGGTAAACAATCAACCTATCGATATGTAAAAACAACGGCCGAACTATTTCAGTTTTCAAAAGGCATACAAACAGATCAAACTGACGGTACGATCTGGTGCAAGCTCGCCCAATCTACTCATTGTACGAACCGAACGTTTTTATCTAACGAGCAGAATGTTCTTGTCCTCAACAACTACAGTTCACTGGAGTTACCGAAGTCCTTACCTCGTTCTTTAAGCCATGACCTGAGACAAGCCTGACCCTGCACATGTAATATACCTATCCTCGTTCTTTAAATCTTGATCGACATAGGCACGTTAATTCCCCTATGAATAGAAATGAGGAATTCCAGTGGAATGTAGTCGTTTATTGGACAACGCTCGCCGTTTTGCCAGTGTTTTAGAGTATTTTAAAGTGAATGTGACACAAATTTTTTTAAGAAAATGATTTTGGTCCTTAGATAAGTTTAGTGAACAATTTTGAACTCTAAAAATGGGTTCCCCAAAAGATTTCGTCTTAAAACTACTTTTCCCCTTCAGAAGTGTCCCTGAGACTGGGCTCGAAAAAAAAAGGCTGATGATGTGTTGTGAAGTCAGTTGATCTTCTCAGCTTTTGCTTCCGATTCTGGTCATTGCTTTGTTTTGTAAAATTAAGCGATGTACGTATCTGATTGTAACGAAGGTTTAGGGACGTAAATGAAGGTTTTGGGAAGTTGTTAACAGCGACAATCCTTCTTATTTGTTGTCATCTTGTAAATCATTCTAAATTTGTGCAAATCGTTTGTACGTCATAATTGTCAATTTTGAGGCAAATTTGCGTGTTTTAAAGACGGGAAAAAAAGGTTTTGCAGGATTTTTGACGAGTTTTTGACATTTCGGAACCATATTGCACACATATTGTAAAATAAAATTCGTGTCATATACACTGTAATATTGGGCTTCTCGTGTTTCAGTGCCGGTGGAGTCGGCGTAATCCTCAATTTAGATAGGCTAGCCTTGAGACTCAAGATGGCTGGATCCAAAGTTAAAGTCCGAGGACTGGCCGATTCTGGATGGTTCCTAGCAGGGGAAGAATTACCGATGACATCTGCAGCCATTAGATACGGCATGAAGTAAGTAATTATACTGTTCGCCATTTTGTAATTTACGCAAAACTCAGCATGCTGGTATTTACACCGGCTGCAAAAAAGGGACTGAAAAGGAGAACAAAAATCTTCCTGGTTTTTGCGGGTGGTCGTCACAGAAACTCTAGGTTCATCGCCTAGTTAGTCGCCAGTTTAGAAACGAGTAGAGAATCGAACTGGAGCGGAAATGCGTGCAATTGTTTCTTGGATTATTACTGGGTACGCGCCGATCAGATATTAGGGAGCTTAAGCAAAGGCATCTTTGAGAGACGCAAATCAACCGGAAGTGAGGACTTTTCCCTTTTAATATGCCTTGACGCTATAAAATTTGTATTGCTAAGATTCTTTGTACTTGTAGAGACGAATTAACGCTTTCACTGCCAAATGTGGCCAAAGGCAAATTTCGACCAAATTTCCAAATTTCATTTTCTAAAATTTTGACAAACAAATAGCACCATGTTAAAGTACAGGCAGAGAGCTTTCATTTGAATGATCACATCATAGGATTTCGTCCATAGACTCAAAAGTTAGAGTCACCTTACAAAACTCCATCAAACACTCTAGCAGTGAAAGGGTTAACTGAATATTTTGGCAAAACCACTGCTCAGGAATGTAAAAAGACACTTCCGGTTGACGTGCGTCGCTCAAAAACGCCTTTGCTTGTAAGTTCTCTATTGGCAAATTTTTCCCCCTGTCGCTAGTGACAGTCTCAGAAGACTTTGCAAAAGTTAACTTGACCCAGTTTCTTTCTCGTTTCTAAAGTGGTGAATAAACAGAGGTCAATTTACAGTCAACTCAGGTCAAGCGTACCACCCAAGATTCCATTTATGAATTTATTATTCGAAAGTTGAATCCGTTGTTAGTTGTAGGTTTCAGATTCATTCTTGCATTCTTGCATGCGTAATGAGCCGCGAATTCACACGCAAGGCAGTTATGAATTTTTCTACCAGCTCAGTTTCCTTGAATTTGATGTAAATGTCTTCGAAGTAATTTTATCCATTCAAAGATTTTCAATCTGACCAAGTGCAGAGAAGTTCTCGTAAAATATTCACTGCTTATTACGCATGCAGGAATGCCGATTTGCCGTAGTTAAGGGAACGCCCAACGGATTCATTTTTGAAATAATCAATTCATTAACAGAATCTTAGGGGGTACACTTGACCTGCTTTGAATGTAATAAATTTTTTACAAGTGTAACTTACTAGTGTAGCTAGTAAAATGGCGCACTGTAAGTTTCATTTGCCCAATGCAAAGGTCGAGGCAGTTATGTTGTAACTACAGTGCTGCATACCATTAACTAAGACAAGCAAGCAGCGGGACTGGGCGATCAAGTGTGAGAGCTTCTTGTCCAAAAAACAATCTGAAATTCAAGCTTTTCACGAGCTCTGATCGACCACTCTAAGCCGAGGACGTTGCCCGTGTCAAAGAGTAGCTACTATATTCCTGTAATCTGGTTCCTCCTTTTCTTCCTGGTGTCAAATGACCTGTCTTTGTTACAAAATGTTTTTGGAATGTTTTAGTTACTGGCGTGGTATTGTACCGACTGATTGTGCAAGGCGCAATCCACTCAAAAAATGGAAGTGTTACTTTGGAGAGCATGTGTACAAAACGGACAGCGCTTCACCCAAGCATGGTAAGTTTTCCCTGAACCCACTGCCGCTCTATATTTGTAGAAAAAAAATAAGAGGCAGTATCGCAAGAATTTTCTCAAGTTTTTTAGTCCTACGCCAGAATTATAAAGGTACCGAAAGTTGGTGGGAACAACAAGACCAAGCAAGAGATCATAATGATAGTCTTCCGAAAGTCATGGAACCACTTTACCTGAAACTGTTTCCGCATGGTCCGCATAGTTTCTAAAAATAACTTTTTTGAAATTAAGATATCCCAAAGGCATGACTGGGAGACTCCCACTCTGTCCTTTTATCATCTCTTGGACAGAGTAAAGAATTCATTTTCCAGGTGCAAGCATGATCAAGGATTTTTTTTAAACCGGTTTACACTGATGTTTTATTCGACTTCTTCCGGCTACCCGTCAGTAGCCAGACAATTCTTAACTTTTAGCTAAACAAGGCTACTCGGACGGAATCTTTACTGACGCGTTAGTATACTCTAGTTGTTAACTGCCAAAACCCTTTTTTGGTGTCTAGTGATTATAAAGGGAAATCTTTAAAAGGTGGCATACCACGAGGGTAGCTGTTAAATTTATATTCTGTGCTAAAAGTTATTACTTGGTGCTTTAGCAAGAACAATATGCCGAACAAATCTCATCAGGGAACACTAACCATAACACGTTTTGGGGATTTTTGTAGGCATAGCCTTGAAACTTGAAAAAGTTTGGCCCAATTTTGTTGAGAGTCAATCCGTATATTCATCCTTGCTATCCGTAGCAACAGACGACAGGAAACAGTTTCAATGCCTAGATATAGTCTTTTATAAAATAACTAAGATAGTACGCGCGTTCTGATTGGTTAAAAACCTAAGATTTACTGTGCTGGTAAACTCATGGAGAACTGAAACGACTCCGTTTTACGTAGAGTTATTTTATAAACGCAATAGACCACACTTTCTAGGAGTCTACCGGGATGATAACGTGATTTACAAGCTTTTTGAGTGTTCTCCCAAAATCTTGCGTGGGTTATCACTCTGGTAAACCCATAGAAAGTGTGGTCTATTGCTTAAAAATAACAAGACTGCACCATTATTTTAGTAATTTAATTGATACAAAGACACGTTTTTAATAGCTTTTTAAAATAATAGCAAATAGCTTGACATAGCCCCTTCAACTAGTTACTGAGTAGAGTTATACGCTATTGACAGCCTCAGTCGAGTTTATTATTTTTCTCAATTGTTGTGTTTTTGTTTTTTAACAGCTCCCCTGTTCGTTTTCCAGTGGTTGTATGATAAAGCACAATTAGCTTGGGTTTTGTCGGGAATTTTTAACGTTACCCGAGCGAAAGATACGGCTAAAATCGCAATTAAGCTTGGAAAAAAGATGAATGAGTCACTTTCTAACACCGACGGGCTAGCTTGGTGAGTTTCATTCTCGTGCACACTTTAAGTAGGTCCATTATGAAAACTAGCAGGTAACCGGTAATAAAGTTTCTATCTTGGTTAAATAAAGTCTCTTCTTCCTTAACGATCGTTGATGCTCCCACGTTTATCAGGTGAATTCATGCTGTGATTGTATTTGATAAAACGTTCAAGTCCGATGATAAAATATTTGAATCGTCAACTCATTTGCGTTTATTCAACACTTCTGTTTGACAGAAATAACGTTTTGGCGAATTTAGTGGCCGCCACTTTTAGTCAACTCGTTCACATAAATACTTGTACCTGAAGGCAAGTGCGGAAAAATACTTCCACAGACACTAACTTCGCCGCAGTTTGAAGTCTTTTTGTAGCGTGTAATGGATTTGGCAGCATTACGTTAAAATCGCCATTGTCATTTTTTTTTTTTGTACAGGAGGCAAAGCTTTTAGCAATTTTTCTTTTTGCTTTCGTTAATTTATTTTCTTTAACCAATCTTTTTTTCTTGCTAGTGCTGTGTTTGCTCCTTCGTGTGTCTCGCACACTATCCTTACACGAAAGTAAGTATCTTCAAATCATAGAAGCAATAACTAGGAGCCATGCTCTATCAGTAACAGAAGTATATATGCTTTTGTCTGTGAGTGTTATAAGAAAGATTTGAGATCGGTACTGGTTCATAGTCACGTGATCGCAAATCCCCTTTTTATACCTGAAATTGTCGGACTCTGTTGGCATCGCCAGTCAGCAGTCTCGGACTAATGGTCTTTCGTGTTTTAGATACTGTTGAACAGGTGTCGGTAAAGGTGACAGAGAAACACAGTGTTGTTTGGCTTCTGACATTTCGCAGGGTCGCGTAATGTCGGCAGTTTTTTCAGACTAGCTCTTCGGCCGTAATTTACAGGTTGAAAGGGCTCGTTTATCGTTTATCTCACGGTAGTCATGTTGTTATTGATCGTGTCGTTTCGACGGGATACTGCTGTCTCCATCAGGCGATGGTATAGAAAGCATCAGTTGTCCGTAAGACAGTTGAAAGTAGTATTATCCTCGGTTTTTGTATCCTTTTTGTATCGTCGTGATCCAAAACCCAGGAACCACGCATCGACGTGAACAGGGACGCGTTATCGAAAAAAAAAGGATTTTATTTGAGTGTCAATGTATTTAGCACGAAAGTACTAATTGGTGACACTATTTTTACGTCTCCTACTTGAGACGGGACCGCCATTTTACGTGGTCATCCGAGCCACGCGAAGGTCTACTCGTTTGCAGGGTAAAGGCAGTACCATCATTTCTCAGTTATTTTAAGACCCTAAGTATTGGTCCGGCCCCGGGAATCGAACCCGCAACCTCTCGCTCTGCAGTCAAGCGCTCTACCGACTGAGCCAATCTACCACGGCTAGCCCCATCAAAAATCAATTGAAGGGTTATCTGAAGCTCTTCTTCGTTGCCTACAACAATATTGAATATGCTGGGCCATATTCAAATCCGGTATAACACTTGTATCGCACCTTGGGCGACCTAAGGATAGAACGAGGTGGTGTAGTTTATAAGATTCGTTATAAGTTTTAATTGGCAAAACGGTCAGATGGTTGAATGGGTTAAAGAACATGACAGGGGCATTAGACTTTCACAAACTTAACCTGCGAATACAGCCCTCTCTCGTCAGGCTATCACAAACTTAAGACTTAAACCGCATCCGAACAGGCAAATGAGACACGTCACTACCCGCTCTGGCACGATATCACGTTTATTGACCTAGGTAAAAGAGAATCCTCATAAGACGTTGCTCTAACAACATCAACAGAGGCAGTGGAATTGAGATTCAAGAAGAGTGGATACCCACGATCAGACAGAACAGCTTCGATCGGTGCCACAGTAGACCGTCGAGGGAACAGCATCTCGCTCTATCGACATCAATGAAGACAATGGAATTGAGACTCCAGAAGCGTGGATGTCCATGATCAGATAGCACCGCAGCCGATCGGTGCTACAGAGCAGACCGCCGAGGGAACAGATTCTAGCCCTTTCGACATCAATAGAGACAATGGAAATGAGCGAGCCCAGAAGGGTGGATGCCCACGATCAATTAGCACAACAGCCGGTCAGTACGACAACGGACCACTGAGGGAACAGCTTCTTGCACTACAATGCTTAGGGACGGACCATTACAAAAACTTATGGGAGGGTGGGGGCGGGCGGGCGAAGTACAAAAAAATATTCGCGCAAAGGAAAGTTAAATGAAAAAAAATTCACGCACGCCAATTAACCCTAAAAAATATTCATGCTACGGCCTAAAAAAAGTTCATACAAGGAATGTGATAAGGAAAAAAAATTCCTGCGGTTCAAAAATCCCCCCCCATAACTTTTCTAATGGTCCGTCCCTTGCAAAGCCCGGAATCGACACCACCAACCGTGAGTGATATTCGTGATGCACAAAACCACGGTACTACTGGAAGTCCGACATAATCGTCCTATGAAGATGAAGACCAACCGTACGCAGTTTAAATGCCGCTATCAACTGTGAGATAAACGATAAGCGAGTTCGACAATACACAAATGACGATGAACATAATTTTTGATTTAATTTGTAAATTTGTTCAGCATTATGTAATCCCTCGTTATGGTTGTTATTCAGTGACTGGCTGAAAGTCAGAGTGAGTGGAAGAAACCTGGACGACGCTCTAAACGCATGGTATCGGCACCAGTCCTCCGACCCAAACACGGACAGTTGCAAGACCCTCATTGAAAATAATTGTTACTACCCGCAATGCGATAAAACGTGCCCGAAAATTGGTTTTGAACGATCAAAAAAGTCTACTATTAATTCGCCTGGAATGCCCGTTAAACCGAATTCGAGTAACAAAGCTCATAATCCGCTAAGAAGACGAAGATCTTGCAGTTAAGAGATAATTTCAAGAAACTCTATGACTAGCCTCCCACGCAGTTCATCACGTGTTCTTCCCCCGGGAGCGTCCTTTGCGGGGGAGGACCACTGACCCATCTGCGTTGGAGGCTGCGTGGTGACGAAATTTGTGCAAGTTTTGCGTATTAATTAAGCAGATTGAAAAACAGAGGAACCTTCAACTCTATAGATTAATATGATAGGAAGTAACAGAACAGATATGCTTCATGTTAATAAACTGTCTTAGGATTTTACAAAAGTAATGTCAGCCAGCATTTTGTTATATACACGGCATCATTCTAAAAAAAAAAAAACGTATTCCGGCTTACGAAAAAACCAATATCGACTTGGAGCACATTTGTGAAAAACGAAAAGTTAATATTTACGTTTGTAACTGGCCTTTCTAACTTAATAAATATTATATACATCATAGCTCCATGCTATCGTTTGATGATATGATCCATCTGTTCTATTGTGCAAAGCTTTTTTTGGCCGGAGTTTGAAGCAAGCACCCTGCCGAGCAGAGCCTCCTTTTGTCTTCTTCATCGAGGAGGAGAAAAACAAGCTCTGCATAAGACTATGTTCCCACTAAACCGGATAACTACTGCGCCGGAAGGAAAACCATACCGGATATGATAGGGCTTCTATTCACACATAACCATAACATATCTTACATTAATAAAAACTGAATCATTTGATAATGCAATTCTCGCGTTTTGATTGGCTTAGCCATTATGGTCTATGAGCCATTATACCATGCTCTCCATATATGGTCGGTGTACGCGTCAGTTTAAAATTGGAAGCTAGCTGAGATTTTTTTTCCGCAAAGGATAGAATGGTGCCCGAAGAAAATCATTTTTAATTCATTTCTTAGAATACTAACGTCCACAAAACAGTTCCCACAGTAACTCATGGTGCAAATTAACCCAGCACCGACCAAGTCTCTTAAAATGGCCAATGGCAATAATTTGCTTTTCCTGATAAAAGACCCTACTTTCAACTTTCTTAAAGAAATTTTCGAGTTTCTCTACGATTTTTTTTGCTTACAAAGGCAGTCTCATGGTTCATCCTTCTGAATAGCGGAGTGGCCAAGTAAGAGACTTTTCACGTTTAAGAGTATGTTTGACGTGCGAAACCAAAGCGTGCTACAGTCGTGCTCTCTACTAGCACAGCTGCAGTAGCACGACGTTTAAAACAGGCCTTATGCTCTTGAAATGCGAAAATCCGGTCACTTCCTCCGGTAAAACATTGTCGTCTGCATCCACATATACCATATTTCAATTGAACCACCAACCTAAAAGGTAACTCAAACTTAACTCACTCTTAACTCGAACTGGACTCAACTCAACTCAGACTCGTAACTCGATTGTTATCCTATTTCTTCCATGCGGCATGTTTAGTATCCAACTTTGCCACTCCATTCAACTTTGGCATGCGGTTTTCAGTTTAGGTGCCCGTTAAACCTAACCAAAATATTAAGAGCCTATTAGGTGCTAGCAAACTCTTCTGAGAACGCTCAGAACCGAAGGGCGCTTGTTGCTTGGCGGGCTTTGCCATTCTGTGCAAGACCGTAAGACCTACGATTCTGATTATTTTACCTTGTGAACAAAGAGCAGACGAAAAGCTTTTAAGAAATTTCACGCTTTGCTGTTTATTTCCAGTATGCATAGTTACATAATAAAGCGATCAATGTTTGTTTTCCCTTGGAGGATTTACCAAAAGCTTTATAGAATTTTATTTGTTGTCAAGTACCGAAGCACGGGTTGTGGTTAAAGTAGGTGAATCAACTCAAAACGTCATGAAGATTTGGAAAGTGCTTTTGCTAGTTTTCCCTTTTAACTACTTAGACTAGCGCTCCTAACAACTGAAGATAATTTGACCGGAAGACGAACAAATAGCTTCGAGCTAGTAGGTTACAAAGAATCCCTTAAGAAAAACGGGGTACAAACTACAAGCCTGTGCATGTCAAAAGACACAAGTGTCTACAGATTCTGTCAAGTAGGACGTCAAAGCAGGTGACTGCCGGTGACTGCTGCTTAGTAGCCACTTGGGAGACTAGTCCCCGCTACTTCGCACTGTACGAACAAGAACCAACAACCGAAGACGGGCTTGAGAAGGTCGTCCAACAGGGTTTTACTTGCGTTAAATCGATGATAAAATGAGGAAATTGCATTGAGATTTCCCGTCTTCTCTCGCTGGTAACTTGCAATGTTCATGTAAAGACGATAAAAACGCCCATTTGGTGATCACTACACATAACACGCATATGTGGAATTTACTGATGTGAGAAAAGAGAAGCGAAATGAAGGTTTTCACATTAACGTTCGATTGAAACTGGGGCCGCTGCTTATGGGTAGAACCACGATAGTAATTCTCACTAATGTGGCATTTGGCCGTAAAGAGCGTCTCTCTCGTACAACATATGCGAGTAGCGGTTTTGCAGTTGGTGCTCGCGGTCCGTTTGTCGCCGCACATCTTCTCTCAGTGACTGCAAGAAAAAAAAGACAGTTAAAAATAAGAAAATCAGTTTACAAATATACTAAAATTTCAGAAGGTATTTTAGAAGATATTAAAGCTCTTTCATTCAATACTTAGAGTAGCGTAACAAGACAGCAAGTAACAAGCTTGTGGATGAAAAGCTATACACCGTATTCACAAATGGCGGACACGCGGGAAAAAACTGGTGCCTAGTCATGAAAGCGAGGCGTTGCAGGGTAAACAAAAATTACAAATGAAGACTTTCAGTGAACTTGCAGAGTGTTTAGCACGGATTCCACCTAAAGTAACTTTGTATGGACGTCTTTTTAAATGCAATGACGTAAGACGTCTTCTGCTTTTAATGTTTAGTACTGATTTCCTGTTTGCAATCAAAAGGGACGCGTATATCTTCAAGGAAACAGGATGATTTTGTAGGTTGCCGAAGCATCAGAAGCTCGACAAGTGGGCGATGGCTGGAGAAAAGCGGCAAACATGTTGGCCCAAACTTCACGCTGAAACCGAATACGAAAGCCAGCTCACTGCAATTCTGTAAAACAGAAGTAAAAACCGGTATTGGTGGCGAGAAGAAAAGAAATAAGCGACGGATATATAGCCTACTTGTCAACAGAAAAGAACTCCGCCATTACACAAAGCTACACAAAACAGGTCAAGTCTACAGCGGGTGAAAGATTCATTCACGAAACTCATTCATTCATGTCAATGTCATTTTATACATATCTATGTATGTCTGTATTTACAACTTCCTTTGGATGATATTAATTCCGTCGCTTTGGAGTGAATTGTTAGAGGTACGTTGGGAGAGCTTAGCAAAGATCTTTTGATTTCTTTGTCATTGCGAAATAAAATGATAATTTTATCAAAACTAGAAGCTCTAGCGTGTGAATCTTATGGTTTGCTATTTGCCTGGTCTCCTTTAGGGCATTATCTCGGAGAGCTCTTGGTAAAAAAGTGGTATAAAGGTAACATTTACTAGGTTAAACTTTTAAGGTAATGTTTGTGTCAGGACTGAACACGGCAAGCTTCTGTTTCGAATCATTAAATTCGAGTCTGGATCCGTTTTAGAAGACCATCATTTTATTTATGTATTCTTCACTTTTAAAATATTATGGAACATGAAGTTAAAACTCTTAACAGCCAAAGATAAGAAATAAGAAAATTACTCGCTGAAATAATATGTGGCCGGCTTACCCGGAGTCTGCCGAGTAACAAGTTGAAATTTTGAGCGTACTACACTCGCTCGCTCCTGCATTTATACTGAAAAAATAGTTCTAATTGATGTCCTTCATCGATAAAGACCACAAAATAACGTCTTGGCAAACAAAAACCAAACATAACTTCATCGAAACCTCAGTCACCGCTTCTTTCCTGTCTTCCTTTTTTCCATCTCGACTTGAACTGTTATGTTCAATGGCACACGTCTCTTGCGTTAACAAGTAGGCTATATATCCGTCGCTTATTTCTTTTTTTCTTGCCACCAAGATTTGCATTGTTTATATTTCTGTTTTACCGAATTGCAGTGAGCTGGCTTTCGAACTCGGTTTCAATGTGAAGTTTGGGCCAACATGTTTGCCGCTTTTCTCCAGCCATCGCCCACTTGTCGAGCTTCTGATGCTTCGGAAACCTACAAAATCATCCTGTTTCCTTGAAGATATACGCGTCCCTTTTGATTGCAAACAGCAAATCGCGACTAAACATTAAAAGCAGAAGACATCCCACGTAATTGTATTTAAAAAGAAGTCCGTACAAAGTTATTTTAGGTGGAATCCGTGCTAAACACTGTGCAAGTTCACTGAAAGTCTTTATTTGCAATTTTGGTTTACCCTCCAACGCCTCGCTTTCATGACTAGGCACCAGTTTTATCCCGCGTGTCCGCCATTTGTGAATACGGTGTATACACGCCGGAAAAAACCTCTGCGCGCAGGGTAGATGCAGTGTAGAGGTTCTTGTCTTGATATACCATCACATGCAATACACTTCTATCAAGCTACATTCAGCAATACAAACCACCTTTGTCCACACTTAAATCTACTTGCTAAATGCTCTTTTTGTGGACGTTCTTGCAAGGAATTTTATGCTCAAAGCATTTATATTACGTTTTTTGCCTTGCTTTCACACTAAAACAACGAGAAAAGTAGGTCTATCGTTCCAGTGTAAACGACAGAAAACCCGACGGTCTCCGAAAACGCTAAAGTGTATAAACTGGCACCACAATTCATTAACGGGGGATAGTAAAAAATAACACGTTCAAGAATGGCTTGGAAACGAAAACATTTGGCCAGTATGCGTTTTCGATGGCTTCGAGACTACGATCCAAAACAATGCACGCTAGTGTGGAGGCGGTGCCTTTGATGCAATCTGAGAACAAAACAACGGAGGTTTTTCGAAAACGCATCACTTTTGACATGGCTGGGCCAAAGGTAGCCACTATCTCCGTTCAAGAACGTTTCGCCCGTTATCGGTTCAATTGGCTTTGTTGACGCTTTCGTCTTGATCGAAATGCAAGACTAAATTAAATCAATATCTGTACCTCGACTCTTTTGGGAATGGCTCTAAGTTCGTGATCTCTGAGGGATCTGAACGTTTCCTTCTCTATGTGCACTTGTTCAATCTGCTCGTAAAGGTCACTGATCTGCTTAGTCAAGCCAACACTTCGACTCTGAAGACAAAAATGACATAGAAAGATTTCAATTTAGTATTGAGAGTAACTACAAGATTCCTCAGTTTTGAATCGCTAAGCTTTGTGATGAGATTAAAACTCACGCTCTGATTTCTCAACCAATCAGGAGTAGAGAAAACAAGGGTATTCACGGGAGCACGCGTTTTCCCGCGCTTTGAGCCGGTAACAAAAAGTAGCTTTGTCATTGGATCAAAATTCAAGCCCTAACTTCTCAACCAATCAGGAGTGAAAAAAAGTAAAGGGTAATCGCGGGAGCATGCGTTTTCCCGCGCTTCATACCAGCTACAAATAGATGCTTTGTGATTGGATCAGAATTCACGCTGTTATTTCTCAACCAATCAGGAGTGGAGAAAAAAAAAGGGTTAATCGCGGGAGCACTCGTTTTCTTGAGCTGGACGCAGTCTACATGAAATTGCCACGAATACTGCTGGTTGGTTCTCTCCACTGATTCCATCTCCTGTGAGCGGGTTAAGAAAACTAATTACACCTATGTTCCCTTCCGCACGGCCCGCTTCGCTTGACACTCAAAATTTAGAGCATTCTCGCAGGCTAAAAGGCAGTAAGAGGAGACAATCACAAACATGCGGCTCAATGTTCTGGGTTCTGTTTCGAGACTCATACATGCGACGATCATATCTTCATTTAAAAATTTCTATTTCCGCAGTTCACATCATCTTCATATGTTTCATTCCATTCACGGGTTAAGATGAATAGCTCAACTGGTAGAGCACTGCAGCTAACGCAGTGGCCATGGGTTCGAATCCCGTTAAGTCCCGTTTTTTTTTTTTTTTTTTGGCTAAATTTGCAATTGCTTAAATTGCAATTACCACTTCATTTGAAAAAAAAAAACCAAAAAACAAAAAATACATGTAATAGTATATTGCCCTTTGTACCTGATAACCGCCAAGAAGAACTTTCAGCTTCTTTTCTATTTTGGCTGCACGTTTCGCATCTTCCGTCATATGCGTTCGGTTCATCTACACGTTTAACATGAAAAAAAAAGTGGAGAAGAAATAAAAACTGAAATGAGATGAGAGAAGAGAAGAGTAAAGAGAGACTAGTTTAAATAAGAAACACGCCCCATCTTTTGGAAACGTCGAGAAACGTTTTTGCTGAGAGATTAATAATAAAACGCGCTCTTCATAACAGCTTACCTCAAGTCGCTTTTCTAACGATTCTAGCCTGTCCTTTTTGCTGGCTAACGCCGCTCGGGTGTAACGCTGTTGTGTTGGTAAAAACAGTACCTACAAAACGATAGCAATTAAAACCAAAGAATTAGTTTGAAAAAAATCCCTAGACTCCGTCGACATTAGAACTTGCTCATATCTAAGCCGTGTCCTTGGCTGTCTGGCTGCAGTTGGCCCAGATGGAGATGGCTAAATTATTGAAGACTTTCCCTCGCGTCGTTAAAAGGTGATTAAAATGCCCATGTTATTAGAATTATGATATTGTTTTTTTGCAATGATTCACTTTACACTGTCCCCTTGATGTTAAAACAGCATCGAGTCAGTGGCTAAGTAAAGGAAAGTGTAAAAAACGTAACCGCTCTAGTTTTCTAGTTGTAATCCGGGAAAAAAGAGGATCAATTTAGGTTTTTGGGGAAACTGCCCACCTACCCCTCCCCTAAGCCATCATTTTGCCCAAAGTGAGAAGTAAGTGTTACTGTTAGCTTATATGGGTTAGGTGGGCAGTGATAGCAAATGCACTCGACTAGAACCCACGAAGACGGTAAGGGTAAATCCCGGTACTCGTAGCCCGTCAACACGGGTAGAGTGCCTCTTACCTTAGGTTTCTTTTTCTTTTGTTCAAAAGGGGTTTTCTCGAAAAAGTTTCTCAATACTTTTAAGAGCATCCAATCATCAAATTGTGAACTAAAAGAATTAAACGGAATTTGCTTTGTAAGCTTTTACTTCTGAATTCAAAATGTGGAACAACGCTGGATTATCTTAACCTAGCTTTGAAAGACCTGGCCCTAGGAAATGATGGTCGCCTTGGCAAACATGTTCGCCTACCCGTACCCGTAGACAGAAATGGTGTATCTTAAAGTCACTACTGTAAGCCTGACGGAACATTCGAGAGTAGACATAACTATATGTTGTGTGCATGAAAAGCACATTTTCAAGCCGGGTCCTTTAAATCTTAAAATTACTTTCCGCTAGCGCAGTAAGGAAAATGAAAGTCTCCGACCATCTTTCTTATTGTCAGAAGTAGAGTACAAAAAGACGTTCCCAGTTTTTCCGTGGAGGGATGGTTCCTGTCAGTTTCGACCACTTCCCTAATAAGGTAATTGTAACTGACAACAAATTAACCATTTTGAGATCGCGGTTGAGACTGGGTTGGTGTTGTGTCGAACTGCATTATGGGGCCGTTTCACTTTCGGTTGATGTGCGACGGTCTAAAACGACTTTGCTTAAGCTTCCTTTTGACCAAAAGACACTGACCTGAGCGTAACATTCTTCCCAGACTTTAGTGTAGCTTTCAATAGGAAGATCACCATGGGCCATCTTGGATCTCACGAACTCCATTTCGTTTGCAAGCAGTTCCTTAGCATGTGCAATCTCTTTTTCTGTAAAGGATTCCAGTGGCTCGATTTCCAAAGCGGCGCGGGTTGCGGCGATGGCCGCCTGAGCTGCGTTTTTGGATTTCTTGTGCGTGAGGTTTTCGATTTGTTGAGCTGTCGGGTGATTGACGATGTCGCTTCTGATCATGGTCACCATTTCACGCTTGATGAGCTCTTCTGCCTGATAAACAACAGCAACTGTTCAGCTTGCAATTTAATGAAATGCAGGGGAAACCGGTCAAGTCGCCCAAAAGTCATCTCGCCCGAATTATGTCGCCCGAAATTTTATCCGGTGTAGTACACAGAGAAAGAAAGTTAAAAGTGTGTGAAATACATCTCTCACCATGAGACGAAACAAACGATAAATGTGTAACAGAGACGTGAGGATGTTGTTGCGCATAATAAAATTTCGCGCGACATAACTCTGGTTTCGGGCGAAATAACTTGAAGGCATTGTTGGGGAGGAAGTTTTGAAAGCGAAGAAATGACATACTTCTACACTAGGTTGCGATTTTCTAAAGACTAAAAATCCTTTTTCACTCATCATGGCATGTTGGTTAAAATACAAACATTTTTTATCACCTTTCGAAACCATTTTTTTAAATATGAATAAGATACCTTTGCAAGCTAGTTGCGAAAGTTCGTTATTCGTAAGCACAGCACAGTCAGTAGACAGCAATCGTAAAGCAATTGATACAGTTCAATGAGACCGTCTGCCGGGGGCTGTTACTTAAACGTTACTTAGTACACAAACCTAACCGACATCTACACGTACATTGTAACATAGAGAATCGACACAAGGGATTACACTTGTCGGTGAAGCTGCGCAGTAATTGCCCTGCTTACTTAACTTGCGAAGAGAAATTTCCTATTTAACTTTACCTTCTGCAGTCCACTGAGAGGAGGATCGACATTAACCGGCCGCAGAACAGTAGCGTTCACATCAGATGGGCGAGGCATTTCTCGCTGAACAGCCTGAGACTGACGTCTTCGCTCTCTTAATTCTGTACTCAATAAATAAATTAATTAATTAATTAACATGGCGGAACCCTCAGGTGAGGACCGAGGCAAGTGTCTCCTAAATACTGAAGAGTTAGTAATTAACCAACAAGGAAAACAAGTTTTTATTCTGCCTTAAAATATACTGCAGCCATTATTTCAAGCAGCTACATAATATATAAAGAATCATGATTTACTTTTCTCTGCGATATTGCGTGATGAATTCCCACGGGTTTACGATCAATCTCCGGTCACCTGGTCCCCGTGTGGATTATAGCGGCACGCGCATGAATTCGTATGCGTTTACAAAACTCTAACATCTAGCAATATGAACGTAAGTGGAAATTCAAATAAAAAGCGAAGTCTTCAGATTACAGTTCAGGACAACAGACCTTCAGCAGCCTTCATGGCCATCCGCCTTGCATCAATGTCAGCTGCATCTTCTACAAAGCTCTCATCTGTGGCATCCTCTACCTCCTCTTCTCCAGTCTGAAAATTGAAATAAAAACGATTTTGTAGCCTGTGCAGCAGGCGTTATTGGAACGCTCATGCGCGTCTAAGGGCGCCATCGCAAAGCGCGAGACACGCAAAAGGCTAGCCTGAATTTCATCCGATTACTTCGAGTCGTTATTACTCCCTCAGTAACGTCTGAATCAACCGGCCGTTAATGTCGTCCAGTGACGTCAATACTCCTTGACCTTTGCTTTAATTCATGCAAAAAGTAAAACATGATTTTCAAGTGGCAAACCGAGAAATATCGTTTGGAAATGTCTGGATGATACAGAACTGCTTCATTTTTTTCGATCGTAGTTCATGTTTAACGTTCAAACTATCTGAACTTTCTAACTCTGAACCGGTTGTACTAAATTCTATAATCAAACTCGGTCGCAATCACGCAATGAAATAAACACACACACGGAACACTTAGTTCAAAAACACAATGATTTGCTTTAATTAATAAAAAGCTATTTGGTCCTTAACCAAGAAAAAAAAACAAGGAGACAAGAAAAAAAAGCTAACAGAATCATTACACTTGACGGTAAAAATAGCAAGAAGGTCGAATTATAACATTGATCTCAGAAAACTTCGAGTAAACAAAATCACCGGCCGCCGAAACCACAAAGCGGCTCTAAATGAAAAACCTACCGACTCTCCGCAATGATTCTTCATTCGCAGTTCAATTTAGCATTTCAGTTTCGAAGACAAGGGCAATCTTGATAAAGATTAAGCTTATCGAAATGTTTGAACTAAACGAAAGAATGCCAGGGATGCGATCCGCTGAATATCAAGCGACAATCCCGCTAAAAATTTTTCATAATTATGCGAATGTTTAGACAATCAACCAATCAAAATCACTACCCGGTTTTCGGGTAGTGGGTGACGTCGCTGGACGGCATTAACGGGCGGTCGATTCAGACGTTGTTGAGAGGAGAAAACGACTCGAAGCAATCGGATGAATTTCAGGCTAGCAAAAGGCGGGAAAAAAATTAACTTTTTAACCTCCTCTCGCTAGCCTCGCACTTCGCGCCCACGCCCAAAAACGCGCTTAATCACCTCAATAACGCCTAATAGCTGGAACGCTTTACTAAGGATTTTTACCTCTGTTATCTGAACGACTTACTAAAAGGGTTCGAGGTCGAGGATCAACGAGGAGCAAATTATTGTGTAGGGAAGCAACAAGCTTTGCTTCGAATTACAGAGAAAAGTGGAGGCTCACAGCGATTTTAGTTCTATCTACTCAGGTGAAACAATGTCAGATGTAATGTGGTTCTCACTTTTGAGTCAGCGGGCAAAGTCTTACGGTGTGACCACTCAACTGAAACCGCTTCAGCGGTACTTTGACACTGTATGTACTCTATAATTATTTAGAGTGTTGATCTAACTTTTGCGTCTGTAAACGAAATCCTACGTTGAAAGCATTCAAATGAAACCCCTGTAGGGTCCCAATTGATAGCAGTACCTAAGGCGTCTGAATGAGCTACCCTGATATGAATTAATAAAGATCTCTCTCAGTAGTAATAGCTTGTGGGAATTTCATTACGGTTCAAAGGGTGATTTTAAGTCCTAGATCTTCCAATGAAAAGTTTAAGAGTAACCAGATCTTCAGTTATGTAGAATTTTAGAAAATAAAGTTTGGGACGTTTAATAAATTCTGATTTTGGGCGTACCAGTTAGTGCAAGGGATACAAGCTGCGGTCATATCATGATCACACTGAATACAAATGTACATCTGTAACCTTACCTCAGGTAGCACAATCTCGAAGTCATTAGAGGGTGCTGGTAATGACGCTAACCCTGCTTTCAGCTGAGCCTTCATTTCCGCCTAAAAGTTAAGAAAACAATTAAATTTTAGCAAGCATCAAAGCGCGCTTTTTAAAGTGTTTGACGTATGTTACAGACCACCGTCAGAATAACAACACATGAGACACTGCTGTCTACCCTGTTAGCACAGGTTTCTTTCCGGCATGGTTTTTGGCATTAGGGTACTTACGATCCAACAACGGCGACGTCCATGAAAACGTCGCTGAAAAATAGACTTCGCATCCTCTTAAACGTTTTCGCGATGATCCTGTTACTTGGTTGGAGCTGAAGAGAGAGGACCGCGCCCGAGTTCAGACAGAAATGGTAGAATTTATCGGCTTGCCGTTACCGTTCTCAGGTAAACTTAAAATGTGGTCATTTCAGGTCGTAGTCGTGCAGGGATAGCAAAGAAATGTACAAAAAAGGGTGATGTACGTGCAGAGTTGTTGATTTGCTCATTAAAGCTATAGCTTTTTCGACGTTCTCCTTGCCGTCGCCGTAGTAGTCTCGAAAGGTCCCTACTAGTTATGTCTTTCACGTCACTAACATTCGCTAAGAGCGTTTGTTTACTTCTCCCAAAGAAATGGAGACGCGAAAAAAATTAATTTCAAAAAACCATGCAAGGACGAAAACTCTGTTAGCAGGGTACTGTTATCTAAATTTACCACCAGCCCCAGCTGAACAAAACCAAAAGAGGGCGACAGTAACGAGAACGTCAAAAAAGCAATTGGTCTCATGAGAAAAACAACATTTCTTATCACGCTTTTTTGTACATTTCTTTGCCGTCAAATTTATAAATAAATAAGAAACTTGCTGATTGCTGTCAGCAGGGTTCTCAATAGGATTTGAAGTAGGCGTCTTCCCAACCTTAACGAGGCGGCTGTGACTAATAAGGGGCCGTTAAACCTAGAAAGGAGTCTGAGGCACGTTCCCGAAGTTAATTTTTAAATATGGAAAAAAATAAAATGCAATAGGCCATTTCCGAGTTCCAAAAAATCTCACTTTCAAAACGAGGCTAAGTGCGAAACCTTTGTAGGCCGCCATTATTATTGCAAACTGTGTAGGACTGGAATTGAGTAACTCATTACCATGTTTTACCGTGAAGGGCTGAGCCGAAGTGAATGTTGCATACCCGGATGTCTACGTGGTTGAAAACATGGCGGTAGTTAAGTACGGAAGCACCAGCGAGTTTACTCGTTTGGACTCGATTGTTTTGATTATTTTGCACAATATATGACTAGGAAAACTCAAAATCAGCTGAAAGGGGTAGGAAGAACACTTAAGCACAAACAAAAAAGAGAAAAGCAGCAAAACGAATGCAAAGTAATCGGCTACCAATTCCAAAGTAGGTGGCGATCAATCACCAAATATGCTTAATTTCACGTTTTACAGAGGACGTACACAAGCGACGACGAAATTTCTTCTCTCTTTCTGAACTTGGATATGGCTCTTAGGAGTTCAACTGTAGGATGGTTGACCTACATTTGACAGAGTGAACTGAGCTGAAATAATCGCGATTAAGAATGAAAGAACGTGAAGTCACTTTTAAGCGACGTTTTCGCTTCCGCCGCGTCGGATCTTAAGGTCTGTAATCAACCAGACGCGGACACTTACTCACGGCGTTCAAAGAACAGTACAACTAACTTTTACTTTTCTGAAGAGTTAAGAGATCACGATGTATAAAGAGCAACTATATTCTTGCCTGCTGTTGTTTTGCTCCGTATCCTGCTTCATATTCCTCCATCAAAGCCTCCTCTGGATTGATGTTGAGTTTATCCCGCACTGACGAACGCCCAGGCGTGACCGCGCCACCAGCCCCGCTGCCTCTCTGGGGTGTTCTGCCCATGCGCGGAGTGGTACCTTAGACAATCAAGAGACAGACAAATTGAAGAAACTTGTCAAAAAATGAAAGACAGTGTTTCATCCCGAAATTACGATTGCTCAGTCTCCTGCCGTGGGTGTCATTATGGAGCATGCGCTGGCGATTCTCCCTAGGTCACCCCTGAGAGGGAAAGAATCGCGACCGCATCGAGACACTCACGGCTGGAGACCAAGACAAGATAGCAAACGCTCTCAAGAACCTCTAATTTTATTGGACCTTTCACTGAATACAGCTCTACTGTTTCACGTAATATATCAAAGACGAGGGCGGGCAGCGGAGCGCCAAATAAAGTTCTCCCGGTCGCCAGATTGGCTTCAAAGTTGCATTTTTTCGGCAGATGCTTGGGCATGCAAAGCCAGGTCTACCTGCGAACGCAGCGATATTTGAGGTTGTCTTGGTTGTCTTTTCTCACTGCCTGAAAACTGAAATAAATCTTGGTTTGCAGGTTAGGACATGGCGCTCTGATTGTGTTGTTGGTCAAGGGTAAGAAAAAGGTGACTTGCATACAGCCTCTCAACCTTAATATTGTGCTTACCCTGACATTCTCATTAGTTTACTTTCAAGTTTTTCTGCCTTTGATATACACTCCGCCCAAATAAACGCTTTTGACGCGTCTTCTTGAAACAATGTACTCCACTCCAACACGTTTCTACACATTCAACACTGCACATCTTGCTAACAAATAAATAAATACTATAATGATTTGGAGGTACGACATCCACAAAGTAGTTCTTTGCCTACCTGATTCCTGCTCGCACTGGAATTTGGAAGTAATGGCTTTTGAGGAGAGGGGAAAACCCTAGTACCCAGAGAAAAATCTCTCGGAGCAACGGGGAGAACCAACAACAAACGCAACCCACATATGGCGTCGACGCCGGGATTTGAACCCGGGCCACATGGGTAGGAGGCAAGTGCTCTCAACACTGCGCTGTTCTTGCTCCCCAACATAGCATGGAGATCCAAAATAGTCTATCTTACCTGTACCTTCTCCCTGTGGAGTTCTGTAAGGAGTTGTAAGCATCATATTAGGAGTTTGAATTGCTTGATGTTTAGGGGTAACGCCTTCAAAATTACTCTCTGTCAGAGGTGTGTTCATGCCGCCTTTCAATGGTGTGTCCACATTCGATAATGCCAAGATGTTTTGTGCCTCCTGTAAAGACGAAAAAATAATTAGGGAACTTTAGCAACAACGGAGTCGGAAACCGGTCGTTTCGCCTACAAGTCGTTTCGCCTTGAAATTCTGGGGTTTCATTTTAGGATTACAGACTATACATTTTGACTATAGTCATTTGTTAATACGAAGAACGATGCGATATAGATCGCAACGATCGATCGATAGATCGTAAGATAAACAAGATGTTGGTCACAAGGTAAACTTACACTTGTATAAATGTGTAGGCGAAACAACTCAGATCATGTAGGCGAATCGACGTCAGTGTAGGCGAATCGACTTGTAGGCGAAACGACTTGTAGGCGAAACGACCGACATCCACGGAGTCGACAACAACGACAACGACAACAAACAATTGGTTTTATATGAAAACAACTGCTCTGCAAGTGTATCACGCTTTTAAGTACATTTCTTTGACGTCCACTACACGACTACGACGTGAAACCTCCCAATGCGACGTTTTGTGGAGGATGTGGACATACGATGACAAATTGTCCTTTCTCTATTTGAACATCGATAAAGTCGTTAAGAATTCAACTCCAGCATTTAGCATGCGTAGCAGACGCGTGGAAGTAGTGAACGAAAGAGAGAACGGGCGCGCGCGAGGGAGACTCGCGTGTCTCCTTCTCGCGCGCCCGTTTTTTCTTGTACCCACTACTTCCAAGCGCTTGCTACGCTGGCTAGCCTACATTTGACGAATTGTGCGGTTTCAAATAGACGCGATAAAGTTTGAAAGGACGCAAATTCAGTTTTTTAGTGATGTATTGACTGCCGTCGTCGTCGCTGTTGCTTAAGGTCCCTAATTATTGCTTGTTGTGGGAACGTCTACAAACGCTACTACATCCAAAAGAGTAGACCGCCCATTATTTGCCATTATCGTCTTTGGGAGAAACAGTTCACTTTTTCTGTTGTCTGGAATAAACAAAGTCGACCGCGATTTCTTGTCTCGGCAAATTTTAACACTTGTTTGCCCCCTGAAATACCACGTGACATTGCTTTTATCAATTTGCGCGTGCGTGAATAAGGTCTATTCCAGAGAATCGTATGTTGTTGATTCAACCTACCTGTAATACCGTGTCCTGCTCTGCAGGGGTACGAGGAGTCCGCAATGCATGAGCTGTGGCAGGAGTCACTGAGTACTCACTCAAAAGAGCATTTGATGCCATGGTACTGTCCTCTACTGACAGACGAGCTGATTCACTGGCTTGGCCCATTTTCACAATCTACAGTGTAACAAAATAATAATACAGTCAACTTCCTGACAGTCGACACCTTTACAAGATGTACAGTAAGTAAAACCCCGCAACTAAGAACCTTTATTTTTTGAAGTTTGCCTGAACAGGTTCTTATATAAATGGTAATTAGCAAAAGTTTAGGCTATTTAGGTTGTTAAATAGGTTCTAATTTTCTGAAGAAAAAATACAATACAGCTAAGAGTATTTCTGATTTATCTTAATCCTTATATAAAATCTCCATACCAAATTAGAAGTTGTGTAGAAATAAACATTAAAAGGAGACTTGTATTTAATTCGTAATTGTATAAATAACAATTTTATTTGATTTTAACATTGGCATTTACATTACAGTTGGAGTAATAAGGCACCTATGTTTCCAAAGAGGATTCTGAATGTTGACTTATCTTATTTCCCCAGGTGTACAGAATCTTTTCATAGATTTTAGAAAATAAGAACCTGCTTCAGATTTTAGGCTAAACAGGTTTTTATATACATGTAGAGGGGACTTAACTGGGGAATTTTAGCCTAACAGGTCACGTACTTAGTCGTGGGGTTTTACTGTACATGTAAACCTTTCTAAGAAAGAAACTATCCTCAAGATGGTTCTGCTGTGTTTTACTTGAATGCCTGAAAATATCTGTGTTAAACTAAATTATACTAAGCAACTATAGCGCAGACAACCATCTTAGAGGAGTAGCCATTGATGGACCATTCAGTACTTCATACTACAAACATTCAGAAAAAGCCTACTACGATAATATTTTTTAATATTAATTTTGCATCAGTGAGAACAAAAGGTCTACCTCTTCCAATTCTGTATCAGATATCTGTGGTTTGGGAAGAACAAGCTTGCTACGCTTCTTCACTGAGTCAGGATTGTTCAGCCTACAAGGTTAAAACATTATTATTACACTATCTTGAGACACAACAGCTGTACAGAGTACATGTACACATACTGTGCAAATTGTAGTGATGATAGGAACTGGAAAGCCACTCATTACAGAGGAAACTCGACATAACAAAAGGCCAAGGGACCGGCAGAATATTTTGGCTTTATTTTAAGAATATGATGAAGGAAAATAGCCTGAGTTAGCAATGCTTCTTCAGTCGTGTGTGTGTTTCAGAATAACGTGATGTTTCTGCTAAAGATTATGCTGAATTTATGACCAGCCTTTACTCAATGACCAACCTCCATTAAGCAGCCACTTGCTGGTATCCCAAAGTTGGCTGCTTGATGAAGGTTCGACCATACTTTCTTTGCACACTGCTAAGTGATGTTAATGGTCAAGTATATTGTAAAGGTTCAGGCGGGCTCCTCCCCGAGTTTGTTTACCCTTACCCCTAGAGTTGTGTGCCTCACTGCCACAAAAAATTTGCCTATTACCGTAAAATTCCGAAAATAAGCTGCAGGGCTTATATTTTTTCAAAGGCCTTTTTTGAGGGGCTTATTTTTTTGGAGGGGCCTATATTCGGATGGGCTTATGTATGGAGGGAAATTTGCGTTTCAAAATCAGTCGGGCTAGCTTGTAGTGGTAGTAAGGTACTTTACCATTTTTGCTTTGTTTTACTTTGTATTCAAGGGCAAATTCCAAGTACAAGCCCCCTGTGGGGCTTATATTCGAAGGGGTGTTTTAACGGAGGGTTTTTTGCGTTACGATTTCGGGGGGCTTATATTTGGAGGGGCTTATACATGGAGGGGCTTATTTTCGGATTTTTACGGTACTTTCTTGTTGTGCCTTCTATAATATAACATTATTATTTGCTGCCTAAAACTGTAACATAAACCTATCCTTCGAACAAAAGAGTTCATTAGCATCAAGTTTAAAGTACTAAGGCCCTGTTTGCACTATGACAAAAAATAAAGTTGGGCGTTTGCAAAAAAATTGGAAATTTTGTAGTTACCAGTTTTTCTTTTTTGTACCCTTGTTCACACCTGAGGAACTGGAAAGTTTTCATGCAACCAAAAATGTCATAGTTCAAGGAACTATAACTGGTCATGTTCGAGGAATAAGATGACCTGACGTAGGAGAGCTGTCAAGGAGCATAGGATTTTGTCTCCTGACAAAACTTTGTAAGCCTCCAAACTTTCCAGAAGTTTGGTTACTCTTGAAAAAATTTTGGTAGGTAAAAAAAATTGTTCGCTCTAGAAATGGCTTTCTGTTGACAGATTTTTTTAAAAAAAAAAACAATGACAATGACAAAATTTGTGTAGTTTGAACAGAGCCTAATGCACAAATTAGCAAGTAGTTTAAGGCCCTGTAGCTAAAAAAATGTACAGTCCAATGCAGCAACACATTGTGAACGATTGTCTTACAAGCAATAGGGATGAGGGATGAAAATAATAGTGACAGCGTATGTCTTACTTGTTAATTTGCATGACCGCTCCAGGAAGGTCATCCTCCTTTCTCTTTTTCATCTTTTTTTTGTCTTCCTTTCTTTCTTGCTGCAAACAAAAATGTGAGACTTAATGAAACAAGGTTTAAAATAACATTTAAAATAAGTATCTACCTACTAAACTGTAGATGTAGTTGAAGCTGAGAATGTTAAATACCGTGTTAAAGAGTTACTTTAAATAACCTGTTCGATATCATCTCTCATTTTGCCATCCAAGTGATCCTGGCGAAGCTTTTTAAAATCAGGTTGATAGTCTGGAAGCTCTTCTTCACCAGTGTCATAAAAACCTGTCGAAAAAAAAAGCTTGTTTATTGGTCTTATATCCTTACCAGACATGCAGAAATTAGTGTGTAAGATTGAAAGCAAATTCACCAAAAATAAATATATAAATACAGTTAAAATATTCTAGATATGCACCTTGAGCTGGTCTCTTTTCAAATGGAATCTCAGCATTGTAATCTACTCCTCTCCGTTTCTTGCGATGCTTCCTGATTCTGTTCAAAACACGTGGGATTTGAAACAAATTTATTTTACTACCTTGAAAGTCAACTCACAGTCATGCAAAAGTAAGAAAAATACAATGTACTACATACAGGTTATTCCAAAAATGAGCCCCAGGGCTTACAGCTAGAGGTACATTTTTACAAAGGCTTCTTTAGCCCATTTGTTCTGGGGAATTTTGCTGAGAAAGCCTTTTGAAGATAGTGGAGACATTCTTAACTTGGGGGCCTTATATTCAAAGGGAATAATTTTTGGAATTAAACAGTGAACATACTTGAATAGACTTTGGAGAGGAATAATTCCTCTCCAAAGTCTATTCAAGTATGTTCACTGTTTAATTCCAAAAAAAGAAAGAAAGTTTAATTATTAAACTTTCTTAAGGTACCTAGTTACTGCAATCAGTAGAAGTACAAAATTCTGAAATGAGCTTTAGTTAACAATTAGAATAATCTTTATATTCTTGATACTATAGTTAAGCTTAACTCACAAATTATTTTCTAAATCTTTTAAATACATGTGCAAGAGCAAAGACAGTTAAACCACTATCAAGAAATAGAAAATTTGTTAATGGTCAGGTACTGACACAGAAAAATTCCTTAAAATAACAGGAAAACTAAGAAAATGTATAAACCACAACATGGTTACTTACTCAATACCAGCAGCCCTAAGTTCCCTCCTTTTCTGTAAAGCAGCAAGACGCCTGAAATGCAATTTGCACCACTGATAAACTACAGATAGTTAGTGGTCTCCCAATAACTCACCAACTCACTTCTTGAGTCCTTCAAACATTGTAAGTTCTTAATCATTTTAACTTGATTCAGTTATGAAGACATTGTTACAGGTGTATTTTAGTCTATGGACAAAATGGTCATTTTTATGCAGGGGATACATTTGTAGTGTCTTAAAGTCCCCTAGAACAATAATTGAAGTCACAGACGTTTAAGCTGACAGGTGTAAAAACAGGATGCATAAAAGTAGATGACATTTACATTTTCTGAAAAAAAAGACAAAACACTAACTCGCATCTGAATGACGTACTTAACAGAAGATGTTAAAAAATTAATCAGAAGATGTTTGATGTGTAAGTATTGTTCACTGCTTTTATACTAGATGTACATGTAAAAGTCATCTTAAGTCATCTAAGTCATCTTAAGTCATTGATACACACGGTTGTCAAAAGTAGCCGGCTGCCAGCGAAAATTGCCACCTTCTTGGTTTGTATTGGCCGGCTACTCTGCTTAGCATTTCTTTACTGATGGTGTTTTCTAAATAAACTATCCCTGGACTGGCGGCTTACTTTGACAACTCAACCGTCTACTTCAAAACTTTCTGACAACCCTGGGTACAGCATGTTTCTAAAGATTTCTTGAGCTAAAGCCAACAGCAAAATAAAGTGAGTAAAGAAAAATTGTCGAGTTTTCAACTTAAAGACATTTCTTACTTGTAACTTATTGCCAATGTTCTGTACAGCTGCATACTTTTTGGTACTTAACAAGTCATGTAACAGAACCTCACCTAGCCTCTTCAAGCTGTTTCTCTCTTGCTTTTCTCTTGGCCTTCTTCCCTTGAGTGTTTGCCAAACGGGCTCTTGCCTCAGACAGCATCTCCAGTTCTAACAATCAAAATCAAAGATAACAGTATCACTAAGCCATATAAATGTAGGCTGTGTCACAGATAAAACTTAATTTCAGTTAGTTAAGTCTGTCTGCAAAACAGCACCAAAATCCTTGTTCTGCAATGGAGGTCAAAAGTGTTGGGACCTTTCCAAATAAATAGTAAAACTAGTGACCCCTCCCCTCTCACCCCAAACAAAGTTGAATTTTGAGCAAAATGGGTGAAAATGAGTGCTTTTTTTGGCCACAACATTGCTGGAGGTGGGGGAGGGGGGTTTGGGGGGCCACAACACGATGAACCCAAAGCCCATCAAAAAAATTGTCATGAAGAGCAGTCCTACATAACAATTACGTGGAAGGGCTTTTTCTTCCCACAGTCCCAAGTTCTTTTGTCCTCCATTGTAGGCCACCACCTGTGTACCAGGATTTGAGTAAGCACAATGATTGGAATGTTAAAAAAAGCCATTGTTTAACTGCCAATCAGGATGAAAGGAAATTGGAAATGCATTTCCGATAATTCGCTGAATGCATTGGGGGTCCAGAACAGGGATCTCCGCCCAGCTTTGCAGACGTTATTAACTGAGGTTAAATTATGTCTGTGATGCAGGCTATAAAGCCATATTGATGTCAACAGAGGATAAAGGTCTAACAAAGGAACACCACTGGACAAAAGAAACCTCCTACCATCTTCATCCATATCAATCGGGTCTGGACGAGCTGGTTTTGTTTCTGGGTTTGGATCAATTTCTCCAGGTCGAAGTTTGCGTGGATCCTCACTTTCATCTTTTTCTCCTTCTTTTGCTTGAGCTTGATCTCTGAAAATACCATACAGTACTTTGTTTCAATGCCATGAACAAAAGTAAGTAATAACTTTATTTAACCATGGAATCCTTATCACTAAAAAGTGGTCTTCTAAAGAGCTGTGCAGATTAAACTAAGACTTAAAAATAACAAACATTATTGAGAAAATCCTATAATAAATGCCTACTAAGAAAATCTTAACGTACAATAGCGGAATAAAAACAATTTAAAGTAGTGGCCTGCTTAGCCTCAGCTGACAGGCTGTTCCATGTTACTGCGTCCCTGTAATGAAAACTCTTCTAAACTCCTTATTGACAAGATAAATGTATTTTATAAATGGCTACACGTGTAAGCTTTGTGTAGTGGCTGTTCTCTAAGCCCCACAAAATTTTATGGCAAGGAAGGGGAATAAGCCTTTTTCAGACATGAATGACTTCCTGCAAAGCACCTATTACAGCTAATTCAGTGATGTGTCAATTTAGTGAAAAATACAACTGGTTAAACCTTCAATGGGACATGAGATAAAATTTACTGTGGTGGTACATGTAACTGATTGCATTAATTACCCACAAATGTACAAAGTATGAAAATTAAACACCATCTACCACGGAGGGAGAAAGAATTGATACTACAGTAGAATAAGATAGTTCAACCTCTCAACAACGGCCACATTGGGGACAGAAGGACGTGGCCATTGTAGAGAGGTTAAAACAAGAGTGAATGTACGGACTGTAAGCCAAAAAAATGGCTGTTGAAGACAGGTGGCTGTTAGTGGAGGTTCGACTGCAAAAGCAATTCAATGGAAAAACAAATTAATACATTTTAATTAGAAAAAGGAAGTGAATTACTTACAGGAGAAACTCATATCGTTCTAAACACTGTGAAGCAGTGCGACCAATAAGGGGTGCAATAGTTCTCCACTGTGTGGGCATCAACTTTGCCAGGTGAAGTAGCTTTTCATCTTCTTCACGACTCCACTCAGTCTGCAAATGAAACAAGTATTTAGAGTAAAATCTGATACAATTGCACCTACCAATACTGTTTAGGAAAGGATGTCATAACAATGTATAATGCTCACGTGTACATGCACAGTGTATGAAGGTTCAGCCTACTTGAAGATACTAACACATTTTCTCAATTTTCATCACCAACAGACAACAAAAATGGTAACCCTTTGGGCCTGATGCTATATTGTTTTAAAATCAAAATCTAAAGAATGTTAGTTTGGACTCTCACTCCCTAACCACTCCATTCTGTTTCTCTAGCTGATGATTTAATAGTCATGTATCTTTTTCAAAGATATTAAAACCTTTGTCTTGAAGGTAAAAATGGCAAACAACCATGTATAACAGCTTCCCAGGCGTAGTAACTACCACTATTCTCAAGAAGCAGGACACATGGCAAAGAGGCTGAAAGTGTTCAGTTTAAATTTAAGAGCCTTTACACTAAAATTGTTTCTCACCTTTTTAATGCTGGGGTCAAGCCATTCATACCTAAAATGAAATTCAAAACAGGAGGTTTAAATATCCCTAAAGAAACAGGTTTGAATATTTGGCACTACTATTCTAGAAAACTTGGGAAGATTCGAACAACATCTTATGGTACTGAGATTTCCACCATACTTTAACTGCATGAACAGTTCAACAAATCAACCACAAATTAATTTTATCAGCGACTTCATTCTTACAGATAGAATTGCAGTCACTTCACCCAAAAATCAATTCGCTCACCGTCATTTTCTCTGGACAAGTTAATTACCTGATGAAACTGACAACACTCTACAACAAGGTGAACATACTTATCAGGGTTCGAAATTAATTTTTCAACTAGGTCGCCCATTGGACAACCATTTTCCACATCTAGGTGCACCATCTAGGTGAGAAAGAATTTATAAAGCTCAAGCATACTATTGTAAACCTCAGCAATAGCAATCATCACTGCATATTGATCTTTGAGATATTTTGCATTACATGTAAGTTTTCACTGGAAAAAGCTGTTGACTAAATGAAAAGTCACTGTATACCGTGTTCTCAACTCTCAATTCACGCAAGAATCAAAAATTGAGAATCCAGACCCCCAATGGACTGTCAACTTACTTTTGAACATAACAATGAAGTCAAAATGTTCCAAACTAGAGCGAAACCAGAAGCTGCAGATGAAGGCTGGTTTTCACTAGCAACGGAGTCAGAGTCAGAGTCATAAGCGAAGTTGTAAGTTGCTTATGATCTAGGATAAATCGATGTTTTTGTCCTCAGGGTGGATTGCAATTAAGAAATCCAAATCTGGATTTTTTGGATTTCCCTTTTTGTCATTCAATTGGGAAATCCGAAAAAGGATTTGCAAAACTATTCTCGTGAACAGTGGTCTTCTTTTTGCTAAGTATGCGTCCGCATGCAAGACCACTGTTCTTAAGGACACTTTTTCAAATTCTTTTTCGGATTTCCCAATCGAACAGTAACAATGAAAATCCAAAAACAGATATCTCAGCGTTAAAATCTGTTTCCGGATTTCGCGTTCGATTGCAAATCCGAAATCCGGATTTTAAAATCTAAATCCTGATTTCCCAATCGAACGCACCCTTAGTGAAAAACAGATTGTCAGAATGGGAAGCAGAAGTGGAACGATAAACCAATCACAATGCACGCTCCCATGCTTTGTGATTGGTTTAATTCTTCCACTTCAGCTTGTGACTCTGATGACCCAGTTTTCACTTGATTATAAACAACGAAGTCGTAAGCGGAATCAGAAGAATCAGAACGCTGTTTGCTCTAGACCGTAAAGTTCTATGCTTCTGATTACGACTCCGACTCGGACTCAATCGCTAGTGAAAACCAGCCTTAAAATTATTCCAATGAACAGTCTACAACAGTTTGAACTGTTTTTCTGTTATTCTGAAGAGTGTTAAGTGATAGACCTGGTATCTTCACATTTTAACTTACCATCTAGCTTTGCACTGTTTTGCTGACTTACGATGCAACAGGGATGCAATTCTAGACCACTGGTTTTTTCCATATTTCATAACAGCAGCTTTGAGGATTTCATCCTTTGGGTAAAATAAAATACAATCACGCAATTTTTCATCCAATTTTTTGTAAAAAAAAAAAAAAAAAAAAACAGTTACACTGTAAGATATTCAAGCGTGATTCACACAACGATAAAGTATAATGACAGCAGATTGATCTTAAATTCATTACCGACGTCTATTTCATCTGTTGTTGTCCTGAGTACTGGGCGGTTGATACATGTAAATCATTCAACTAAAACTAGTTCTTACGAGAGCGTTCATGATCCATGACCCATATTACTTTCATCTGAGATTACAAATTAAAGTGTGCAAACTTACACTGTTACATGAGCTTTTTGAAGCTTATATTTCACATACCTCTGTATTTCTCCAAACACCACCTTTGATAATAATTCGCGGCATGATTGCTTGTTAGGTTCAAGAGCTTCTAAGTTAGACTGTAATTGATATCAAATACGGAAGGCAAAATGTTCTTCATCCGATCATAAACCTTCTCGTTGCAGTGTCAAGAAAGCAACATGGCATTAGAAAGACGTATTCCCAGCATTCCCCTCGTCTCTTCATGTATGCTACTACGAAAGAAATGAAAAAGACAAAACGCGCAGGATTGGGCTCTATCCACGCCGCTGGAAAAATCAAAATGGCGTCCAGGTTGGCAAACCGATTAAAATCGCTGTCCCCTTACGTCGATGAAAAAGTGTTCCGAAGTCTTCAGAAGCGTTTAGAAAATATCCCTCTTTCAGAGAGAAGATCTCAGAAAATCCAGGCTTCCAAAGGTAGGTTTTTTGTGATCTGCCTACTGAATTCCACAGCAGATCGAGGTCTTCTAATGCTAGTTGAGAGACCTCTCCTGCTTGCAGAGAACGCGTCCAATAGATTTTACAGATCGAGTGGTCAGTGAGTTAGAATTTCAATCCAATGGGCCAGGTCACGAATTCAAATCCTCTGTTCAGCCAACTGGTTAGGGCTTTTGATGTTCTTTATGTTTTTGGGAGTGGATTATTTGTTAAAGGCCACTTGTAATAAGAGGTCACGCAACCATCCTTCCTTTAAACAATGAGTTGGAATCTTGCTGATGCTAAAAATTGACAGAGCACATAAAAATTATCTTACAACCGAGAGGAAACGCAATCTTTTTCAACAAAGTAGTATGATTTGTATTGGCCACAATGTTGGAGGGCATACTTTTGCCCTCAAACATGGCGGGCAAAACTACTTTAGGCCATCACGCACTACGAGAATCGCATCCTGTGCTACAGGAATCCCGTAGCGCATGACGAGAATCATGTAGCACGCGACGCGATTCGCGTCTTGCGAGAGGGTGGTAACTTACTTTTGAGTGGTACTGTAATTCATAATAAAAAAATTTTGGAAAATCACATTTTGGTCACATGATGAGCTACGAACTTACTCATTTTAAGAAAATGGTGCGGGTTTGACAAACCAAGTCACTATTATTTTGAAGACCACAATTTACGCTAATATCTGAGTGGAGTTTTACATAGTTTGATCATCCTCTTTTCACACCCACCTACCACCTGCCAGTAATTAATCATATATTTGGGAGACACTTCAAAAAGGGGGAAGACAGTTTTGATTTGCACTGTACATGTGTAAGCTGCTTCCAGACAATTACTTCAGTTATATATAATATAAGCAATAGACCCCACTTTCTATGGGTTTACCGGCGTGATAACCCACTAGGGATGTTGGGAGAACACTCAAAAAGCTTATAAATCACGAGCCATCATGATTTACAAGCTTCTCGAGTGTTCTACCAACATCCCAAGTTGGTTATCACACCAGTAAACCCATAGAAAGTGGGGTCTATTGCTTTTATAAAATAACTTTGAGTTTTCTATGAGTTTACCAGCACAATAAACCATAGGTTTTAACAAATCAGAATGGGCGTACTATCTTTAATAGTTATTTTATAAATAATGGTAATTGAACTGTGTGGAGTGCAATTTGGTCTGAAATTATACGCGTCATTTGAAATCACAAGTATGATTTCAGACCAAAATTGCATGACACGAAGTTCAATTACCACTTTATTACATCCATTTTGAAATCACAGAATTTAGTCAGTACTAATATTATTTATTGATCAAGTAGCTGGTTTGTTAAAAAGCCGAAACAAAAAGGCTTTTACATCTCATTTTGTATTTGAAACTGAAATGATGCAATATAGAACAAGAATGGTGCGATTTAAAACAGAAATGATGCGATTTAGAACATGAATGACGCAATTTGGAACAGATGTGATTTAGAGCAAAAAATGGTTGATTTAGGAATAAATCACACTGCTGAGAGCCAATCAGATTGCACGGATAGCCAGTGATTTCAAAGTGGATGTAATAAATCCCCATATTTCATTATCTCTGCTACTTCCTCGGTATATGTTGCAGCTGATAAAAATAAGATTTACAATCCTGTCATGCTTTAAAATAAACATTAACCTACATGTCTTTTTACATAACCAAGCTAGCAAACCAGTTTCTCAATCAGCAAACAAAATTTTTAAACAAACAATACTATTGTCTATGTTCACCCTATATAAACTTAGAAATAACTGCAAGTAGCACCTGATTGGTAACCAAAACACACAGCATCAGATAAGACAATTTTTTGCTAAAAATACCAGCTAAATGAGCACTATCAATAAGTAATGTGGTCACTAGCATGATAAAAACTCTGCATGAACACTGTTGCTTGGCTGATACCAGCTGAAAATGGAAGCAGTGATTGAAAGGATTTTTAATAGTGCTTCATCTTAAAATGCTTTATTTGCAATATTATAGTAGATACATAATGCATAAACAAGATTTAATCCTATAAGAACAATGCCAAATTGAGCAAAGATCACATCAAAGTAACGCTCAAATTGCTCATCAGCAATGAGCAAATTTCTTCACATTACCTCAGGTGTTCCGCCTAACAAAAGTTCACGAGTAGAATATTCAGGCAACAATTTATTTTAAACTTATTTTGTTTATGATTACCTCAATTTATTTTGTCATTTAAATTAGAATCAAGAACAGTTAAGATACAGGAACTTAAAAAGACTCTGCAAGATCATACTGTGGAAACGTTACCTGAACAAAAAACTGAAAATACTGGTCTGGCCAAAAAGACAAAGGTTAGTGATATACAAGGGGTAGGGAGGTGATAGTGAAGGAATTATAGGACTGAGAATCCAAATTCAAAATCTTGGTAGCTGTTAGGGCAAGTCTTGAAGAGTTGTTTGTGCATGTTTCTTTCCATCTCAGAATCTTCAACTTTTTGCCACAAAGTGTAGAATTTTTAAACCAGGGTCTTGGTGTCATGGCAAGTCTCTGCAAGTCTTTCCACCCCGTATGTAAAAAACGTTTTTTTAAAAAATGTGAAATATTAAAATTCAAGACCCCAAACAGCTTGTAAAACTGCTTCTTTAGCTGTGCCTTTTCTTCAGGAAACTCAGGACTGTTGCTGCCAAAATATGTAAACAGGATGCTTTATTAGGTGGCACTTTGTAGAGTTCCCTATGGGGAGAGTTTTGAGGGTGCAGCAGTATTTTCTGTATTACATCATATACTTGCTAGTGTATTCATTTCTCCTCTTTGCTCGCAGATTAAGGTGAATTTTGACCAATGGTACAAGAAAAATCCAGCCGAACTAAGTGTGAAACCCATTTATAAGACTCTGCCAAATGCCAAAGTTGCACTGGATGGAACAACACCCGAACCACGTTTCATCTGGAAGGAAAAAGATTGGCCTAATGGTTTCCCTGATTCTCCAGAGGAAGCCAAAACAGATGTGATGACATACCTGGAGCAAAGGGACTGTTACCACAGGCTGAAGAAACTTGATGCCAAAGATTTCTCTGTGGGGAGTATAGTAGCAGTTACCAGAGCCGATCCTTATATAGCTAAAGGAAAAGTCAGGTATGTCATTTGAGTTATTTCATAATTTTGTAAAGTATTTTCAAGGTTATATTTAAGGTGTTTCGATACAGTTTTTCGGGGACCATACCGATATTTTTTAATCGCCTGAAAAGTGATTTTATGTTTGTCCGATCGCTATGAAATTTTCACCACCGACTGACTTTGGATTGAAGTTTGTCCAAATAGAGTTTTAACTTGAATCGATATCACTATGGCAACAATAAACAAAAAACTTCTGTATATCTCTGGAACGGCCCGACTGAATTCTCTTTAAACCTCATCACATAATCTTCACGATGTACACAATAATGTCTAAAACTTTTATTACGATTAATATCACTGCAACCTAGCCTACTAACCGGCCAAAAATCCGCGTTACGACGTTCACTGTTTTGACGTTATGCTAATTGTTCCAAATTAATGCGGACCTTACATACCTCCATGACTAACACATTGCAGTTTGAATTTTATTGAATCTTTTGAATGTGCAACATTGGCAATATCCACCGTAAAATTTGTCTCATCTTTTAGGGCCTGTTTACATGGAGTTGAGGACCCCGGTCTAGTGGGTTTGGTTTCTTTTGTTTTCACGCTCTGGGGGACACAAAACAAAAGAAACTTTCCCCACTAAACTGGGGTCCCCCACTCCATGTAAACAGGGTCTTAGTTTCATTTTTGTTTCATTAAGTGTTTTCCTGTTTTCATCTTGTGTTTTTATTCGTACTTGAATTAATGCTTAGTTCGCATAGATCCATTTTTGGAGTATTCTTCGCTTGTCATTGTCAGATGTGAGTTTTTCACAGGTTCGTGTTAACCTTGGTTCTTTAGTCTCGTTAAAGTTCCTGTCTGGGTTTATCATCCAGCGTTTTCGTTTTTCATTGGTTCATAGCTTCTTGCCGATCGCAGCCATGTACATTCTGCGGTACCAAGACATTAATCACATCGCGTAAGCCTTGTTTTAATTCCCACGGTCAGCTAACCCAAACATGCCCAGCTTATTATAAAAAATGCTTCTATTTGGCTTGTTAGTAGCAGTAATCAAGAAGAGTTAAGAGTTGGTGGGAGTTAAGTAGGTGATAGCTGTCAACAGTAGAAGTTAAAGAAGAATGCCGGAAGAAGCTAGTAAAGACAAAGGTCACTGAAAGAAGTAAACTCTCGGTACCTTATCGTGTACCAAGCGAGTCACTCAAACACCGCACCCCCCACAATACTTGCTGACAGTTTGAATATGGCGTTTGCCGTAAACGTGATTCTAAAAATCTCTTTAAAGGTGGATTTCCACAGTTGCGTGATTTTTCCGTGCGTACGTGCGTAAACTTTACGTTCGCAAATAAGGGTTGATTTCCACTGTCGCGTAATTTTTCCGTTCGAAAGCACGTAAAATTTACGCGTTGTAAGTGAAATAGAGGCAATGTATGAAAGGCCACGCGTAAACGTGTAGTTGAGCGAGGTTCAAATTTTACTTAAAAATTACGCGACAGTAGAAATCAACCCTTATTTGCGAACGTAAATTTTACTCCCGCATGCACGTAAAAATTACGCGACAGTGGAAATCCACCTTTAAAGAGAGGCAATGTATGGTAGATCGCGCGTAAAAGTAAAAACTAAACCTCGCTCAACTTAACGTTTAAGCGCGCAACATTTTTATATCTTGTCTCTATTTTATTTAACCGAGTAAACTTTACGTGCGTGTACACGCACTTAAAAATTACGCGACTGCTGGAAATCAACCCTAGCGTCTCCATACTTTGCCCTACAGGTTTATAGGGATATGCATTGCTAAAAATCATTGGCAGAACACCTTAGGAGCAACTTTCACCCTTCGTAACGTAGTGGATGGAGAACCTATGGAGGTGAACTTTCAGCTGTACTCGCCGCTTATTCAGAAGATCGAGGTGTTAAAACACATGCGGAGGCATAGAAAAGCTCTGTGGTATCTGAGAGACTATCCGCCATCAATGAGCACGGTGAACGAGAAAATGAAGCCGGTACCATACACAGAAGAACCCGAGCTTTATGTTCCGACACGAGAGGAAAAGAGAAAGGTTAAGGCTTGGTTTGATGGATTATGGAAAGCGAAAAGGAGATAAAACAACAAGATGGCTCCCATTCCTACTAAGATCAAAGAAATTCATCACCCGCACCTATCGTTCCCAGGGCTTGTTTCTTTTGAAAGTTGCCGCGATAATTATTTTTCCTTAAATGTCATGAGTAAAAAATGGAGCCTGATGTAACCACGCTTTATCTCGGTATTTCCCTGCATTTCCGTGGTCGTTTGCCTTAGGCGAATCTTAAAGAAAGTAGTGAATTGAAAAGCGCAAGCACCCAGAGAAGAAGGGTCTTTAAAAATCTTTAAATATCTTCAGAATGATGCAATGAGCTTAACGAATTTTCGCGTTTAAATTGCACTCATACAATGGTTCTCCGGGCCTTATAAGTTATCCTAGTCCCGGTTATTCCTACTTTCAAGAAATCGCCACTCTTTTTTAACGATAACCGGTAACGCTGCTTTCCAATGCATTATTTATAATCGTCTACGGCTTCACACTGGTCAGGAACTGTTCTGATTGTGCAGAAACTCGCAATTAGCGATCGCAGCTAGTTTTCCTTATTTTTTCTGTATCAAAAGGAACTAGAAGTGCTCATGTTTTTACAATTACTTGATTAGTGCTCTAGGATGATGTAACAAAACCTTTGAAATAAAACGTCAGTGGAAAAGAATAAAAAAGATTGAACTTTTTAAGTATTTCTCTGTTGCCTACATGATTTCCTAGGTAAATGAGAATCACTCTTCAACTAGCAATGTGTACCTTTGACTGAGAATGTTTTGAGCTGTAGGCAAAGCCTCCAAGCAGAAGGCATTTTTATGTATCGGAATAAGGATATTTTTGAAGCAATATATAATGACAGTGACCACTGTGAATTAGATTAAAAACCTCCTCCTGTCAAACCCCCTACCCTTTTTGCGGTCAGCAGCCCAACTTAAACGAGCATGCTCAGATGGGATTTTGATCAATGAAAGCTTCAGTTGATTGTCTCAGCATTTTGCAATTCGGTTCAGTTTCTGTAAATAACATTTTTGATATTGATTTGACATTTTGAAACACATTTCCTTAAATAACAGCCGGGGGCGACCATCCATACTTGTTTAAACGTGGGCGATAATTTAAGGGGTAATAATGTTTAAATAAAGTTTTGGGGGATTTTATTTTGACTTTCGAGTTTCCCGGGAAGAAGTAGGGGCGATAATTCAAATAATTTAAGTTCTTATTTAGCCAAGACTGAAGCTAGACTCAATTAACCATTTTCGAGTTCCGAAAACTCTTACTTTCAAATCGCGGGCAAGGGCGAAACCTTTCTTTTGAAAATGATTATTTGAACGAGAATAAAATACGATTTTCATATCAATGGCTTGGCACTTAGCCTCGCTTTGAAACCGGAGCTCGAGGCAACTCTGAAATGCCCTATTACATTATGTCATGGCTCCAAATGGGATTTTCACCGGCGGTACTAAAACCCGAGCGGAGGGGTCCCCGGGTACTAAACCCGGATCAGTCAAGAACAACGCTGAAAACCTGGCAATATTTTTCAATGGATAGAAAAAACAAAATCTTCAAAATCTTAAAACGTTCTTTTTGTTTGTTTTATTCATTTTACTTTCGTTTATGCTTTCTAGCTGTGTTTTAATAGACCATTGCCTTTGAAGTGTGAAACTGTTTGCCCCGCTTTTAATCATGTTCGTAGGGTCCAGTTTAATCAGAGGATGTGTCAATCATCGGCTGTCAATCTAATCGCAGTATATAGGGGCGAAAAAATTAAGAATCGAATTATAAATGACTACGATCTTAATTTAAGCAGACAACAGGATTTTAAGGCTTGACGGTTTAAAGATAACCACCGCTAGTGGTCGTCCTTGTTTCCTCAGAGCCAAGCGCCACGAGGGAAAAAATAAAATTATGCAATACTTTTACTAAAGAAAAACGTGAGACTGCTCGTAGTCTAGGAAGGAGTATAAAATACCGGCGAGAAAGCTTAACTCTCACGAACTCTGGGCGTGAAATAATCGCCTTTTTAGTTGGACAGTACCAGGATTTTGCCTCCTTTTGTGCGTAAAACGACTTTATCTAAGGTCTTTCTAAGCATTCCCGTAGTTCTCAAGAACCAAAACGAAAAGACCAACTTTTAGGATTCTAACTTGGCCAGGAATTGAGTTGAAATCTGCTATATACTACCCTTTTAAATAAATAAAAGTCCATGTTATTGATTCATCATATGTTTTACTCGCAGAGAAGTACCTTCAGTTAGGGTCAGACTCGTTAAACGTTCTTAGACAGTGAAAAACTTTGAGCATCTAATTGCCCCACACTTCTCTCCATGCGTCTTCCTCCTCACGTCCATACAGTCGTTTTCATCCGGTGCAATAGGTCATTAAGCCTTTGTTTTAAAGCGACGCTGCGAAGCCATTGATATGGAAATGGTGTTTAATTCTCGTGCAAATAAAACTCATTTTCACGACAAAGGTTTTGCACTTAACTTCGTTTTAAAATGAGAGTTTTTGGAACTTGGAAATGGCCCACTGAAAACGTGACACAATCGGTTGGGGTAGGGGCTGAGGAAGGCTGCAAATCACGTATTGTTCTTGACAAGAGGCTATTATCACATTTACCAGTCACCGCTATTTCAAGCGATGAAGATATTGTGATTTTGTCAGTATTTTTTAACCATATCAGAGGCACATATTGCTCTGTTTACAACACTGATCTTCACTTATCAACAGATGAAGATGTTTTCAAATCCGGCCCCTTTTATTGCAACAAATGGGAATTCAATTTGACGATAGCTATTTGACGGTTCTCCAGTTACGTCAACGATGCTTTTATCAAAATATCCGCTTTGCGTTCGTCAGCACAATTTATTTTGAAGACATTTAAATTTATATTTCCTGAATCTGACATTCGAAGATTAATCTGTTTTCTTCTATTTAAGATATTTGAAGCAGTAAAAGGATTTTTTCTCTGAGCCAAGAGCCAAAAAGAAAATAATAATAATAATAAATCTGTATTTCCTAAACATAAAGCTACTCTCCAACCTTTTTATTGTTCGGGTTAATTAATGCACTGGAAAGAACAAAACAGTTTTCAGCAGCTTGTCATCTGTCTTCTCGCAAACTGAATCTGATTCTAAATTAATACTAAAATACTGAACCCAATGGTTATTTCCCTCCTCGTGGGCGTATACCCCGTACATATAATGTTTTTCGTGTCTAGTTTATGAGTGTTTTCGTAAAAGGCTCTCACGTGTAAAAAAAATAAAGTACTAAGTAAATAAACTTTGACAAACCGTGAGACTGTTGTTTTCAAAACCATTACAGATTCCACAAGCCTGCCTTGTCTTGTCAATCTTTTCTCAACGGTGCTTGAAAATCCGGTTTGACCGTAATGCCAGTTTGACAATTTTCCAAGCTTACAGGCAGACTGTTATAGGTCAAAAGCAAACGTTCGACTTCATGTTTTTTATTTACCGGCGCAAACCTAACTATTTCTATAATTAACAATCATTGTGAACTAAGTAAGAAACCATTTTTTAAATGTCACGAAACGCAATTCGTTTTTTTTCCCCAGATAGTTTTGGACGCCTAAAACTAAATACGTCCAACAAACGATGTACTTTGAACTTTTAATTGCCAAACGAAACGAAGCCCAGGTATCTATCTTATAACTGTAGAGAGCACAGGTTTGAACGAGACTATTGACATCTTTGTAAACACGTTGCGTGCAACATGACAGATGGCGTTTAACGAATTATTAGCTTCTAAATCGGCCTTTACTCGATCCCACACGTTTTGTCGCAGGCAACTGAAATCCTTTGCTTCTTATTATTTGTGTTTTAATTTGATTACAAAAAGTCGTCCTACCCCAATAAAAGTTTCTATATCAAACCCAATAAAACAAGGAAATTTTTTATAGCTTTTCTAACCGAGACCAAAGAAAATGTTTATCGACGGAAAACGTTTTTAGCTGGTATCCCAGCTGGACGATATCTTTTTTTTGTTATGCAAAACGATACTCCAAAATTCTTGCGTTGGCGTAAACAAGTTTAAGGATGTTTTCAATGTTTAACTGTCACGAGAACTAAAAGTTATTTAAGACGTACGTGATGGTCGTATATCACCTCTCACAGCACAAGCTCAGAGAACGAGAAATACGGCATTTAAGGTCTCTGACCGTATGGCGGCCTTTCCAAGCAGCGCACCTGCTCATGAATGAACACAATGTAAGTACACTAGTTTTCCAGTTTATTGAGATAAAACTTGGAAAGTTTGAACGATGAGATTAAAGTAGAAGCAGCCAAAAGAAGCGGAAAAACCCACATGTTCTTGTTCGTAAGGCATCGATACCTCTAACTTTTCTCCCTTTGCTCAAGTGGACAAATTATTGCCAAGTTACCGAGTTTTTATTTCTTAATTTCCGTTATAATTTAAGCTAAATAAGGTCAAACTGGTTTTAAAACGAATTCTCAGTCAAAGAAAACCTTGACAGCAACATCCATTTCTTCAACACTATGAGCTTTTCGTTTGTACAAAAAGTTTATCAAATGGTTTAGCCGACACATGGAAGATTACTTTTCGTTCGTCTTTTGCTGTATTTCACGCTATGAAAATTGTCTGATGCAGTTGAAAAAAGCTTTCACCGCTATATCTAAATCTGAATTTGAAAATGATAGCCTACAAGCTAAAAACAGAAATGACGAGTGCTCACTCGTATTGAGCGTCTTAAGTGTCATATTTATTCATTATCTCTGAGGCCTGAATTTGAAAATGATAGACTGGCTGGAAACCCATGATAAGCGTTCATACGGGGGCACTAGCTGCAGAGCTTACTTTCCTACTACCTTTCGTCATTTCATATCAATTAACCCCTTTAAATAATGGTCGAAATTTCTCTGGGTAAAATTCCTCGAAATTAATTGTACTACGCAAAAATCCTGCCAAAGAGCTTTAATTTGATGTAATACCATAGGATTTCGACTGACAGTCTCAAAACTTGGAACTTTATGTTTTAAATAAATGGTACCATGTGAAAGTACTGCAGAAGAGGTTTCATGCGAATTGTATTAATTCCATAGGATTTCATCCACAGATTCAAAAGTTACTGTGACAAGTAATCTTGCCAGATCTTAGTCTAGGAGGAAAAAGGTGAAACGTTACGTGCTTAGATGAAGGGCGTTTAATAAATAAAAAATCTTTTTATTCCAGTCCTGAACAATAATCATAGTGAGAAGCAGCCACGTCTTTTCGACCAGAAATCTTCCTTGATCAACAACTAAGAACTACTTAAATCCTTAAGATTCTTTTTTCACTTTGCAGAACCCCCTCCAGAGGCTTTGTTTCATTTTGTCCGCAAACGTATGAATAATATAATGGTACGTTGTTGTAAGTACTGCTATATAGCAACAGATCACAGCCATTCTTGTTTTTTTCTTTTCGTTCTTTCGGATCAACGTGAATGTAGTTCGTAAGGTGTTTTTATGGTACACATTTTATTTCCAAAGCACGAGATACAAAGCAGTTCTACTAATATTATGGCGCTCTTTCCAGTGGTGTCGACGAATTTTCCCTAATTTCTCCATGACAACAGTTGAAAAACCGCCATGAAAAAGCGCCATGAACTTCACAACATTCACGCTGACGCACGAGGGAAGTACAGTTTTAAGCA